TATGATTTTAGTTTTTGTATTGCGATTATTTTGCTCTCTTCTTCTTCTTGACATTCCTTTTCTGGTCCGTGACATTGTACTTGCCATCCTTCCAATCTGTTAACCCCACCGGATTAATCTGTTGTGGCGTGAAGCGATATTTAAGCTCCAAAGAGATGTTGATATGAGGTTGAAAATAAACTTAGGGTAGTCTAGTCGAGGATTAATGTTGGTTGGGGTTTTAGAGCTTGGATAGTCTACCCGCAATCCGGGACGGACGGTGCGCGTGTCGAGTCCTGGCCGCAGGGAGGCTGTCGTGAACCTAGCGTGCTCTGCGCCCGTGGATACTCCCAAGATCGTTGGTCAACGTCCGGGCTGCGTGGGTAGACAATCGTTTTAGTGGACAAACGAAGATGGAGCTAGGAATGGCGTGCCCGAGGAACGGCTTGGAACGGTCTAAGCAAAAGCCTCGAGGACTAAAGAAAAGAGTGGGTGTTGCGCAGCTCGGAAGGGAGGAAAGCGAGGACCGCGTGCAGGGTCCGTAGTAAGTTGTTCGAATGACTGTACCTAACAGACTTCATTCGGAGTAAAGACAGATCCAGACGATGGATGTAACAGGGGAAAAGGAGACGGGTTTGAGTGGCACGAGGTAGGCTAATCACAATCTAGAGATATTAATAAAATGAACCAAATTATCGAGAGTAATGGTACTGTGTACGGGAAGAGATAATAATACTGATCCAAAGGATATGGGTGGAACTGCTCTATACCTCTCAAGAGTCAATGCTAACAATAGCACCCACCTTACTGACAAGTACATAGAACGATGCGAAGACGGCGGCGGGTGATGCCGGCAATGGCTCCTCGGATATGGATAGACATTGATCAATGATCAGAGACCGAATCAGGGGAGGGAGATAGGAGAAGGGGGGGGGGGTGGTAATGTAGAAATGGTACTTTACCGAGAACCATCATCAATCCCCGTTTTCCAGATGGTGAATCCATAAGTTGTGCCGGTCAGCTGTCGCGGATTTGCGGTACGGCCGACTTCAGGGGGAAAGGGTGGGAGTAGGCCAGAGAGACTTCCTCCAACCGAAGTATGGCCGTAGCAGTGCCAATGGGAAGCACTTCTGTAGTGGATCCCATTTCTTGATAACCACCTCCTGCCGCTTGTCAATTGGAGGCTTTTCTCACTCACGCAAAGGCCATTATTATTTCTTTTTTACCCTGTCCGTGACCCAGCCGCACCCCGCTGAACTCATACATGGCTTGTAGCATTCAAAGACTGAATCAAGAAGGTCCAATGTAATGCAATATGGGATATGATACGCCTCCTTGTATTGTAACCCGCACAGTCATCCATGATTATCTGCTTGCCCGCGCAAGTCAGGAACGCGTCGGTGGGGAACACGAGGCTACCAGCCCAGCTGATGTTAGGAATAGCCTGCCCGTCGGACAAATTAGGCTCCTTACCAACAGCCAACTGTGTACATTTGCACGGTGCACACTAGTGGAATATCAGGTATTCATCCTTGAGCTGAACAAACAAAGTAGAGGTCAGGCATTGATCAATCCAAGAAATTCGGGTCAAGGACTGCAAATCGAATGTGGGAGGCTAGGAATTTAGAGATGTGTATTCAAAGCGACCGGAAAGCAGCCGCGAGAGAAAGCAGGCCAGTAGCGAATTGGTCTTCTGGTTCAATGTCTTGTGGTGGTCCGTACTTTTGTCTCTCTCGCCTGATAGGAGGTCGTGTACGGAGTACATGCAGTACTGTGGCAGCGACGATGTATCCACGCCCTCAGGACATAGCGATGCAAAATTCATCTTTACAATGCTGTTTCGCAATTCAATTCTTTAATGGCTATGCGATTCGCAAAAGTCATTGCTTTTGAGCCAAGTGATTGCATCTTGGTCTACTACTTCATATCAGCTAAGTACTGATCTTCCGTGCGAGTGCTCCGCGGAATACACCGTGTGGGCGGCAGATACTCAGACGGTAGGGAGGAGGTTGGGGGAGGAGGTACCCTGGGAAATCCACAGTGGACTTTGGGGGATGCATTCTGGGCTTGGCTGTACCCATCCATCGCCTTGAACTTTATCGGGATAATTATTGGACTAAATCTCGAAGATTTTTTTCTATGATGGTGCACATATTGATGGGTAAAGGCGAATGTACTAAGGTAAGGATCAAATTTATTCAGCCCATCACGGATTCCCGGGAGTACTCCGGAATAATCATCTACCCAGCTGACGGTTCTCGACATTTGGCCCATCGTCAGGGCTATCTAAACGGATCGGGTTCAGAAACAGGTCGCGTCCGCATCAAGAGTGCAGGACACAGCGATGGTGGGCTGAAATATGATCATTTGATAGGAAGGCTGGGCGCAAGATGAGAAGCAGAAGGGGACGCGAGAAATGCAAGGCTCCAATCTCGGAAAGCCTCTCCTCTTCAAGCAAGTGGTGATTGGCATCTGGTCTGGGTCTTCTCATACATACCCCGTGCAAGTGGAACCAGCTAACTGACTGCCGGTGAAGGTGATAATCGCGGTTCATCAGGACCAAGAGACTTCGCATTATTCTTACTGCATTATTTTATCCCCCTGTTCGACTCAATACTCCATTGTCGGTAGACACTGCCGTCTATCTCCGACTCTCTTGTTAGACAATTCCCCTGGCCAGGAAAAGACCATACATACGTGCGAAGAGTCTCGAACAGGATACTCATAGAAACATCAAAAACTGATCATGAGCCAATAGGTCACAAGGTACCTATCATGCAATACAGTATGATCTTTTTTTTTGAAGTGGATCATAGGTCTCGATAAAATAGCTTGTATCGGTCCCCAGCGCTCCGTCAGCAAAGTAATCCTCATCGGGACTGTCTTACGAATTGGCAATGGACTTCAACCTGTGCATCAAATATGGCATCACGGCCCTTGCCCTGATTGATTTGTCCGCACCCGAACCCATATGTTGACCATCAAGGCTGTACGAAAGACATCGGTTAGGATAAGATGACTTGCTTGCGTGAGCTGGAGTCACTCACAGTGCTTTCTACCTTCCATGGCATGAGCGGAATCAAGCCTCCTATCCCTGGTTGTTACTCCGTAAACACCACCATACATGGGGTGAGTTAGTTACTGAGTAATGATACCACCCATCTGGTAAGTTATGTACTGTACTATACGTAATCCCCTTCGCTGTGTCAGACCTTAGTAAGTAACTTACTGTTTCGGATGCTGGCCGATGGCCTTAACGTCAAGCGATGACTGCCCGTCGTCGATCGGGACTTTCCCTAAGAGTGACTAGCCACCAGGATTTAGTACTGTTACCTGATCCACAGTCCGCTCTTGAGGAGTCCGCTGATAGCCAGCCCAGACCAACAGACCAACAAGCAACCCTTCCTCGTCGGTGGTGAAGCTGTGACCATGGACTAGCAGTAGTCTCCCCGGCACGACAATGAATGGGTTTGTGAGGCGTGGAGCGGAACAATGTTTTCCACTTGCTTGAACACTCTACATGAGTCTATACCGACCACCTTCCAACCCTGCAGTCATAATGAGGAACATTCGGGCGTATCGCTCTCGTAAGGAATATGTTGTGAGTTTGAATAAGGTCCCACCTTGACAGCACATTGCAGAGAGAGGGCTGCCCAGTGGTTGAGAGCGGCCCTCAAACCATCGGTTTTTATTGTCCCCCGACGGAAATCCATATGCACATGAAAGGGGCAATCTGCCAGCTCTGGACCATCGATGAGTAGGGTTGCATTGCAACTTCTTTTGCCCTTCTCTCCTTCGCCCCTCCTCTCTCCCTTTGATTGCTTGCGTACTGCGCAATGCGCTTCCCCTATTCTGTAGGGGATAAGTATACTGGTCGGGTTGCCAATGATAGGCGAGGTTGATCTTCTCTCTCGGTTGTGGTACATCCCTGACTCGTACTCTAGGCTTGATAGCTCAAGCTTCATAGACGGTGCTCCGCGATTAGGCAGCATAACCACGGGCAGAGCTTCAAGCTACATGCCTTATTGCTCTAAGCATTAAGCGTGATTTGAAGGGCTCCACGTGCGCAGACTGGGAGTGCTGTAGTTGGCTAGCGGTTGACAGCGGTGTCTCACCAGATTTAAGCGGCCGTCGCCCTGACACCTCCGAGGCGCGATACTACCTGAATCTGGAAGGTGGATAGCACTTCAGCACCTAAGGTGGCATCTTAATGCTCAGTCTTTCAGCCCACATATACCACGTGACCATCTGGGACTCCGTGGGGGGGCAAAGCGCAGGGTCATGTTGACGATAGATTGTAGCAACCATGACAAGAACAAGCAATGTGGTGTTCAGTCTTTTCGAGTGCTACTTCGGAAAACCATGGACTGGATACGCTATTAGTCATTGAATAAAAACAATCAAGCCTGACTGAAGCAGAAGACGAAATATATAGACAGATGCACCTGCCTACATCATATGCACTACGATCCTAGATGTATAGACGAGGCTGGAGAATTGCCCACCTCTCACCCTCCATGCTTGCTGCTCGCAGAATGCAAGATACAACATAGCCACTTGCCGAGATGTTCGGTTCTCAGTTGAGAGATCAAGGACTATCGCAACATAATACCGAACGCAAGTTTATTCAGACTCAAGTTGGCCGTGGGTGACACTCTAGTCTGAAAATAGATATCTTCCCACACGGCTCTGCGGCTCAGTCTCCGAGCCTTGGTGGAGTGGAGCTTAGTTGAAGCCATGGATAGGGTTGTTTGGCGCAAATCAACTGCGTACGCAGTACGATAAGTCTTGACACCGGCCGGATGTTCAGCAAGCGATTCGGGAATCGCCGTCCCATCTCTGGAACCCAGACGTTGGCCCCAGGACGTGGCGGGCTTGCAACTTATCCAATGAGAGCAACATTGAATACTCTATGCCCGTGGTGCTTTCTAGTTAGGACACCGAACCAGTCGGTACGCTAACCAGCAGCTCAAGATTGCTTACTCCGTACTGTACGGACTCAAGCTCGGTTCCACTCCTGCCGCTCCCTTAGGTTACTCACTGACAGGTGAGCCACGGAGGCGCATGAGCTTGGGCTGGAGATTAGATCACGGAGTACCACGTAATGCGCAGTGCGATCAGCAGCGCAATGAATTGATTCGACCCTGTTCCAACCTGACTGTGAGCATCTGGACTCACGGGAGAAAGCAACGCAGTATACCTGCTCCGGATCCGGGCCGGTTCTCGGCTGCCAAGCAATCTTGTTGTGTTTGCGATGGACCAGATCAACAACAACATCAGTCCTGAGTGGGCCACTCGGACGATCAACAAGGCATGGAGGAGAAGCCTTGGGCCAGAGTGAGTAACTCTGTGAGGCATGAGTGGAAAGGGTTAAAAAGTCTCATCCAGAATAAAAGCACCAATAGGATAAATCAAGGCTTCACCCAAGGTAACATGACCGCTGGAGCAAACAACAGTAACAACACCACACAGCATCTACCATACACCGTACGCGGGACATTGATTAAGCCATTCATCCATATGATGAGTGAATGTTCCAAGATAAAGAGATACCTTAACAACACAGTCTTCGGCCTGGGTCCCGCCAAGAAATACTATTGAATTTCTATGACTCGTGAGGGTTTATTTTTCCCTCTGTATGGGAATGGAGTCGATATTCCTTTGCCAGATTGGGATCAATGCAGGCCCATCGTCAGCATGCCGTAATTTCCTCAACTACCTTCTCTAGAAGATGACTTTTTGCCTCTTTCTGCTTATCAGCTTTGCCACCATGGCGAAAGGGTTACATGTTCCATGCATATTCTACGCCTGCTCTAAGAGCAGGTCAGGCAGAAAGAGACGGTCGGACGGACTGCGAGGCATGGGTATTGAGGGCATGGCTGCTGACCAGCGTCTTTCTTATTACGTTAGTCCATAAGACTAACTTACTTCAAGTAAAAATCCGAGCTAGTCCTGTAGCGTCTAGGCTCTCCCAGCGAGAGCGATTTGACACTATCGGCGGATATCCCGACTTCCGCATATTGAACCATCAGGACCGCCTACCAGGACCCGAGCCAAAATCTTTTTTTTTCTTTTCTCTTTCTTCTCCCCGGTTCCCGTGACGTTTTAAGTCTTTCCACCATACATCTAACCAGGTCGGGACAAGCGGGTATTTACCTAAAGCTGCGTTTGCTTCCAGTCTGCTGATTCGCAGTGATTTGGAAAATTGATCCCACTAGCGGTAAATCTAGCGGTATTTGGCCAAAGTCGCCCCACCAGAAGCTCGACCAAGGGTGAATTCAATACCTCCCGTACACGAGTTCCGATACCAGATGATACTTCCTTGTATTGTATGGTATCCCTTAGATACAGTCACGGGTCCCCACTCACACCGAGCTTTAGGCCCCGCTTACATGAACGTACTCCGTACTCCGTACTACTCCTTCCCTCCGGGCTCTCAAGGCTCAAGGATCACACCGAGGTACATTTCATTCCTCATCCATGTTGACGAAGACCTTGGCTTGCAGAAACCTGCATTGCTCGGCTACTTGATATACTTCTTTTAAGTTCTCCATCAGCACTGGCTTGGATCGCTCTTTGCTTGGTCATAAATGCTACCTCTTAAAACGTGTTGTGCCAATAACCACAGCACCACTATTTTCTATCGTCTACAATTACCACCCCAATCACAACGCAACAACAACAATTACAACCAACGCGATTGACACGTTACGGACCTCCCGACTCAGTCCACTTCAGCGCATATGAGGTGGGATTGACTTGACCCACATCTGGGAAAATCCGGAGGATTTGTCATGGTGGATTAATTACGCGATTATCTTACGGTAAGATAATGCCTTCCATCCCTGGACGGATTCTCGCCCACCGCGATAACATGACCTCTTCTCCATTCGATCACATTTTTCTTCTCATAATGGAAACTATCCAGTCGGGACATCTGTTGTCGTGCTTTGTTTGGCGAAAAAACAGCTGCTTTGCTTCAACGAACAACTGACCATACTCTCGAGCCAGCACTCCACTTGGTGTCTCGGATATGATGCTCCACCTTCTCCCCGGGGCCTTCTAAGACAAGCACAGCAATACTGTAGAGGGCAGAACGGACTAAGAATTTCTCGCAATCTCAAATCATGACCGATAGACACCCCCGCAGTTGAGCCTCCCTCCGACCCCGGACGGGCTTGGCCTTGCTCGCTCGCGGATCGGCAAATCTTGGTCCGCTTAGTATCTGGGGACAAGGGCCTCCTCCATCAACAGGGCAGCTGGCGAATTCTGGATGTCGCCATTTTGCCGACCTCGGTAAGCGGTCATCAGCTCGCCAACAGACTGCTGACACTCCTGCTGCATCCGAGATCTTTGCTTGATCGCGGAGTAGGGTCAGTCGACCGGGTGAAGAAACCACGACCACTGGCAAGTGACCTCGCGGGTTTGCCTGAGGTCTCGGGCTGGTAACTTTCTGCTCGGTGACACACTGGTCCTTCTCGGGTCTGGAGAAATTCTAGCTTTGCGAGTAAGATTCGGGTTGCTTTAGCGACAGTCTACCAGAGGCGCTGCCAGCAATATTGACAAGTGAATATTGACAAGTGGAAAATTATGCTCCGTCTAGCTGCAGCTGCATGGTTGTGGTTTCTCCGCACTCCAGACTCATATGCGGGGTTGAGTGCGGTGGTGATGGTTCAGAGCGCAACGCCCCTCGCATATGGTGTGTATAAGAATGCGTAGAGACGATGTTGAGTTGGCTGTGTTGAGTAGCGCATGCAGCCACCTACATTGTGCAAGTACCTTGATCTGATATATAAAGATGCCCGCACTTTGGCAGTATCTGGCCATCGCAGGCATCCGTACGGTATCAGCATTCCCACCCGGATCCCCGCAGAAGAAGGGGTTCGACTGGGACTCAACGAGATACCTGTTGGTGTTTCCCTAGGGACATGCACTGACCCTGGCTGATAACTGAACACCAGGATAGCCTTTGGTGACTCCTACACCTACGTGCAGGGCACTCACGGACATCAGAACTATAGCTTCATTGGGGATCTACAGAACTTTGAATACGACGCTGAGACTCTTCTTGCTGACAAGATTGTTCAAAATCAGGTTTGGATCCTTGTTTCGAGCATATTTCTGTTCAACAACGGTTACATAAATGGTTCTTCCCAACCGCTAACCACGCGTCGTGGACAATGCGTAGACAGCAACGGCCGAAGGGGGGCCCAACTGGGTCGAATACCTGACAGGCTGCGGATTGAAAGAAGGACTCACCTCACCCTTTGACTGCGAGAGGCAGCTCTGGGACTTTGCATTCGCGGGTTCTGACATCTCCGTTGCCTAGTACGTGCTCCAGGCAAGTTGAATATATGGAGACTCGATTTCGCTCCGCGTGGCCCAGGACTGACCTCTCATCGCCCCCGACAGCACTCCCCTCCACCACAACTACACCGTCTCCCTCGTCAACCAGGTCACCCAGTTTACCACTTACGGCCAGCCCGTCCTCTCCCAGCACATCTCCGCGCCGCAGACCCTGGTTGCCATTTGGATCGGCATCAACGACATCGGCGACAGCGCCAAGTACGCCGTCGACTTCCCTGCGTTCTACGACACGCTCCTCACGACCCTCTTCGCCTCCGTGCAGGAGATCTACGGTCAGGGCTACCGCTCCTACCTCTTCGTCAACCTCCCGCCCCTCGACCGCACTCCAGGCAACCAGGCTACGAGCCAACCCTACCCCAACGCCACGCAGATCGCCTGGTACAATGACGCGCTGGCCCAGCACGCCGCCGCCTTCCACCGTAACCACACGGACACGAACGTGCACCTGTTCGATGCGCATAGCGTCCTAAGTGAGATCATGGACCACCCGGCGAAGTACGGAATCGTCAACACGACTAACTTCTGCGCGGGATACGACCAGCCCGACATCGCGTGGAACTACCGGTCGTACAGCTGTCCGACGCCGTTGGAGGAGTACTTCTGGTTCAACTCCGGGCATTTGACAAGCCATGTACACAAGATCCTGGCAGGGGTGCTGAAGGGGGAATTGAAGAAGTGGTCGACATGAGGGTGATGGTGGTGGATGGGAGCCCAGGTCTGCTCGTGGTCTGGTTTAGTGAATGTATGCTGGCGGCTCCGGTTCATGTTTCCCTATATGCTAGTGGTGGGATGTCGTAGCGAAGGGTAAATGGTTTCTCGAGGTATGAATCCAGTGCGCGGTACGCTTAGATGCCTGTGTCTGATACCTCTGTGTACCGCTGACTTGTGACGCCGCTCATATAGACCACAAGAAGAAAATTACCAGAGCACATAGCCAGCGCAAATCTAGCTCCTCTCCTCTTGGTATTAGTTGGCATGTTCTTCCATGGATCCGACACTATGCATCAATATCTTTAGATAGTATGTTTTAGTACAAACCCGCCCCTTCGCTATGATGCATCTGGGGCCCAGCTCGATAGGTATATACACCCGTGGGACAGACAACACAGCCAGAATAAAACCACCCAACTCCCGAATAACAAAACCAAAAAAACAGAAATTGCGCCCTTCCCTTTCGAAGACCTCAAACCCAAACGCAATCAGCACCGTAAACACACACGCCAACCACAACCCCGTCCAATCAAGATAGACACACCCCAGCCATCAGATTAGATAAAAAACCAACCAACCAAAGAAATCTCACCGTGTACTAGAAAGTGCGCGTACGAGAATGACCTCAGAATGATCTCTGATCCTACTCCGCATACATACAGTACTTCCCCTAACCAAAACTTCCTTCACTTTAACCTCCTATCGTTTCGAACCCCACCCCTCTACAACTCTATTGTCACTTATTTAGCTACATAGACCTAAACACAAGCTAGTTTTCCAACAATATCCGATGTGGTGTAATGGCTAACATCGCTGTCTCTCACACAGCAGCTCGGGGTTCGATTCCCCGCATCGGAGGCATTTGTTTTGTTTTGTTTTGTTGTTTTTGCTGGGAATCAATTAGTAGAAACCCCGACCGAGCTGCTGTGTGAGGGACCAAAAAAAAAGCAAACCAGAAATATACCAAGAAGCGCACCTAGTTTACTACTGATAATATATCACTTAACTGATTCAAGATTGAGTCTTCAAATTCACTCTACTCTGCTACTAATTATAACTTGCTATTCCAAACGGACCCAACCTGTTCGACTTCCCCTGCATCAATCCCAAACCATCAAACTATAAACGCCTGACTAGAAGCCGCAAAATACAAGCAAGAACTAATGTAGTTAGTTACTATGCATCATAACTACTGTCTGTCACTCACAACATGGCAACGGGGTTCAATTCTTCCCGCTCAGCATTCATTCTTTCTTATCATTTGGTTCTGCTCGGTTTTCTCTTCTCCTGGGAGGGATAATTACATGCTAACCGATCATGTAGACCAATATATGTGGAGTAAGCGTATCGTGGTCCATGTACGGAGTAGTGTCATCGCAGCAGAGATTGTTGGTTAGAATCACAATTAGTTAAATCATATGACAACAATGTAATCCCCCACGAGGCGACCTCCTTCGCATTAGCTTCATTCCTGGTTTCCGTCCTAGCATCACAGATGCATTAGGCGTTTGCAGCCGCTGCAGCTCCCGCTACTGCAGCGAACAGTCTACCCCGGGTACATAAAACCTCGTATTTCTGCAGACACTAATGCCGGCAGCCCCGTGGTACCGAACGGCGCATGCATATATGGGCTGTTTTCTTACACTCGAAACAAATCGACGAATTTATCCTCATATGAGGGTTGTCATTTCATGATTACACCAGAAGTATATTCCAGTTATCAGTATGCAAAAGATATAGTTACACACTATCTAAACCAGCCGCTGCATGACAAGCCAGTAACATAACTTTTGTGATAAAACACAGCATCAAACAAAGATTAACGCATACCCACAAAGGGGGTGTAATCGACGACCTCGGATCCAAGTGAACCAAAGCGTCACCTATATGGTTTAAAAACGTAACGTAAAAGTCTATCGTGATATCGACGAACGCCGCCCGTACCGAGTTACGAAGGGAAAACAAGACCGAATTATCGTGCGCACGCAAAGACGGAAGGGAAAGCAGGTCTACCAGTGTGAAAAAGGGATACAAGCTCAGCGACTGAACTGGGCATCAGGAACAATTTACCAGCGACGGTTGCCGCCGAGGGGAGCAGCGTTGGACGCGGTGTAGTTACCACCACGGCCACGGCCACGGCCACCCCAGCGACCGTGGCCACCGTGGTGACCGCCGCCGCCGCCGCTGTAGCGAACCATCTCAGCAAGACGGGGATCAATCTGCTGCTTAGCCTCAGTAAGAATGGTGACCAAGTCACGAGCCTGCTTAGAGTCTGGAGGAAACGAGTCAGCGCGAGTACACGACCAAGTAGGCACAGATCCAACTTACTTTCAGTGGTAAAGAAGGTGATGGCGGTTCCCTTGTTACCGGCACGACCAGTACGACCAATGCGGTGAACGTAGTCCTCCGAGTTGTTGGGGTAGTCATAGTTCAGCACATGGGTGATGTCGCGAACATCTTCAAGAAAACATGGAACGTTAGCAAACAGAGCATTAGTTAAGCGAGCAACGTGGCCGAGGAGGAGCCCATTCTCAGTCGTGTGAGACTTGATGCATCACTCTCTCTCTCTTTCGGGACTTTCATCGAAGATCCGTTATGGACGTGTCCAAGGGGGTGGCAAAATTGCGGTCCTAGAGCAACCTTGGAATGCAGCGTTCAGTAGGTCGGTAGAGGATCAACCCCATCTCTCTACCAACCGGATTCGAGTTCACAAGTTGTAGACGGGTGAATCAAAACAGAGATACTAGTAACTTCTGCTACACTGCACTGTGAGTCCAAGGTTCTCCTGGCTTGAGAACCATTCAGGAGACCGACATAGCCTGGACGAGTCATATACACACCAACTCGGGGTGGAAGAGAGTCGAGCACCGTGCCATTTATCACACAACCTCAATCGGGTGGTGCCCTAGAGGCGACAATGGGGGGGGGAGGGGAGGGGGAAGGGGGGAGTTTGCAATATCATCATACCAATACCACGGGAAGCCACATCGGTAGCCACCATGATCGGGCTCTTGCCCGTCTTGAATTCATTCAAAACCCAATCTCTTTCTTGCTGTTGCTTGTCACCGTGAATCGCTGTAAACAAAGATGTTAGCGAAATGGAACCAAATCAAAGATAAGGGTAGGGAAGCGTACAAAGGGCGGGCCATCCGTCCTGGCGAAGGAAGCGGGTGATCTCATCAGCGATACGCTTGGTACCAGTGAAGATGAGACACTTGTTGCCACGGCTCTCCATGATCTTCTCAAGGTGCTTGATCATGCGATCACGCTTCTCAAACTCGGAAACGACCTCGACGATCTGAGTGATACGGTGGTTGGCAGAGAGGTCCATGGAACCGATGTTGACCTGGATATAGTCGTTGAGGAAATCAGACGCAAGCTGGCGGACCTCCTTGGGCCAGGTGGCGGACCACATGCAGGTCTGACGATCGGGGCGGATCTGAGAGATGATCTTGCGGATCTGAGGCTCGAAACCCATGTCCAGCATGCGATCCGCCTCGTCCAGAACGAGATAGGTGACACGACGAAGGTTGGTGCGACCAGCCTCGAGCATATCAATCAGACGACCAGGAGTGGCAATGCAGACCTCGACACCACGGCTAAGATCGCGAATCTGAGGGCCCTTGGGCACACCACCGTAGACGCAGGTGTTGCGGATACGGGAAGACTTGCCAAACTTGGAGATTTCGGCCTGGATCTGAACAGCCAATTCACGGGTAGGCGCGAGAATGAGAACAATGGGTCCGTCGCCGGGGGCGAGCAGAGGCTGAGCGTTGATGTGAACGATAGCAGGCAGACAGTAGGTAAGAGTCTTTCCGGAACCAGTCTCGGCGATACCGACGACATCACGACCAGAGAGAGCCATGGGCCAACCCTGGGACTGAATGGCAGTGGGACGGTCGAAGCCCTGAGCCTTGACTTCGCTCAGGACGTACTGAGGGAAACCGGCCTCGTCGAAGGTCTCAACGGGACGGGGCACGTTCTTGCCCTGAACGGCCATCTCCTTGCTCTTGCGGAACTCGTCGACGTCGCGCTGGGAACGAGCAGCGACATCGGGGTGCTCCTTGTAAAAGGACTTCTCGAACTTAGGGAGGGCATCCATGTCTGAAATGTTAGGATTAGATTAGTGACTGCGAGAGAGAAAGACCAAAAGATGAGTCTCAAACTTACCCCATTCCTGCTTCTTCAGGCCAGCGCCGAGGTTGGACATTCTGTCACCGCCAGCAGCGCCTCCACGGCCACCGCCATAGCCGCCACCGCCGCCATAACCACCACCGTAACCACCTCCACCGTAGCCACCACTACCACCACCGCTGTAGCCACCGCCGTTGCCGTAACCACCACCGCCGCCGCGGGAGCTGCAGACATGTTAACGACCATTACAGGATGATTTGAAGGGGATATTCAAAGGTATTTTCATTGACATACCGGTAAGAATCACGCTGGTAGCCGCCGCCACCGCCGCCGTTGTAGGAAGACATGATGAGCTTTTGTTGTTTTTGGATGTGGTTTGATAGAAAGTCGAAGAGTGAAGGCCACAAAAGGAAGCCGAACAGAAAAGTGACGGAGAAAAGAGAGAAAACGACTGAGAATAAGATCAGACGATACAACAACCCTCTAGAAGAGTAGAGGGATGGATGAGCAAGAAAAAGAGACAAGGAGTAGTGAGGTAAGAGAGAGAGAACAAGAGGGAGGGAGATAAAGAGGAGTGATGTAGGATGGTAAAAAGAAGAATTAAAGGATGGGAAGCAGGAGGAGGGAAGGAGGAAGAAGAAAAGAATAAAAGGGAAGGGCGAAGGCGAAAGGCGGGAACTTTTGAATGGGAAGAAAAACTTCGGCGGGCTCATCATTAGTTGGAGGCAAACACCGCCTGATCGGGCATAGCGTGGCTGGGTGCCGCCCCATTGGTTCCAACGCTCCCTCCGAGTACTTTTAGAGTCTTTTAGTGACTTGCAATCTATTCAATTTTTATCTGTGAAACAAGCCCTCTTTGTTGGTATTTTTCTGTATCTTCTTGTACTTTTTCTCTAGACAATGAATCTCAATAAATAGCAATTGCATCTCCGTATAGCTGCATTCAATCTCGTTCGTATACCTACTGTACCATCTGGATTCAAAATATCCATGTACTTTCTACTGGCAGTACTCATACAACACACCCTTCACCCGTGCCAGAAACCAAACAATGGCTATCAAGATTCGCCACCACCCAGACCCATGTCCCAGAATCTGATCTCCAACTCCGTCGCCCGCACGAAAATCTTAATCAATTCCTCCATCCGACTGGGCGAGACGTCTCGCATATGCTTTTCAAGCAATTCTAGAATTGTCAGTGTTAGCCAGCACAGGTCCCCACCCCCATCTTTCGCCTCCTGCAGGGACGAATAGTTCTTGCTTACCGGATCCCAGACGCACTGCCTCGGTGTAGTCGTCAGCGACGTAATTCTCAACCCACTTCCAGTAGCGGTTGCCCTCCCGCACCGACTCTTTGTCTGAGTAGAGTCGCTGCGCGATAGCCCCGTAACCGATTAAGCAAGGCGCAAGAGCCATCTGTAGCGCAAGCCAGTCTTCTGACTGGCCGACATCGAGAATATACCGGCTGTATGCCGTGCACGCTGCCCGTTTGGTAATATTAGATGTTGTTTAACTACCCCGAGCAAGTGGGAAAGAGGTTTGCGAACGGAACACGCACCGATAGTCTCCGGAGTCTTCTCCATCTCCTCTTTGGTCAACCCGAAGGAGGCACAGTAATCCAAGTGTAACGCTGTTTCGCGCTGGATATGTAGGACGATTTGTGCTGACTGTTCGCGTGGACTGGTCAGTATCACATTGCTTCTCAACCAGCTGATAAAATCCCCCCCTTCCCGGCCCCTTGAGCACGGGAGCGCGGGTGGTGCTGAGACATACCGCGGCAATAGATTCCATGCTCCCTGCCTTGTACGCAGCAAGAGCATTGCTCCGCGCAAATTGAATCTGGTCCGGCTCGTCAGCACTGGACATGATTAAGGACAAAAGACCCCATCTGCCATACCAAGTAAAGATAGTCTTGGACAAGGTATGCTTTGAACCTCTCCACCGGCAGTGTACCATCGCCCAGCTGCCGGACGAACTCATGCTGTGTAAACTTACTCCAGACCCCCTCCACGTCGGGACGATCCAGAGCATACTCGATGAAGCGACCACTGTGTAACTCGTCAACTCCACATGCCCCAATTCCCGCGCCAGGAACGAACAAAGTTGACTTACGGAGCAAACGGCAGGCTATGCAACGAATGGAAGTGGTTGATCGGCCCACTGCCCTTCCCAATGTCAAAGCTGGTCTTGATACCTGCCTCGACGAACCGAACAGCGCTCCGGACCGCCCGCTTCATACTCTGGCCGAGAGCCAAGTTGGCTGCGATAGCCGAGGCAAGGGAACAGCCCGTGCCATGCGTGTTCTTTGAGATAAGGAAGTCGGTCTCGAACAGCGTGACCTCCTCACCGTCATATAGAACATCGACGACGATGCACGCATCGTCTTGATTCTGCGGAATTTTGTGATCTCGGGTGAGGGGCAGATGACCGCCCTTGAGCAGGACGCCTTTTGAGCCCAAGTAACAGATCTGTCTAGCGAGCTGTACCATCCCAGGGAGGTCAGTCGGCTCGGAGGCATTGACTCCGGAGTCCTTCAGAAGTAGCAGAGCCTCCGGGATGTTCGGGGTAAGAATAGTGGTCAGGGGTAGCAACTTAGATCGCAAGACCTGTACGGCGGCTTCGGGGAGCAATTGCGATCCACTTGTTGACACCATAACCTGGAATCGGAATATCAGACCCTGACTCATCTACTGCATGGTGGAAGAATTGGAGACAAGTACCGGGTCTAGCACCACCGTAGGAATTTGATGCGTGACCAGAGCTTCCGCAATAGCCTCAATGGTCTCCGCAGAGGAGAGCATTCCTTTCGCAAGTCAGCTCATAGACGACCTAGCAGCAGTTGCGAGATCTTGAAAGAGATCGGGCCGGACGCAAACGGTGAGGAGAGGAGTCCAGAGCAACGAACCCAATTTGACAACATCTGCACCGACATCTTCAAGGCCAGCATTGATCTGCTTCTTGACAAACTCAGCAGGAACAATGAAGATATCTTGCACGCCCAGTGTGTTTTGGGCAGTGAGACCGGTGGCTGCGGTCAGTGCGTAGACGCCATGAGCAGCCAGAACTCTCTGATCAGCTTCTAGACCCCTGGTGTCAAAAGGCATTGCATTAGTTCACCAGGCAGTGGAGGGGAAGCGGTAATGATTTGACGTACGCGCCCCCGGAGCTGTCCGACCCCGCAATGACCAGGACTTTCTTGACCGACATGATGACAGGCGAGTATCTCAGATCGAGATCAAGTTATCCCGAACGACAGGAAGGTCTGGTGACGGTGCAGATGTTTACCCACTACCGGACGGGTCAAAATGGATGGCGGGAGTCACCGTTTGGGGACCGGAGAGGTGCGGGGCCCGGCTTTTAGTGATAAGATAAAAAAAAATCACTGCCCCAAGCGAATCTCTCACTACACACGGTGTAAGTTAATGTACCTATACACGTTACTCACTTCGCATTACGAGGAATGAAAACCTATAGATGAATGATTGAATCCATGCCTACCCACTTCATGCCGTCGTTCCAACGATGGTAATGCCCGCTTTCCACATAATAGAAAAATGTTGCTGATATGTACAAATGTGAAAGATCTATTGGAACCCCCCCCCATCATGGCAGCATAAAACGGAACAGACTATCCATCTCGACCCATTGTCGTCCGCATTTCCTCAAATATGCGTCCACGACCCCCTTGATGGTTGCGAATCGGGTACGGTTGAATTCCACCAACGCGGCTACACTGTCTTTCTTCTCTCCACTGCCATCTTTCTCAGCCGCGCGCCGGGCCTTCTCCACATCCCACAGTCCGGCAAAGTAAAGCAACTGGTTGTACATCTGCTTCTCAGTGTACTCATAAGACATGCGACCAAGACAGCCCTCAGCATGGCCGCGTGGGCCAAGACAGCGGTGTCCGTACACGCTGATCTGACGGGTGCGGTTACCGCAGGCTGAATCGTCGCAGATGAGCCAGCCCTCGTAGTACTTGGACGTCTGCGCCCGGATTTGCGTTTCCAGTTGCGCAACAATAGTCAAAACCGAGAAAGTTTTTCGGCAGGCTTGGTTGGGACAAATCACACCATTGGCGGTGCACATATGCGTAGACCCGACCAAACCTTCGAATACCGTTTTCTCTTTGCAGGACCGACAGGTGAGAGTGAGCCGTGCTGCACTCTCGAATCGGACAGAATCGGGGATTTGCGACTCCAGCGGGAAGATGTCGGCGTTTTGCTGATTACTTGCACTAGATGTATTGATTTGGTACTTGCGCACATCGAGACCCAAGCACTCCGCCAGCCGAACAGCATCAGTGCCAGGGATGGGAGCACAAAGACGCTCGATCGGGGGGAATATCTGTTTCAGCAGGTAGAACTCGATGTCGGGCTTGAGCTCCGAGTCAGGCTTCATCACATCTTGCAGCGTATATGAACGCTTGGCTGGCGGCAGGGATGCAGTCTCCGAGTCCCCACTAGTCACAATGTACGAGATAACGTCATTGGGACGAACCGTCTTTCCTCGCGCAAGCTCACGCAAAGCAACCTGTACTGGGGGCATCGTCTCTTTGTTGGGATATTCTTCGGGTCGCTTGGAGAGTTTCTGAGAAGCGCGTCAGCATGCTATGGTCCTAATCTCTTTTTTTTTCTCAAGCTGATGGAGCATACCGTGTAAATAACGTATTTTTGCACCGGGACAGTGAATTCTCGCATCTTGCTTGCAAGCTCGCGCAGGTAGTCGTGTATGCGATTGAGAACGAGTTCTTGATCCTCGCCCGAGAGAACCTCATTCAACAGTTTCTGAGAAACCTCCTTCGACAGCGAGCAGTACTCACGCCTCTTCATGTCAAGACCCTTGACTTCCAGCTTGTCGATGTACTTGCCATCTACTTCTGTGATATTGACGGCAGCGTACTTCTTCTTGGCATGCAGCAGGAGACGACGGAAGATGTTATCGATGTCAATCTCCAAAAGTCGGTAACGCTCATTGACAGACTTTTTGAAGTCCTCACCGACCTTGATGGCATCACTGATAGTGTCCATATTCGTGTTAATCATGACGGAGTCAGTATCACCATAAATGACTCGAAGCTGCTTCGACTCTGCGAGCTCCTTGGTGCTTCTGAGAATTTCACGTCCTTTGAACGTGGTAAGCATGGCCAAGGGACGAGCATAAAAGCGACTTTGCGTATAACCCAGACAGCCGTACATGGAGTTGGCCGTCAGCTTGAAGGCCAGTTGCTTGGTATCCCACAAAGCTAGCTGCTCAGGCGTCGCGCGTTTGTCTTTCATCAACTTCTTCACCTCACGTCGACGACCAACCAAGGTTGCGATGAGACGAGGCAGGATACCCTGCTCTTGCTCGGACGATGGAACCTCGGGCACTTTTTCTTCCTTGTCGTTCTCAGCCTAAATAACTATCAGTGGATGTTTGCATTTTCGAGAACCATTATAAGATACTCACGGTTGCCGTCCGTTCCACTGTTGTGAAGCAGATGTTGTATTCCTGGATGATACTAGGGTACAGACTGTTGAAGTCCATGACCAGGACAAAGCGGTCGTAGAGGCCCTTCTCGGGCTCAAAGACGAGACCACCCTTGTACTTGTCCTTCTTCTTCTTGTCCGCCGAGTCATCTTCGTCACCTTCCTGAAGTTTCTCTTCCGCTTTTTGTAGCCTGGAAGAGTACTTATCGGGACAGATGTACTTGTTGCGGTGGAATTCGTGGAGCAAAATATATTCATTCCGCTCGGCGCGAGTACCACTGAGTGTCCTTGCCCAGGAGTTACCCGCGATATTGGTAAGCACCTTGGTCAGAGGCAACATCTGCAGTTTCAAGACAAGGGCAGCGATGAAATAGGTGTCCGCGTCACAGTGATTCACAAAATTCATGAGACCATCTTTGGTCCCGGCCCAAGATTTCAAAGCTGCTTCGGTGTCAAGTTCTTGCCGCGTGTTGCCCTGTCCTAAGTAGAGCTCACACATCTCCGTCAAGCTCCAAGATTGACATTTCATCATCAGAGACTACTCAACGATCAGCACCAACCCTTACGCAGTCAGATCGTGGTAACCTACCTTGCCCATGTCATTAGCCACGTCGCACATCAATCGTCCTGCGATCAGATGCCGCTCAGCAAAGAATCCTCCTCCCCGGTTGAAGTTTTTAGGCCAGTCTCCACGCTTCAGTCGCCCCAGACGATGCCATCCGGGCGTTTTCTTCTCCTTGAGTCGACTGAGTAGGATGCTGAGGTCAACCTCCTGAAGCTGGTGCCCCATGAGGACATCGGGATCCATCTTTTCGAAAAGAGCCAGGAATTTACTGAGCAGGAACTGCTCACTTCTTTCTAGCATGAAAGTACCTCGTTGGTTCCGAGTTTCGGCTTCGAAGTGCATGGGATAAGATGTGCCTACTGGTCGCATGACCGTGAAAGTCTTGCAAGGCAGTTTCTCCGGAGGTGTAGTGTCCGTGAGAGAGACATTCTCGTACACTCTGGCGCTCGCCACCAAGATCTCCTGCTTGTTCTCTTTGACGTTAAGTTGCGTCCGGAAGGACAGACTCATCAAGGTAAGAGGAGGTGCGTCCAGATTTTCCGAATCGGGCACTGGGGAGATGAGTGCCGGCTTTGATACTTGACATTCAAATTTGCACCAAGAGGCGTTGTTGACAGCAGAGAAATCAGCTTCCTCGATCCTGAGCCAACAAGGACCCATAATGTTCTTCCAGAGCACAAACTGTTCGAACAAAGCCGTGTTGGTACCGAAGACATGGGAGAATGTCTCCCCCTTGGTGTCCATGGGCAACCCGGGCTTATCATAAGGGTAGAGAAGCTTCAGATACTCCGTTTCCTTGGGAATCCCGGGTACCTCGAATGCATATTTGCGCGTGCACGGTTTGATTTTGTGCATGCCCACCTTTAACCTCGACATCATCTCGTCTACTTCGCGATAGACGTCTTCCATATCCACCTCTTCGTCGGTCTCACGTCCATGCTTGTGACGGGTTTCTCGAGGGAGGAAGTAGAGTTTCCGGAGAATGTTGTCGACTTTGACGAATGCACTGGCGTAAGAGCCCGTCTGTCGGTTCTTGACCTTTCCAAACAAGCAAAGACTCCCATTTACCTCGGTGAAATCCATCCAGAACATGCGGAAGCTTCCATCCTCCTCAACCACGTCCTGTGGACGTAGCTTGCCGAAGGTGCGCATTTCGGATTGGGCGGGGCTGCTGAGAACGTTCAGCTTGCTTCGAACGTCGTTCCAAGACGCATCGACCTCCGGGAGAGCCTTGGCAGGGGAAGAGCTGGCGATTGAGGGATACGACTCCTTCTTGAGCTTCGGCACAGGTCGGCTGCCTGTCATGTTGATACTTGCTGCCTTGGCTTCGTTCTGCCCGGTAGCTTGTGCCACCTCCATCAAATCGGTGTCGTCCTCATCGGACTCTTCCACCTTCACTGGTACAGTCGTTGTCTTTCTCTCGATGGCCTTGCTAATAGGCGACGAAGGCATCGGGTCACTCATGGGGAAGTCCTCATCCATGCTGGGAAGCGGGCCATCATCGTCCTCGTCGAGAATGCTCTCCGCCTGGTCCTTGACTGGGGATACTGGGTCGCTATTTTCATCCCTCTTAATCCGAACATTCTTTCGCGTTAGATCCGACAGCGGAGGGGAAAGGATGCGGACTTTGCGTCGAGTCTCGGACTTGACAATGTTTCGGGTCGGTAGGCGCTGTGGAACGACATTGGTATCGACCTCTCCAAGGAGGTCGGCCATGAACGCATCATCCTCTGCGGTGGCTACTGGCTAGAACCACCCCAACCCCGGAAAGGTCAGCAAAACTCCGTTCCAAGCCACTCGTCCGCGCAAAGAATGAACAAGCAAGAAAAGTCTCACCTTAGGCTTCGGCGCAGACGGCACAGCCCCGCTGTTAAAGTATTTCGAGATCCCGTTGGTGATTTTCTCCTTCCTCTGCTTCTCTTCCTCCCGTTTGCGCTTGGCTGCCTTGCTCCGGGCGGGTAACTCATCGTCCTCGCTCTCGCTGTCGTAGTCGGCGCCGCCGCGCTCGTTCCAGACCTCGCGACCGTCGTCCGCGTAGCCCTCACCGTTGTCGTCGACCACGAAGTCGTCCTGGTCGAGTCGGTTGCGGATAATCTTCTTGTAGCCTTCGTCGTCGACCTCTTCGTAGACGTCGCCCTGTTCCTCCACCTCATAGGTGGACAGGCGTTTCTTTCCGGCGGCTCGGAGAGCGCGCAGCTCGGCCAACTTGGCACGGGCAGCAGACATGGCGAGGCCCCCGACTGTCCTTGAATTTCACTTATGAAGACGCAGAGTCCATCAAATGGCTGTTGATTCCCTAATGTTCAACCCGAAATAAGACCTCGTGACTGCAATGGAGGGTTTCAAAAAATAGTGGGTTTGAAGAAGGGGGGCTGCGTGGTGGGTGCCAGTGATGCTGCTGTTGCTCCAGAAGGCGCGGAGGCGGAGGAAGCCAAACGCGTGCGGAACGCGGTTACGACGCGCAACCCGCCAATCCCGTCAAAGGTCAAGTAAAGTGGTTTCGTTGCCTTTTGCGGTAAGCGAACATCGGGACGGGATCGGACAGGACAGGACAGACTAACCTGTCACTTCGACACTATCCACCAAATTGATACATTTACAGATACAATTTTTTTTTCCCAATTTGAGATCTATTCAATGTTCCTTTTATGACATGATGCTACCCTAAGTTTAGTCGGTAAAAGACTACATTTTCTGCTCCAATAACACGACTGAAGCTACCAACATCACCAATAAACCCCATCCTCGGGCACACTCGAGTCACTATCATCCACTGCCGTGTGTTAGCACTATCTGACCCAAGCAAAGTACCAATGATGCTTACATGGTACAATTCCATAATCGAATGATCCATCTACGCTCGCCTTGAGGGTTTCACTGATTAGGAGTTGAGCCTCTTCAGTGAGAGTGCTATCGACCGCATTCAGGATCGAGAGGCTGAAGCCCGTGTTGCCCGGGCCCAGATGTGAGATGAAGTCAAAAATCCCATCGGCTGTAAATTTACTGAAGGCGGGGATTACAAGGGCTCGAAGCTCCCTGAGGTGATAGAAGGCCTGTAATACGGTATCGTCGAAGAAATCACCGCTGATCCATAGGCATTCGAGATGCGGGAGCGATGCGGTCAACGTTATGACATGCTCTTGGGCAAAGCCATCCGAGATGTCCTTGAGATCCAAGTCACGTAGCTCATGCAGCTGACCTAATGCTTGTACAAGTATCTCGATGTCCTCGGGGACAAAAGAGGGGTCACCGCTCAGACAGAGACTGCGCAAACTCTGCTGGCGGCCAAGGGCTTCATGGAAGGCATCGCTGCCAGACATATCATACTTGGCTAAGGAAAGATTAGTCAATGTGAGTCCTTCCTTGGACAACGTCTGCGACAACAGGAAGGGGTCGTCGACAAATCTCCGCAAGTCCAGCTGCCGCAAAGACCTACAATTGCCGATCCACTCGGCGACTTGCGAGACGATTGCATAAAAGCTCTCATTCCGCGGGCTTGGGACCGAATCCACTAAAGCCAGAGCTCTCAATGATGGAAGTGGCTTTAAAGAAGGCAGTTCAGCGATGGCTTTGATCGTTAGACTCGTTAACTTGAGTTCTGATAACGATTGCAATTGTGAACCCAGAGCCGCGACCGAGCGAGGTCCCAATTGACTCAGGCTGATTAGGTCGAAGCATTCTAATGTATCTGGGCTTAGCTCTTTGAGAAACTCTTCAGATTCTGCTTCTGCGGTGATGGGTGGACGGTCTCTCCTGCACCCTCGTCAGTCTGGCATGCATCGAGTCTGCACAAGCAGTCGAATCATACCAAGAATAGATCGTGAGCTGCTTGAACTTCGGACAATTCTCGCGAAGCTGGGCACCGGTGTGTTGACTTAGAGCTGCGCCGGACCATACTGTCAATGATTGTAGCAAGGGCAACCCTGCAACCCATTCAGATAACGTTTCCGGAGGGACTATTGGAGCATGATAAGCAGAAGACATAAGTTGAAGATGCACATGCAATGGGTTGAGGACACAATTGAGTCAGCTTACCATGGAGTGACATCCCTCGTATAGAAGTAGCCTTCTTGACGATAGCTTTTCGGTGTTAGCTCTAAACTTCAGTAGTCCGAATGACACCACCGAGGGTGCAAGGAAGAGCCCGCGGCGATGCCATTTGCTTAGGATCACGAAGAGTCAGACCAACCGGAACCAATCCTGAGCTTGACCAAATCGGCGCTGGGGTCAGGGCCCTTGGCTGACGAACGCAGCCGCTTGTTCCCTTTGGCCTCATAGTCGGAAGAAACAGTGTCCAAGAGTTCTGACGAAAAGAAGTCCCTTAGATCCGCCAGTCAATATCGGATTCGGGCGCACTTCTAGCTCATAGATGATGGTGCATGCTTACTCTCGTATCTGCCCACTAAACTTCGGATCTTTTAGCAGATCCCCGAGATCATCCAGATCTAGATAGCGGAGATAACTGCAATAAGGCAGGTAGGTGTGACCCAGAGAGGACAGAGCAAGGGAACGCCACAATAGAGCCCACTTATGGACTGCAGGATCTACCATGCGCTTCAGAGATGCATTGAATGGAGGCCGTTTGAGAGGGTTGAAGAATTGCTCATCCTCGGTTCCCCCGCCCCGTACGGGTGATGCATGACACACTCTGCAGGATGACCATCAATACCAACACTGCTGTGAGGAAGGACAAAGTCCCAATGTGAGAGAGGTTTAGAAGTACTTATATAGCACAGGTATCGAGTGAGCTGCAAGATGTCTCGACGAAAGCGCGCATTGAAACAAGCTGTGGTGGTCTCGCTCGTCGCCCAGGATATCCAGGATCATACAGAGGACGTCATCGGCCAAGACGAAACTCATTATCGCGACACGGCGCTCTCGACACGGTCAGATGCACCGCAATCCAGCCAGAGGGGGTTGCTACCTGCGTCTAAAATCTTGCTAAAGGTAGTTAGTTTAGTTTCGAAAACTCCTGTGGCAAATGTACTTTGTCAAGGTTTCCTTGCTGCAGGCAACAACTACAGTAGGACGCCACGGCCTCAGCTGAGAGTATCTGCTTATGTAATCTCCCACCATGTTCGCGGTCGACGTGCCGCTGGTTCGTAACAGAGAATCCAAAAGAGATACCAACAAGTATACGTGGCACTCTGATTAGCTGCTTGCTCAGAGACCTTAAAGGTGACAAAGAAAGGATAGGGATCTAGCATCAGGACAATCAGACTTGCTTTACATCTCCAGTGGGGCACGTCTATGGCGTCGCTATCGTTCTCCCTCTCCCCCGAGGCGATATACCAATTACACGATGCTCTGATGTGTCTGGGCAGATTCGGCGATAGTGTATCATTTGAAGCCCAATTTGATCTCGTATGTTGCTAAAGCTAGACAAATGACAAAAGTACCTGACGAACGACTCCAGCTTCGTTTGAGCGTTCTGAACGTCACCAAGACAGCCTACGCCGCTTTCGCGTTTGACGCCGACAAGTTCTTCGAATCTTACTCATTCGGGGTGAACAGAAACCATCTGTCTCCAGGGGTCGAGACTCACAAGTTCTGCTGCCAGATCTTGATCAAAGTGGGTGTTTGCCGGATTCGAATCTCAGCCGCCATAGATGTCGTGCAGCAGCTAACAGCGAAGCAGGCGCTTGTCTCCGTCTTCAAAGGAAGGGTAAGCGGGCGCAACAAGGACACATCGGTCGAGCGCTGTGAGGTCGAGCTGCAGGACGATCCCGATGAGACAGAGTGCCGTCTCATCATCAGGCTGATCTGTGGACTGGGTAATGAATCCTGCGTCGCACGCATATTTGATTCCTCGCACTGTGATACTGACGGGGACTCAGGTGTCATCAAACTGTACAGACTCTCATACGAACCTGTTCTGGTGCAACATGCAACATTCGACCGGTCTAGAGCGACGAACGAATGGAGCATTGAGCCCAGGTTTCTGAAAGAAGTCACAGATCACTTCGTCCCGTCTGCCGAACAGCTGGACATTTACTCGGAGCACGGCAAGACCGTCTTTACTAGCTTCACTACCAAGATTGTCGAGGGAAAAGGTAGAGGTCATCTCCTGATCTACTACTCATTGATGTCTATGCTCACGTCCTCTCCCCTATCCAGAGATCCTGCGGCAACCGGTGCACACCTCGGTAGCCATCGACAAACGGGACTTTGAGTATTATCTGGCCGAGGACAATCTTCACATCGCGATCAACTTAAGGGACTTCAAGGCTGTCCTTGCGCATGCTGATCTTGTCCACGCCAGACTTACCGCCCGATACACCACCCCATGTCGCCCGCTGCAGTTTGCATACGGGCTCGAGGGCGTGAGCTCCGAATTTACCGTGATGACGAGAGGTGCAGCAGTTGAGGATGATGGTGTGAGCTCGTCTCGAGCCGCCGCACCCCAATTGTCAGCTAGACAGACACCTGCTCCCGTGCAAGTGAATCAGCAGCGGACAACCGCAACCGATGCGAGCCGGATGCCACCGCCGCCGGTGCGGCGGAGTCGGTCTCTCCGCCCTCTGACGGGGACGTCCGCGCGGGCTTCACAAACGCAAACCGACACAGAGTCCCGGAGACCTCAATCGCCGGCCGAATTTGATAGTCTCTTTGTGCCTGCAGATGACGACAGGCAGTGGGATGTGCCGAATGAGGAGGAGGAGGAGGAGGAGGAGGCGCAGGCCGAAGACAAGCTGGGCTGGGATGCAACAGGTGATGATGTACGACTCCCAGAACTACCTGGTCGATTTTGAATTCGTGTTACTGACGCAACCACAAGGACACTTTCACCGCAAGTCTGGGGCCGCGGGTACCGAATGAGGAATCCGAGGCTGCCGAACTGGGCCAGGAGGATGAGACGGGCATTCCGCCTACCCAGCCCATTTCACAGGTATTTCGAGCCTCCTTCCCCTTGACAACGACGAAGGGAACTAACGCCGTCAGCTCCATGGGCTTGGTCTGTTCGATTGAGCAATCGAGCATAGCCGTCCTATCACCCTAAGACAGCCACACCGGTTGCCATCCCGTGAGCCACACACTCTCGCGTGAACAGAGCATCACTCCCTCAAGAAGTGATAATCCAGCTTGTCGCGCAACCAGCGCCAACTCCCACGATCTCGGACTCACCCTCAGGCAGGGGAATCCGCGTGGACTCGTCCTTGACATTGCCCTGCGCATCGGTATCAGGGCCACAGTTACCATGCTCGCCCCAACCACAAGCTACCACCGAGTAATCATCCAGCCGAGCAAGAAGATGCTCGCTGCCCACCGCCAAGTCCCTGACTTTACCCAAGCCAGGCGCTGGCGGAAGCTGTCCGCGGTCATTCCTGCCCCAAGCCACCACCTCCCCAGCATTAAGATGTACATAGATTCCATGCCAGCTAACCTCGATGGTCCGATACCCTCCGGCGCGTAGTACCCTCTCCCTGAGCGCAGACGCAGACGCCCCCGATTGAATCCCCCACTTATCATCCGCAGACCCCAGCACGACGAACTCCCCCTTGGCACGATCCCCCATGACCACCGTAAACTCCCGCCCACACGCCGCCCCCGTCGCGCGGAACCCTAAGCCCTGGATCCTCCGGGGAGTCCACACCACCTTATCGGGGATATTGGCCTCGCCCAACTGGCCCTTCCTCGCCGCTCCCCAACCCCAAACACTTCCGTCTGCAAGCACCACCACCATGTGGGCCATGCCACTCGCAACACCCACAACCTGGGAGTCCGGAGGTGGGAAGTCCGGAATCGCCACGCCGCCGCGGCGAGCGCGCAGACAGTCCTTCCCCAAGCCCAATTCCCCTTTCATTCCCGTCCCTAACACAAACACTTGATCCTGCCTCTTCGCTGCTTCTGTCGTGGACGAAGAACCCACCAGAATTGTCGCCTCCCACGTAGCCGCCACCCCTGTGAAAGTGTCATGAACCCGCGCCCCATCCCCACAGCCAGTAGCAGCATCATCATCACCCGCATGAACAACCACCCTCCTGAAACTCCTCACCACTTCCTCTTCCCCCTCCCCCTCCGCCTCCCCTTTGTCCCCCACCTCATCCCCAGTACCCGGACCTAAGCTCAAACCCAACCGCCCATCCCCATTCAACCCCGCCGCAAACACCCTCCCCCTAGCGTCCAACACCAGAGTATGATTCCCACCGGCCACGATCCTCACCACCTCCGCACCCTGTGGCTCCGCGTCCTGCTTGCGGGAAGCGTCTGCCTGAAACACACATCGCGTCGGGATCGAGACGTCCTCCTCGTGGCCGAGGCCTAGCTGGCCGGATCCGTTGGAGCCGAAGGCAAAGAGGGGCATAGTATTTATTAGGTACTGCTGCGGAAGGGGTTATTTGGTTTGTTGGTAGATCGATTACTCGAGAGTTGAGGTGTTGAGTTATCTGATTGAGAAAGAGTAGTCGATGGATCTGGGAATCTAGACTGGGATGGGTATTTATCCGGCGAGAAGAGCTAGGAGGTTGTAGTTTGACCACGCCGCTTCACGGAGTGAGGGACCACTGGCTGAAACTTGAGGAAAGAGGTTTAATTAGCCTTGGTTATACCACACACCATTGGAAACCATGTAGGATGGCAGGGACAAACAGAATGAGAGAACCCACAAGTTACTGTATATCGATAATGATCCGAGATGATGCTTATCCTTAACAATGCAGTCGTACCTTGGCTTCTCTTAGAAACGAGACCACCTCGGAGCACACAAGAGGCGACGACGCTCCCCCGCCCCCAAAATATCAGATAATCTTGCAGGAGATAATCGAGCTAGTGGAGTGGAGAGGAATCTCGTTGGCAGGATTTATCCATTACTGATAACAACCGTCGCCTAAACATGGCCCTCACAAAGAGTGATGGGTTACCGCCTTCTTTTATCGTTGACCGTATCACAGCGGGATGAAAATTCCGCTTGTCTGTCCGGCAGAATCCTGCCGACCGCAAACGGCACACAGGAAAGAAAAGGTCCGGGCAATGACGACCTCGGGGGGGTGAGAGACGCCGTGGGCACGATTGTCGATGTAACTCGCTTCCCCATGGAATTGCAACGTGTCGAGTCTGGGGTAGAAATGTGGAGACAAGAGATGTTACACGGTGCTAAAGTAAGATCCATGGGAAAAGAAAGGTGGGAAGTCAAGTCGAGATGAAAAAATATGTATAATTTCCCAGCCGTGGGAATGATGCAGTATTAAGCACTTCTATATACTAAATGTAGGTATGTACCTGGGTATTGGAGGAGGTGTATAGCCACAGCCAAGCAAAAACAAAGCAAAACCACTCGCTCGAAAAACCACAAATTGCGAAACAGCAGCAGAAGGATAGAAGAGAGTAAGGCATCACCAACGCGAAATGAGGTATGCCACATGCCATTAATGAATCACGCATATGTTCTTTTCAAGGTGCTAGAATAGGAAATCATTCAATCGACGTAGCCTAATGAGACTTCTCATTGAAGGACTCTTCCGAGTCATCCTGCGCGGCAGGAGGAAGAGCAAAGTTATCCGTTCTCGTGGCTGGCTTCTCTTCCATTCCGCGGAACATGGGGCTCGTGCGGTGGAAATAGGAGTGGACGTGGCCTTCCAGAAGAGACTCATCGGTGTCCTGCAGATAATCCTCATCCTTGGTAGTCTCATCCATCTTGCGAGCCATGGCCGATTCCCATTCAGCACGGAACTCCTCAACCTTCTGCTTGTAATCAAGTTCGGCATTGTAGTTCTTGCCAACGCCACGCAGACGTTCCCAGACAGACAGGTGCTTCGAGTGAATAGCAGGACCGTGGTAATCCTGCTCACGACCTTCGCGGATGTACTGCCAGCGACGTTCCTGCTCCTTCAGGTCAAGGCCAGTGGTATCCGGAAGGAAGAGCCAGGTCAGGACCATACCGGCCAAACCCCACCAAGGCACGAAATAGAACTTGGTCTGGGTGCCGATGTAGTTGTACAGCACCGAAGCGAGCAGCGCACCGAGTTTACCGCAAGCGGCAGAGATACCGTGAGCTGAGGCACGGATGGGAGTAGGGAACACCTCAGCGGCAACCAGGAAAGTGATGGAGTTGGGGCCAAACTGGTTGAAGAAAGAGCTCAAGAAGTACATAGCCTGGAACGCATGGATGTGCTCCGGCTGGGTGTAGTAGTCATAGTGGAAGGCGGGGATGATGAACATGATAAAGCACATCAAGAAGCCGACGATCTGCATCCACTTGCGACCGTAGAGCTTGTTGTCCACGAAGAAGGAAGCACAATAGTAGCCGGCCAAGGAGACACCCACATTGCACAAACTCCACAGCCAGGTAGGCATGATAGACTTGGTGCCAGGGCTCAGAACGGAGATGAACTCGGAGCTGAAAAGCTTGTTACCGTAAAAGAAGACATCGTTGCAGAACCAGCCACCGGTGGTGGCCAAGAGACGAGGGCCGAAGTACTTCAGGGTGAGCTTCAGAGAGTTGATATCATATCCAGTAACCGAGGCCTTCTTCTTAGCGGCGTCGAGCTGCTTACTGGCGGCTTTCATGTGGTAGGCACGGTAGTAAACAAGCCACAAAGTTCCGACGGCGGGAATGGCGAAGGAAATGCGGTAGGTCCACTGCGCAGCGACGGCTGAGTAGGGAGGGTTACCACTCCCATGGTGGAAAATCAACAGCAAGATGATCAGAATTGCCTGGTTGAAGAACTGACCCCAACCCTGCATCAGGAAAGCGCTGGTAACCTTACGACCACGGTGGAGACGATCCTCTTTGGTCGAGACTTTTCCAGAGCCGACGGCGTTCTCCATACCGCTAGTGGCAGTCATGGGGTATTCACCACCGACGCCAATACCATAGACGAACAGGGACCAGGCATAGCAGATAACCCAGCCATTTTCGGTAACACCCCAGGCTGCGACGAGCATGACCAGACCGAGCAACATGATCGTGGCATCCTGAATCAAACCCCAGCGACGACCAACCCTGAAGTCCGAGGGTCAGCGAAAAATTCATTCCTCATGCTGCGGAAGAAAATGGAAAACATACCAGTCACCAAGAACACCAACCAAGATCTGACCGACAATGATACCGACAATCTCCAGGTAGTCGATGGCGTAAATCCATTGCTTGTCGCAGGTGTCGTATTCTTTCCAGCAAGACTTGAAAGAGTTCTGAAAGAGAGGCTTGATGTTGCCGATAGAAAAGAGCACGTAACTGGAAGATTGCAGAGGCAATGTGAGCAACACTAGTGACATTGTCGAGGCTGCTTATGTGATGACTTACCCTTCAAGACCCAGACCGGCACCAGGCAGGACCATATTCCGGAAGTAATAAGAGACAGGTGAAAGAGGATCCTCCTTGATCATGGCCCAGATTCCCTTGAGCTCACGCTTGGATTCCTGGGCATCGTAGGAGCCAACGAATTTGACTCGCCTGACCAGGGGCAAATCAGCCCAGTAGGTGCCATCGGGGGTATAGCTATCATCGGGGCGGATGAGGCGATCGAAAGCACCCTTTTCGTGAAGATCCATATCCTCGAGGGGATTATGGGTGCCGGTCATGTCAGGGCCATGAGGGGCCTGAGCACCGAGGGTAGCCATCTTGTCGGACGGTGTATGAGATGACAATCGACTTGGCTGTCGCAACAAGACTTTGACAAGACGAAGAGGCGCTCTTGGAAGTGTCTCCTAGAGAGGAGAAGAGAGAGGAACGGGCGAGTTGACCGTGATGGGGCGTCACACACGATGCAGGCCAAGTTGTTGGACAGCGGCCAGCCGTCAATCTTATATTCCGAAAATCTCTGGGCTGGGCGGACCAGCAACAGCCCACCGTCACGCCCCAGGCACATGTGCAAATGGTGGGACGTGATAAGCCAAAGGCCGGTCTTGGAGGTGGTTCATGGATGGGTCGACTTGGCGGGGGGGGGAAGGAGGAAAATTCTGGGTACTGGATTTCTACTGGGTGAATTCTCGCATTTTGGTTAGGTAGAGCGAGATCCAACGTAGTGGCGGCGGGTGGAGAAGAGTAAGAATTAGTTTTAGGCGGAGTGGGGATCGAAAAGAAGGGTTCCACCGCACTGCAGGTTCGACTGGGAAAGAAAGACTCGGGATGCTGGGAGGCGGACTTCTTGCCAACCCGCAGTGGCTAGGCTCTAGACCCAGTTGAGCGCCTATTCAGTAGGTAATACCTAACTAACTTACTGGGTAGTTAATATCTTCCCTCGGTCTTTCATCGCGGCTTTTCGTCCGGACAGCCCGGAGCGGGTGAACGTTCCAGTTCCACTATACAGTACGGAGTACCTCACACAAGAGTTACTGCCGTTCCCGGGCTGCCTTCCTCCCACCTGCATTGCACCCTCACACTGTGACCCATAGATTTTAGAATGATGTGATAACATAATTTAGGCACATTGATGGAAATTGTCAAAAAACCTGAGTTGTCCGCCTTGTGTTGCCTTCTCATTTACAGTTATCCCCGAAGTCATGACTAGATTAATTCTCTCTAATGCACAGCACTACAGTACCTAATGCCAAATCAATGGTGGCGGAAGTCACTTGGTAAGGCGGGCGGGCAGCACCGTGGATCGAGAGGGGCGCTTCCGACTAGGAAAACTTCCGCCGCCGGCCAATGAACGGCGCACGTGGCGGCAGAATCGCTTTCGATCGACATTGACCGCCTTCTAGAATATCCCGGCCCGGGTTTACCTCGGACCAATCAAACCAGGCTACCCCGAACCGTCCCCCACGAGCTGGTGCAGTGCCTCGCCAGCTGGTGGCATCATCCGCCTATTTTTTTCCTGTACCTCCGGGGATGATAACAGTACGAAAGGGATCGATTGGATCTGGATCTAAGAATCCTAATCATCATGTTGCTGTGACACTTAACACGCCAGTCTAATTTGGCTCCGCTTCAATTGTGGTCCCTTGTTCCCCAGACGGGAAAGAGAGAGCGTGCGCACTGCGTGGTGAGGAGGAGGAGACTGAGGAGAGTACGGACCGGCCGCAATGAGGGCTCCGCTTGGATCATCATCAATGTGTTACAAGTTACAAGATGATGTTCATGATGATGACTGCCGGCCGGAGTACAGCTTGAAGAGGCAGCTTATGGAATGTTCAAATCCTTTCTTCACCTCCTCAACCACCTGACATTGGCAGACAGTCACCTCCCAAGCGGCCATGATCAAAAGGGACACGAGTGCATGGATACCTTGACACGGGCTGAAAAGTCGTGGTTGAAGTTAAAATTGTCCAGTATATTCAGTTAAAACAGTTATTCAGTACATGGCTCCAGCAGGGCTATATGCATGCAGTCTCGATCAGGTTGTTTTGGCATTTCTTGGCACGTCCAGTTGTTTGTCCACCAGCCAGTCGTGTCTCGTCGTGCCAGCACGTTCCCGCCAACGCCTTCCCCAGTCGTTACCACCAGCATCCCCCTCCCTCTTCCACTCCCCCCAGAGACCCCCATCTCCTTGTTGCCCTCGTGCCCTCGTGCCTATCTGGGGGCTGTCCACCCCTCCCGTCTTATTCATTGTCTGATTCAGGGCTCCATTCGGTTTCATGGCTCTTGGTTGTATCCACGGATGGAGACACTGGCCCGACCACCACATGGCACTACGTCGGTGCTCCCTCCTATCATAGACCTATCCCTTGCGTGCATTGTGCCACGGTGTACGGGCTTAGGTATACATCAGACAGGTCCTCGACCTCGTACAGCAAGCCCCAAACGAGTCGGAAATCCGAGACTCTCCGATCCTGTCCGGTCATCATCATTGATGACGGCGCACATAGAGTTGCTCTGGCTGGATTTTTACCGACCTTCAATTCAAGAGTGATGGATGAATGGTCCAGGTCCTCCCAGGGGCTGTCTCTCACTCCCGAAATACGACGCCCGCCATGGCTGGGTCCAATGACAACCGTTGATTCCACCTCGTGGCTACAAGGCCCTTTTCATCCGGCCCTACCTTAGCACCTTGAATGCTGACAGGGACTCTCTTATGAAATTAAGTGCTGATCGAAATCACGGATCGCCTAGTTATCGAACTGCTTCTTCCAGCTCCACCCCGAGCTTTCTGGGTCATCGACGAGCGTCATCCTGCGTATGCATCTAGAAAGAGTTACCCGGCCGGCCCTAGTGCAGCCTGTTGGCCACGCGCTCTGTAGTTGGCATTAGCTGGAGGCAAGGCTGCATCAGAGCTCTGAACCCCTGATCCAATTCCCATCAAATGAAAGGATCTAGGGGCTACTCATCACCCGGGAGTGGGCGGCATTAGCGAGGCTGCGCAATTATTAACTGAGACTGCAGCCGGGTGAGATTCGGCGGAGCCGATGGTGGTCGGACACGGTCTACTCTCGTGATCGTAGCTTCTGGTCGCTACGGAGTACAACTTCTGGGACGAAAGCGCAGCTTTCCAGTCCTGGATCGATGATGAAGCACGCGGTGCGCAGGCAGATGTTCTTGTCTCAGCCATCCAAGCAAAGCTTGACCCAAGGCGTCTCACAAGCCTTCTTGGCCTCATCTCATCCAGAGAACACACGGCTTGTTTTCCGCCACCGATATGGATGAGGTGACACTCAGGCTGGACTGACTTTCGCCGCCCCGTCTGTTTCCGAGTTCTTGGCGTGGAATCATCCTGGCGCCGCTTATGCCTTGCCACTCCTTGACCCTGCATGCTTGGAAGGCCGCTGGGCTGGGCCGTCGAAGGAATGCCAACGCGGCAACCGATGTACCCGCTCTGCGTTGGACTCTTTCAGACAGTTGTCGCCCCCAAGCTGAGCGGACCCCTTACCTTAGTCATGCATGATTACTGTCACCGAGTAGCGAAGTGAAGTGGCTCGCTCACACGATGACTTCCGAGTACTTGGGGGAGGGTGGTAGTTCGGCCGGCGACACTAGTCACTCGGTCGGTTGCCTTGTGTAGTGAATCCAAGACCCGGCAATGGCATTGTTCTTGTTCTTTCGTAGTACGAGGCCAAGCCCTTGCATAGATCAAGCTGTCCCGGATGCAGTCAAATTGGTAAGCTGACGGCTTGGCCGGTAGCCTCCTTGGCCGGGTGCTTACAAGACCAATCCAGCCCGTAGATAATATCGAGTCACCCGGTGTTTCACACACCCATGTATGATAATTTCAGGCTTTGCTAGCTGAGCAGATGGTACAACGTAGTCCGGCTTAATAGGTATGCTACGGCTACAACAATCCTCTTATCTCTGAGCACCTCCATCCAAGAAGGCAACCCTTTCACCCGATTCTATATGAAACCAAGCACAGGGTTGGTTTCAACCGCTGAACCAGACCATTTCTTTGATCTGAATTCCTCAAACCCGTCACAACCATACATAGCCTCCTAAAAGTATAGACCAAACCAACGGAGTAGACTGAACCAGATTGTGCTTCTACTCATACTGTACCTGGTACATACGACTCATTATGACGAGAACCATTATCCATAAACAGTATAGACTGGCAGTCAATCTGCCCGCGGGCCCCTTTGAAGGAATCCCCTCCAACCCAGCAATCTCGTAGCCTCAAGTATCGGCTCCGATACATCATCTAATCTCACCCCCCCCCCCCCCCCCCGACACCCTCCCAAAAGCGAAATCGACTCGACACCAGGCCTAGCGATATATATCTGTATCTTTGGATCCTATCGATCATCGAACCACACTACCTTGATGATCACGCGGCAGCATCTGCTAGTGAGAGCCTAGAGTTATATGTACGAAGGCACTAAACCGTAGGAGAGGGGGATGGAAGAGTAAACGTCACTCTCCGCGCTCCTTTTGAGAAACGATTAGAGTCCGGGGGGGTTGTTTTTGTGGGTAGCTGCAGTTGCGTTGGTGTAAGGTGTGCTATTCCTGCTTGCCAGGAATCGCATGTTGTTTAGGTGCTGTGCAGTATGGTCTGGCCATGTACTACTGAATGTCTTTTGTGGGTCGTGTTGTCAGGCTAGCTGGAACTCTTCTAAATGAAAGGTGATGATTTGCATCGCGTTGCCGGGTAAATTATGAATATAAGGATGGGATGGGTTGCAATGCCCGAGCACTCAAAAGACATTTTGCAGTTGGGGCGATTAGACCAGTTATCTGCAGATTCTAAGTCTGAGTCTGTGGTGCTTGGCTCTAAACAGTCATCAGACACTACCTGACTCGCCATGGCATCCTGCTAGCAGTCCGAGGATAACCAGAGAGGCATGCACCTCTGTCAATAATTACCGCTCGGTTCCGTGGCTTGTTTGGACCATGGGTTTGTTTCGTAGGGTGTTTAGTTCTCCATACATGATGCTGTTTATCTGCGCCCACTAGTCTATCGAGTTGCCGCTGCTAGCGAAGCTCAGTCCAGCTTCCGCGACCTCCTTCACTTCAGCCATGCGCATGGGGATCAACTGAAATGCTCAATGCTAAATCGCTCCTAGGCCAACCAAGTCAACAGAAGCTCAAGTGTTCCTCCCTGCCTGCCGCATCTTATCCTCAATCACCGCATCAGCGCTCGTACGCTCCGCCTCGTGCAGCGCCAACCGATCCTCGACTGTTGAAAAAGGGCCATAAACCCTGGATCGATGACCTTCCAATAGATCTCATCGAGCATGGCACTATGATGCGAAGCAAGACAGAACCAAAACCAGCAAGTCCGCAGCGCGTTCCCCGTAACGACGGCAGCCGCTTCGGTTGCAATAAGGAACCATCATCCCGGGCCTTCTCGACCTCGCAATCCCTAGGGACATCAACAAACGGGCGTAATCTCGGCATGGCCGTGACATTGTTTCGTGGAGTAAGCCCGTGAAAGCCATCGGAAGAAACAGCTGCGATTTACATCTTGCGGCAATTAGCTTTATCCTCTACCGCATCATGCGGTGTAGTTCGAGCTGGTGGAGCTGGTTGAAGGTAAGCTAGTCGAAGTAAACCGAGACATTATCCAAGCGCCGTTGCTCAAAAAGTACTGAGGGCTGTTCCATAACTGCGCAAGGCGTTTCATGTTGCAGGTCAATGGTCATTTGTGCACCGTCCACTCCTCGGACCTTTGTCCTGTCCGATAGCGCGAATTAGAGGGATCTCAGGCTTCGGCAGCTTCTTATAGAATCTGCGCCGTTCGCCAGTATACGCTTGTCACAAGACAGACATGCGCATAGCTGCGTAGAGGGTGATTACCTCCTGGGCCTGTTCCAGATATCCGCGGATGGCTTGCGTTGAAAATAGTGCATCACAGTATATGAAACCACCGGATGTACCTGCACAAGAGGACAGACCATTGATGCACTCAACGGCCAATCGTTATAAAGCATAAGGTAGTGATGTGACACAAGAAGCCAAATCATGATTTGCTGCAGTCCGGATTCATTCCGTCAGCAGGCCCAACTAGCACGTCAATCGATATCAAGCGGGGTAGGACCGAGACGTATACTTCCTACCAAGCCAACATCAATCCGGATCAAGCTTGCACCTTGCTTATTTCACTGGTAGAAAGCATACTGCATATATATTTTCACTCGCGCACAGATACGACATGGCGATTCAAGCACCAATTGTAAATCATCCCCCGCAAGACGATGTCTCGAGCAAACCGCTACACACTTACGTCCATCCACCGGAGACAACGCAACCGCGTACGTCCTTCACCCGATGGCCATCCGTTGATGGAGATCACTGACACTCAAGCCAGTCGACTATGCAGACCTCGTCACACTTGATCTCTCCCGGTTCGATACTCCCGAAGGCAAAGCCCAACTAGTGGAACAATTGAAGCAAGCTGCGCATGACGTGGGTCAGTGATCGTTCGCATCCCACCATGAAGAAGTTGGTCCCAATTGCACAAAAACCAAGCTGACCGAAGTGGGGGGGGGGGCCGCAGGTTTCTTCTACATCACCAACTTCGGCCTCACCCAGGACCAAATTGACCGACAGTATGCCATTGGGGCAGAATTCTACGCATTGCCATTCGAGGAGCGACTGAAGTACCGCGCTCCGCTCGAAGAGGGCAACTACAATGGCTACCGGCCGCTCGGAAGCGTCGAGCTCGCCCCGGGCCAGCCAGACAAGGTGGAAATGTACAACCTGTTCAAGTTCATCCCGCAGACGCAGCGCTCCCAGCCGGCCGTGATCCGACGGCACTGGGACGAAATTGAGCAGGTCCATCGTCACATCCATGAGAACGTGGCGCACAAGATCCTCAGGCTTCTTGCGCTGGTTTTGGAACTGCCGGATGAGGAGGCGTTGATCAGAGGCCATCGCTACGAGGCAAACTGCGACAGCGCGCTGCGGTATATGATGTCGAGGGCGAGGTCGGCGGAGGAGAATGAGAGGTGCAACCATATCTACACGCGGGGTCACACGGATTTCGGTACCTTAACGTTTGTCTTCCAGCAGCCGGTGGCGGCGTTGCAGGTGAAACGGTCCAAGGAGGCCGAGTGGCAGTGGCTGAGGATTCCCGAAGGTTATGCGGCCGTCAACATTGCTGATATTGTGGAGTTCCTCTCCAACGGCTATCTGAAGAGTGGGGTCCATCGTGTTGTGTCTCCGCCGATGGATCAAGTCGGGCTGGATCGTTTGGGACTGCTGTACTTTGTAAGGCCGTCGGATGAGATGAATCTTGGTGCCATCGATAGTCCACTTCTCAGGCGATTGGGATATTACTCGCAACAAAAACAAAATGAGGAGGTGGCTATTCCGGCCACCGAGTGGGTGAGGGCGAGAGTCAAGAAGAACTGGGTGAAGACTGAGTCGAAAGAAGTTCTTTCGTTGGGTCGATTTCAGACCCAAGTCTTGTATGACTAATATTTGCATTCGACTGTAACTCCATGCTGTACTCCGATCATCGTATGACCTAGAGACTAATATGATATTGGGCTATGAGTCTTCTCTTGTCAGCACCAATGAGCGCCACGTGCCAAATCCGGGGTAGCGTCCAGATACGAGCACTGCGGCACGAATACGACCCCCAGATGGCATCGCAGTAGGTTCCCCGCACTGGTCGAGACAAGCAACATTGCGCTCGGATACGGACCATGGAAGTGCATAGTGCTATCATAAATAAGTCAAAGACGACTACATCCATCTCGTCTGCAAGTGTTACATCCACGGAGACCGAACTCCGCAAATACTCACTCAACTTTGTAACCCTTGATCCAGTGCGCTCATGGATTTCGGGTAGATTGAATGTCAAGGAGGTCACCATTTCGCTGACCCTCGGCCGCGACAACAGAATCTCTCTATGAGAAGTTGAGCCCTGGGGGATTAATGCCAAGAATGCCGTCGGTGGGCGCACACATTCTTCAAGCTGGCGGTCGAGGCGTCTTTCCACCGGGCGGCATTCGCTGCCTGACTGTTCAGGCTGATGCATTCCGACGATATCCCAGGTCCAATTGGATTCATCCTCATGTCAACACGGTCACATCGTGCGATTTGATAAGTACTGAGACGTGCCGGATCAAGTGAAGCTTAAGACGATAGCGTCCGTGTATTGATTTCCCGATGTCGACTGGCCATCCCAGGGAATGCTCGAACAACCTCCAGGCAAGGCCACAAACACTATACATGAGATCTCATTGCCGGGCTGATGCAGCTGCAATGAAACTTGATTTTCACCGTCTGTTTGTTGACCGCAGAAAGTTAATCGACATCTTTATACCATGAGCCGTCTAGTAAACTGGTTGCCGACCGTGTCGGCATTCATCGCCTTCATCCTGACCCTGATATGTCTCTTCGCGGGGACCCAAACGGATATACTCCCTGACACTTCCATTTTGACTGTGAGTGACCTCGCTTCCATCGTCAGCACGACGCCGAAGTTGCTTGAGTGGTCAAGACATCCCTCTAACATCTACGATAGATCTATACATCAAACATCAGCGAAAGCACGGAGCTAGCCGGATTCTACTCCGTCCATGTCATGTCATACTGCGAGGGAGAGCTGCGGGTCAACCACAAGGATTTCAACAACTGTTCCGATCGGACGTTATTCTTTTCCTTTGACCCCGATGCCGCGATTCGGGCCGACACGGGGAATGTGACCTCCCCAGCAGAGCTTGGGTGGCCCAGCGCGATCACCGACGACTTCTACGCTTTCCGAATGACATCGCGCAGTATGGGAATCTTCTATTGTCTGGGCGCCGGGGTGGCCGCACTGGCGCTGTTTGAAAGAGCGTGGTGGGCGCTCAGACGCGGACCGCGACAGACGGTCACGGAAGTCTCGTCCATGATGGTATGATTCATCCCGTCCCAGTTGCGAGATGTGTGGGTTTTTTTGTGAACGGATGATACTGACCCGCGCGCAGCTGAGTTTCACGATGCTTGGAATCTCGTCCATCATTGCGACGGTGATTGCATTTCAGTTCGTCAAGCTTGTCAACTACCACGGCCAGGAGGCTGGAGTGACGGCGGAGTACGGGCCGCAGTTCCTAAGTCTTACTTGGGCAGCAACAGGACTGTATCTGATTGGGGGCACCACTGGGCTAGTGATGGTGCTGATCGACCGCAGTCGACCTCCAGTAGACGACGTTCCTGACCTTGAGTTTGACGAGGGCCCTGACGATCTGTTGGAGGATCACGCCAAATCGGAAGTCCATAGTCACCATAGTGACGATTCGGCAACCTTGCGATCACACGAATAGCACGGGACGACCAGGGACGGGGACCAAGGAACACGGGAATTATCAACGGGAATGTAAAGCGAATCGGAAGACGTAGACCAAGAGAAGAGAGAGAAAAATAGATCAGGGGCCGATCGGACGGATAGAAAAGGGTGGAAAGTGAGGGAAAAATTCGATTGGGTCGGGCGGCAAATGGCGATGAAGCCATTGGTGTGTAATTATTAGTACCTACCGAGTTACGACTGCTCTTGAACATTTACTTGGCTTGAATTGAGACCACTGAACAGTGAGCCCTGATAGCGAGGACTCGAGAAGAATCGAGAAAGCTGGGGGGGGAGACATTAGGGGTATCAAGACCCCACATAAAGTGTCCTCAACTGGTCGATGAGGGTCGAATTTGATGTCTGGCCAGCATTGGGAGGGATGGATAACGTCACAGGGTGGAGAGAGAATAGAGAGACTACGACGTATGTGTAAAATTGTAAGTATGAAAGACTAGAGAGAGAAACTGACACCGGCAATCATAGTGGGTCGCCCTCCTCGTTTTCCCCAGCGGCCATGACGAGGTGATCTTTGATCAAACGACTACCCGTCCACACTGTCTGAGAATGATGATGATGATGACATTCCACTTGAGACTCTCACCACTTTGACCTGCTAACAATGCCCAATACTCATTACTTGGAATGAAAGGTCTTTGTCTCCCCTCTCTTTTCGTCTCTGGCCCTTTTCTCTCAAGCCGAATTGTGCCAAGGAAAGGCATTCCTATCCGGGCCGAAGTACTCCGCAAAACCCGGGGAAGTGCAGAATGACCAGGGCAATATAGGCCAGGATAGGATAGGCCAGAGACGCTAGGGGAGGGTAGTAGAAACCAGTCGTAGTCGATATCAACCGCAAATACTGGCCGGGAGAGATCGGGAGACCGGCCGTGGCTGATTGGGGGTGTTACTACGGAGTAACTACAACTGTCCGGAACTTAGCAACCACCAGACAGAGTCAGAAGGATAGGTGCAGTCAGTAGGGTCTATCCACAATGCAATGCAATCATATTGATTGGCATCTTGTTAGAATATCCTGTTTGGATCCACCGCACGGTTCTTGCCGGTGATGTTCTGAGATGAGAGGGGGTTCCCTCACGTCATCTTCGGATTGGTGAGTCTTGTTTGAGGTGGAAAGTTGAGGTCATTGTCTGCTCCACCAACCAATGAAGTATGCAATCGGCTGTCATTCCCATGTCCCGCACGTTCCTCATGTTTCTATCGTGCCTGCCTGCCGGCCTACCTACAATCCAACCATGAAGTAAGTACGCAGTCAGTTTGACTGTGAATGCTTCTGTGTGTTGCTGCGCCCCTCTTTCTTCCCCTCCCTTCTTTGCCCTCTTGCCCTCTTACCCCTCTTCCGGCAGCTCCTCCCTCCTTTGCAGCTTCATATATTAGTCCCTCTATCCCCCCTCCATCCTCGTTCTATTCCTTTTTCATTCATCATCAACCTCACTCTTCTACAATCTCTTTCACATCAATCAATCTCATCTCTCCCTCTCCTCCTTCATTCCCTCCATCCCCACTTGTCTCGTTCTACTTCATCTCTAGAATAGATAAGACATCCAGCCAATTACTACTATACTGCCCCACCCCACTCATCCTTTCTTCACTACCTCTCATCACAACAATTCATCATGGGTAAAAAGGCTATTCAGTTCGGCGGTGGTAACATCGGTCGTGGCTTTGTGGCCGAATTCCTCCACGAGGCTGGCTATGAGGTCGTGTTCGTTGATGTGGTCGACAACACCGTCAATGCTCTCCAGAACGCAGAGTCATACGAAGTCACTGAAGTTAGCGACGAGGGTGAGAAAACCAAGACCATCACCAACTTCCGCGCCATCAACTCCAAGACCCACGAGAGCGATGTTATTCAAGAGATCGCCACTGCCGATGTCGTCACCTGTGCCGTCGGCCCCAACATCCTCAAGTTCATTGCCCCGGTGATTGCCAAGGGTATTGATGCCCGCACCATGGAGAAGCCCGTGGCTATCATTGCTTGCGAGAACGCCATCGGTGCTACCGACACACTCCATGGCTTCATCAAGCAGCATACCGCTGAAGATCGTGTTGAGACCTTGTACAACCGTGCTCAATTCGCCAACTCGGCCATTGACCGCATTGTCCCCAACCAGTCTCCCAACGCCGGTCTCGACGTCCGCATCGAGAAGTTTTATGAATGGGTTGTCGAGAAGACTCCTTTTGGCGACGTTGGCCACCCAGATATCCCTGCCATCCACTGGGTCGACCACCTCGAGCCCTACATCGAACGCAAGCTCTTCACCGTCAATACTGGCCATGCCACCACAGCTTACTTTGGTCACCTCCGCGGCAAGCGCATGATTGCGGAGGCATTGGCTGACCCGGAGATCAAGGCGATGGTGCACAAGGTTCTTGACGAGACTGCCTCGCTCATCACAGATAAGCACGAGATCTCGGACGAAGAGCAGCAGGAGTACGTCAACAAGATCATCACTCGTATCTCCAACCCCTACTTGGAGGACAACGTTGATCGTGTGGGACGCGCTCCTCTGCGCAAGCTCTCTCGCAAGGAACGTTTCATCGGCCCGGCAGCCCAGCTCGCTGAGCGCGGGCAGAAGTACGATGCCCTGATGGATGCAGTCGAGATGGCTCTGCGCTTCCAGAACGTGCCTGGTGACCAGGAGAGTGCCGAGCTTGCACAGATCCTCAAGGAACAGTCCCCTGAGTCGGCTACTAGCCACCTGACCAGCCTGGACGAGAGTCACCCTCTGTACCCTGCGGTGCTGGAGCGGGTGCGCAAGGTGCAGGGCATCAAGAATTGAAGGCTTGAATCCCGGACGGTTGCCTCGCCGGATAAGAGGTACTTTTTTTATGTTTTACGATGTTCACGAAGATCATTGCGAGTTCAGCACATTCCGAGTTGATCACGGATCGGGAATCCGGAAGCATGTACAACTGGTTAAGCCGCGGGACGGCGAAGAGCCATACGGGATACGGTGAACAAATGGTCGGCGCGAATGGAGCATGGGATACCAGCATAGGTTTCATTTTTCTGTCTTTCAAAGCCCCTCATGTATTTACGAGGCACTCAGCATTTCATATACCAAATGCCATGAATGAGTTATAAATTTGGTGTTCATGCGTAGTCTGTAGGCCCAGTGAAACTAGTAACTACAACTTACTGTCCAACCACTTGGGATGTCGCTTTTCCACAAATGCCCTCAAACCCTCCTTGATATTCTCGCCCGCATTCAGCTTGTCCATCCAATCCTCCATCAGCTTGACCGTCGCCTCGTCGGCCCCGGTCCCCTCCCAGCCGAGATTCACTCCGGCACGACTGACCATCACTGCATCGGGACTATTGGCCGCAATGCGTCCAGCGACCTCCAGCGCGCGGTGCACCACATCCCGCTCCGGCTCCCCCTCGGCATCCATGGGCACCACCTCATTCACCAGACCCCACCGCAGCGCCTCAGCCGCGCTGACCTTCCGCCCCGTCAATACCATCTCCAGCGCCCGCTGCCGCCCCACCGTCCGCACCAGCCGCGGCAGCGCCCCCGCCCACGCCACCACCCCGCGCGCTACCTCAGGGAACCCGAAATATGCCCGCTCCGACGCGATCACCAGGTCTGCGTTGACAGCCATCTCGCTGCCGCCTCCGAGGCATAGGCCATTGACGGCCAGGATGATGGGTTTCTTGCCCGTGCGGCGCGAGAGGCCTCCGAAGCCCGTGGGTGGGGTTGTTGGGGTGTCTTTAGGTTTATGAGTTTGGGGGGTGGTATTGGTGGTGGTGGTGGTGGTGGTGGAGAGCCATTCTTTTTAGGGGGTTAGTTTGCGCTTTCTAAAAGGAATGGTGTAGGTGTAGGTGTAAATCCCCCGTTCCATTGTAGGCGTAGGCATAGGTGTAGGTGTAGTTTAGCCTCACCTTTTAGATCAGCACCAGCACAGAACGCCTTCCCTGCTCCGGTCAAAACGCCGACTCGCAACGCGGGATTCTCGTCCATCCAGCGCCATATGGCGTCGAGTTCGGCGTGGCCCTGGGAGTTGATGCAGTTGAGCTCGCGGGGCCGGTTGAGGGTGACAAGGAGGATGTGCGGGAGGGGGAAGGAGAGGGAGGCGTGTTTGGCGGTTGGGGGTCGGTCGGAGGTCATTTTGGAGGAGTTTTGGTTTGTCGTTGGAGACGAGGTTGATTTCTGGGAGTTGACGTGCTTGCTAGCTAGTTCAATGGTTGTTCTAGATTGCTGTCCGTCTGTACTACTACGTGGTATTTATGGGGAATGCTCAGGAAGATAGTTATGATGCGGAGACGGAGGTGGAGAAGAGGGCGGTGGTGCTCGGTGCCGAGGTTCGCTCCTCTCTCTACCTCACTTTTGTAGTAAGCTACTCAGTAGGCTCTCTTGTAAAACTCGAGTCCGTCGCCCAGCAGCCAATAGACTTGTTTAATCACCACATCTCTACATTACTATCGGATCAAGCTATGCATCATTCGTGTCGTCAATAAATTGGAGGCACAGCATCAGAACTACACAGTCCACCCCGCCCAACGCCTCGCAACTCCAATAAAACATACCCGGGGTATTTCATACAGGCAGTCACCCCTTGTTAATCCAGCCACTGTGCACCATAAAGTCATAGATCCGACTGGTCTTGGCGCTGTCAATCTGCGAAATGTCAGTCTTCACCCAGAAACCAACTCAAAAGTGCACAACGTACCTTGCAGATCGTTCGCGCATCCTTCTTCTTCAGACTTCCCCCCTGCTTCATCGACTCCTTCAGCAGCGTTTCCTTTATCACTAGGTACGGCTTGGGCTGAATATGAAGCACATTGCACACCTCGACCTCCTCCTTCGTCAGGAGATGCAAATCTGGAGCCGCTTCGTTCTCCAGCTTCCATGGTATCACTCCATTCAGCGGCTGCACAATAAACTTGGTCTTCGCCAGCGGCGTGGGCGTGCTGACCCCGTCCCCGTTGGTGGCAAACATTCGGTCAAAGTCGTTCATTGGAGGCTGGCTAGGAGGCTCGGGGGCCTTGGAAGCCCCCGGCGTCTTCTGAAGTCGGAGCGGGAGCTCCGGCGTGGTCAACTGACTAGCCGCCGACGGCTGTTCGGGCTGCTGTTGCTGCTTCGGCCGTGTGCTCGCGAACCGGTCAAATGAGCCCTGCGGCATCATTCGCTGAGCGCGCTGCTGCTTTTCTTGCTCATACTTCTCGCCGCCCTTCAAGTCGCCAATGCCCATCTGCCGCCATTCCTGCAGCTGTGCGATAGCCAGGCGCAGGTTGTGCTCGTACTCCAGTCCCTTGTTGAATTCTTCGAAATCGTCGTGGTTCATCATGCGGGCGAACGGTTTGGCCTTATTCAGCAGATCCCGTTCTTCTTTCGTGCGCTTCTTTTCCAGCGCCGTGTTCTTTCGGTATTCGAGCAGGTTATGCTCAAAAAGCACCTTCTTGCGCTCCGTGCGCGCCGTCAAGCGCGAGTTGTAAATGTCCACCACCGTCATCTTCAGCTCCATCTCCGCATCCATCTCGCCATTCGCAATCTCGCCCGCACCGGGCTCGAAGGTCATATGCTGCACGGCCTCTTCTGCATCGTTCATGAACTCGGTCTCAAACTCCAGCCGACCCGGCATGTAACCCTGTACTTCGTGACACGCCGGAACACTAGCCGTAGGCTTCTGCTTGGGGGTGGTGGGAGGGGCCGCCTTGGCGGCCTCTTTGCGCTCCTCAATGCGGCGCTTCTTTCGCGATTGAAACTCTTCTTTGGAGATGGAATCTGACAGGCGCGTGTCTTCTGGATCGGCGCGTTCCGGGAGAGGGAAGTTGGGGCTGTCAATGTATGTGCTGATGTAGTGATCCCGTACCTCCTCCTTGGTACGATATCCGCCAATATGATCTGCGATGTCGGCCCACGACCCCAGCCCGTAGATGTCCGCGCCTTCCAGTAACAAGAGCTCCTCATCAGCACCCCAGTCTTCTTGGAAAATAGGCACGGAGTTCTGCTCGATAACCTGGAAGGGATGTGTAGACGGATCATGGTTCTTAGACTTTTCTCCGGCCGCAAAACAAGGGACGCAAAGATCGTATTCGTGGCAGGAGGGATGGGCACAGGATACGCGAACCTGAAGGCGCGGAAGAGGTTAGACATTTAATAAGGAGACAAGCAGAGAGTACATACCGTCGAAGTCACATCAACCGAGCAGATATCGCAGTGGTATTTGGTGCCTGCTTCGGTGCCGCGCGAGGCGGTCTTCTTCCGTATTACACCCATCGGTTGCGGTGCCCTCTCATCCTCCAGTGTTCCCGTGTCCGTTGCGACCACCCCGACGCGCCCTCCAGTCAAGGCCGAGGGCTATGTATTCTGAAGAAGAAAGCTTGGCGCGAGTGGAAGGCTTTAAGGCTTTGGGGGGAAGCCGATAAGAGACCGAACAGTGGTCGAGACCGCTCAAGGGATGTGTCTGAAGGTCTCCGCTAAGTTACCGGGTAGGAATGAGTAAGGAAGTGCCGGGGAAACCACGGGGAGGGGGAAAAAAGAAGTCCCGTCAGATTATGCGAAAAGTTGGGTATGATTGAAGGGATAGGAGCGTTTCTGGACAGGCGATCAAGTAGCGCAGAGAACAAGGATGATTTTGGTTATACTTGAATAGATGATAAGTGTTGAGCTGACTTGAGGTCGGCAGTCGTTCCCCGTTCCAATCTGGGATGCTGAGCGGATGGGGAAAGTGGCTGAGCTACTGGGGCGAGTGTACTATCGTTTCCTATTGAGGACTAGTTGCACCGCCGCGGATTTGTTCCAGGAGAATATATGCCTCAGGTGTCACGGCAGCGATGTGTTCCTGACCCAATCATTTCTTTTCCCCTCCTCCACTTCTTCCACATTCAGTTCAGCCCTGAGGCCTCCATCGCTCCCGGTCTGTCCCTGTTGGTTCAACTTGACTCCCACCCCCTCCTTTCACCACTGCCCTGCGTCTCTCTCCCTCTCCATTTTCCGTTCCTTCTCACTCTTTCGGTTCTTTATCGTCCAAAGTCTTTCTCTAAAACTACAAATTATTCGACTTTTCTTTGTCGTGTCGGAGGCAGATTTATTGTAACTGTACATTGGAGAGAGTTTTGTATCGCTGTCCGGTGTTATCGTTCAATCTTCCCTTCTCCTCCTCTTTCCTCCCCCCCCCCCCCCTCCCCTCTTTCCACTCTTACTCCCACTTCTCCCCCTCCTCCTCCCTCTCTTGTTGCTGACCGCTGTGGCTGTGGCGGTTCTGCATTCTATCAACTGCACTTGACTGGTCTGCTTCTCGCTCGTCCTCTGCTATTCCTAGACCTCTTCCACCAGACTCCTTCTGGCCTCTCCCTCCTTATTCTCATCCTTCTCTTGTTCTTTCCCCGGTTATAAACATCTGTCTCTGGACAGATCGATTTTCCTCTTCTCCTCCCCGTCTCCCCTCCTGATTTCTCCCCCTCACCACCTCTCGTCAAATTCGCCGCAATGTCGTGGAAAATCACTAGAAGTATGCAATCTCCCCCTTTCAAGTCCGATCGTGTCCCGATTCTTGATCCTGCATAGGCTAACCGGACGCTTTCTCATCTGTCCTTGACCAACAGAACTAAAGGAAACCCACCTCGCTCCTTTGACCCAAACCTTTGGGCGGTCCTCCTCCACATCCACCATCAAGGGTGATTCTGGCGAAGAAACGCCTGTGGCCTCGCAAACACCTTCTATCTCACCCTCCAACTCGAACGGGATCAGTATGTTGTTTGCTTTTGCCCGCTTTTTTTGCCTCCCCCTTTCCCCACCGCCGACCGTCCTAACATAATCTCCCGCTGTAGATGCCTCGGAATCGTTGGTCTCCCCGCCCGTGGCCCCTGTCAAGCCCGGTATCTTGATTGTCACTCTTCATGAAGGTCGAGGCTTCGCTCTTTCGCCTCATTATCAACAAATTTTCAACTCCCATTTCCAGAGCAACAATGCCTATGGCATGCGTCCCAGTTCATCATCCTCCCATTCTGCCCATGGCCAAGCCGGCTCCTTCGTACAAAGCGCACGTCCGCAGTCGACAAGCGGAGGCATAAACGCTGCCCCCACCATCCATGGTCGCTACTCCACCAAGTACCTTCCTTACGCCCTTCTTGATTTCGAGAAGAACCAAGTCTTCGTCGATGCCGTGTCTGGATCGCCGGAAAACCCCCTTTGGGCGGGCGACAACACCGCTTACAAGTTCGATGTCTCGCGCAAAACGGAACTGAATGTTCAGCTGTATCTCCGCAATCCTGCCGCTCGCCCAGGCGCCGGTCGCAGTGAGGATATTTTCCTCGGTGCCGTCAAAGTTCACCCTCGGTTTGAAGAGGCTTTGCCTCATGCGGAGGACCCAAAGAGCAAAAAGGATAATAAGCAGCCGCAAGAACGTCAGCTTGGTCAACTCGGGGCAGAATGGTTAGATCTCCAGTTCGGCACCGGGTCGATCAAGGTTGGTGTCTCTTTCGTCGAGAACAAACACCGCAGCATGAAGCTAGAGGACTTTGAACTCTTGAAGGTCGTCGGTAAGGGTAGTTTCGGTAAGGTCATGCAGGTCATGAAGAAGGATACCGGTCGAATCTATGCCCTCAAAACCATCCGCAAAGCTCACATCATCTCCCGGTCAGAGGTGACACACACCCTTGCGGAAAGATCAGTTCTCGCTCAGATCAACAATCCTTTCATTGTTCCTTTGAAGTTTTCTTTCCAGTCACCGGAAAAGTTGTACTTTGTTCTAGCCTTTGTCAATGGAGGTGAGCTGTTTCACCATCTCCAGCGGGAACAGCGCTTTGACATCAACCGTGCTCGGTTCTACACGGCTGAACTTCTCTGTGCTCTGGAATGCTTGCATGGATTTAAGGTCATCTACCGTGACCTCAAGCCCGAGAACATCCTTCTCGATTACACTGGCCATATCGCGCTGTGCGACTTTGGTTTGTGCAAGTTGGACATGAAGGACGAAGATCGGACGAACAGTAAGGCTCCTTCCCGCAATGCATATCATTTTCAATTTGGCTGACCTGTCTTGCAACAGCGTTCTGTGGTACGCCCGAATACCTTGCCCCGGAGCTTCTACTTGGCAACGGATACACTAAAACTGTCGACTGGTGGACATTGGGTGTTCTTCTCTATGAGATGTTGACGGGTCTCCCCCCGTTCTACGACGAGAACACGAATGATATGTATCGCAAGATCTTGCAGGAGCCTTTGACTTTCCCTAGCACCGACATTGTCCCTCCCGCTGCTCGAGATCTCCTGACGCGCCTGCTCGACCGTGATCCTCAGCGTCGACTAGGTGCAAATGGTGCTGCGGAGATCAAGTCACACCACTTCTTCGCAAACATCGACTGGCGCAAGCTGCTCCAGAGGAAGTATGAGCCAAGCTTCCGGCCCAATGTGGTATGTGATTTCCTTAACCCCCTTTGTATCGTCATACGCTGATTGGTGCAGTTGGGTGCTCGCGACACCACCAACTTCGACCGCGAATTTACGTCGGAAGCCCCACAGGATTCTTACGTCGATGGCCCTGTTTTGTCGCAGACAATGCAGCAGCAGTTTGAAGGTTGGTCTTACAATCGTCCGGTTGCTGGTCTTGGCGATGCTGGTGGCAGTGTCAAGGATCCCTCTTTCGGAAGCATTACCGAGTAAGAAGATCCCTGCCTGCTACCACCAAACAAGGTCTGTTTGGTGGGCGTAAGAAAAACACAATGTGACAACAAAATCTGGCGAAGAAACTGTTTGAAACAATCTCTTCGTCTTGTTCTCTTTTCATCGGCATATCATGCCTTGCGATGTAGCTCGGCTTTCTCTCATCATCTTCGCTGTCTTTCTATCTCCTCCACTTGCACAGGGAGTACATGGGGCTTTTTGTCGAGAGTTTTGCTTTCCTCTTCCATGGCAGTGATCTTAGCTGAGCGCTTTGTGTGTGTTCCTTTCCAACCTAAATGGGTTTTGCATCCAATACAATCGAGGCAGGTCCCTTTGGTCCATTTCTCATTTCCTGTCTTTCCCCTTTCTTCGTCGCTGCAGAATCTGTTCACGCAAGTCCCGTTTGGATCCAGACCAGATGTGTCTTACAGCCCAGTCCCTTTTCGCCAGGGAGACTGAAGCGGCGAGAGCAGCAACACGCCGCTCATCTCGCGTGCTCACCAACATAGTGGGTCGGAACAAGCACTCGTTGACCTTGTTGGGTTTCGGTCCCTATACACTTTGGCGCTTTTGACTTTGGTCTGTTGGTCTGGACCAATCGGACCTTTGCTAGGGCTTCTCTTCTGTCACATCAGGAGGGACTGGCGCCCATCTGAGACCTTCTGAACTCACCCTGCCCACGAAAGGTCAAATTTTGCATGAGTCTCCGTGTTAGCGGTCTCGACTTAGACCTCTTGTTTCCATTTTCGCTTCAGCTCGATACCTTTCCTACTGTTGCCTTTCGGTTTGTTTGTTTGGAAATGTAGGAACTCAAGAATGAAAGAGTCATGGAGGATGATATTCCCCTGCTCTGTTAGCTCATGATGTGACCGGTTCATAGACATCAGTTGATTTTTCTTCTTGCATAACGGTTGCTTGAAATCTATCCTCCAACGCACAGTAATGGTCCGTGGACATCCGGTAAATCATGTAGATTCGGGGTAGGTTTATCTGGCGGTGTCGGTCGAAAATGGCTTATACTGAAAAAAAGATCGTTGTCTGGATTGCGAGGGTACAAACAGGACGAGAGCATCTTCTCAAAATGTAGGGGTATGCTATATACACTCCACACATAATGGAGTGTCAATCGAGATCAAGAGCAGTGATGTACATAGGACTTTTGCATAAAGAATTAGGCGAAAGGAAGAAGCTATGTAAAGGAGAAGAGGGTGAACGGGAATTGGCTGGAGAGAAAGCAATAGAAGGAGAGGTTTTTGGGTGGGGCCGGAAATTATCCCCACGCAAGGCAGATTGCAATGTGTGCAAGGACATGATGCACAATAAAAACGGGAAATGCAACGCGGGAGGATAACAATAAGTACTGGGTAGGTATAATGGAGCAGAGGGAAGTGAAGCGAGTCAGAAGGAAGGAGGAAGGAAAGCATCACCGCGTCGGTCTCTTACGTCAGTCACATTTCCCTCACCATCGGATTTAGATACAAGCACACGACACATACACATATCATGCCATGGAAAGGGATTTAAAGGGGAAAAAAAAAAAAAAAACAGAACAAGTGGGTTTTATCTGAAAAGCTGATGGCAGGGAAGTAAGTAGTTTACTCGGATTTCTCCTCCTCATCCTCCTCATCCTCCTCCTCCTCCTCCTCCTCCTCCTCCTTGGCTTCGTCCTCTGCGGTAGCTTCTGCAGCCGCCTCAGGTTGTACCTCGGGGGCACCGTTGTCTGCGGTCTCATCGTCTCCGTGAACGTCAATCAAGGACTCCGAGGATGGGGGTTCGGGGACGGCAGCGGCGCCGCCCTCGGATTCGAGGCGGATGTACTCATCCCACTCGGGAAAGAGGTCATCATCTGCGGCGGCGTCGGGCGTGCCCGGAGGGATACCGATGAGGCGGGCGATCTTGGTCTTTCCATTAGACTCGAGGGAGGTCTTCCATTGGGCGACGAGTTCGGGGGCTCTCGAGGGCTTGTAGGTCTGGGCGAAAAGGACGGTTTCGGCTAGACGGTTCGTCCGCACCAGGAGGTCGATGCAGCCATCGACGTCGCCGAGGGACCAGAAAGTGGAGAAGGCAACATTGTGCAGCCCGGCTTCCGAAGCTTGGGCGGCCAGCTGCCGGAGACCGTCCTTGTTGCCGCTGGCGGTGTGCAGAAGGAGAAGGGAGCCGACGTCCTTGGCATTGGTGAAGCACTCCTGAGCCAGCGCAAGGTTCCAGTCAGCGAGAGCGGCGTCACCCACCGTCTTCCACTTGTGCTCGATGTTGGCTTCGCGGGCAATCTCGAGGGCGATCTCGAGATTGTTGAGGGCAAGGGCCAGTTCGAAACGATGCTCTGGGTCGGTTGCGACTTCGAGTGCCATTTCCTTGTACCCTTGGCCTTCCAGGAAACGAGCCACTTTGTTCATCTGATCTTGGGGAACGTCCTGGAGCAGCTCCGCGGCCGTTTCCAAATCGCCGCGCAACACCACAGTCTGGTACTCGACCATGCTGAGAGACAGGCCGAATGACACGACATTGACATCCTTGTCGGCAAGGTAGACGCGACCATCACGGGGCAGGTAGCCCAGGACGTACATACCCTGATCGAAATGGGAGATGGTGTACGTCTGGTCGCCAACCAAGTAATTGAGACGATTCGTCGAGTTCGTGTAGATGAAACAATCTCCAACCCACTGGCCGGTGCGGACAGACTCGTTGACATCGGTCACAACCTCGAAAGCGGCCTCCACACCATCCTCGTCGGCTTCACCGGCATTCAAGCCATTGATGTAATTTTCCCGGGAGTATCGGAGGACATAGAAGGAATCTTCACAAGCAAGAGTCACCAGCTCTCCCGACTCAGACCAGTAAACCTAGATGAGCTGTTAGCGACAGTCCGGCGGGCTAATCGTGGTTTCTATTGCTTACAGCCTTGGGATCAACTTCAATGCGGCGAACCAAGTTCCCAGTCTCCCAGTCGAACATACCAATTCCGCCCTGGCCCTTAACACCCAGCAACACACCATCCGTTAGGCCTTCAGCTTGGAAGCCTACATCAAGTCCGCCGCTGACTTCCTTGAAGTTCTTGAAGATCTTAACACTGGTGGTCGACTCGCGAATGGCATAATCATTGCTGTTGTCCTTCGAACCCCAGGCAAAGTCCAAGGCTTGACCAAAGGCCTTGTTACGCCAAGCAAGAGCAGTATAGATGATGTACTCGCCATCACCACAGACTGAGACAAACCGTCCGTTGGGGGAGTGTGAGAGGGTCTGAGGGTATACTTCACATGATCCCAACTCTTTCGTGGGCAGAGAAAGTGGCGCACCGTCCTTAATACTAGCATCACCGCCCTTGATCACAGTAGAGACAACCTCATTGTGTCTAGCCCAGATAATCTTTCCAGAACCGTCCATGGACACAGCTGGCTCTTCCCGACCCATCTTGACTACTACGGCACCATCATCAAAACCAATCGCAACTCCCTGCCGGCCGCGCTGGTAGGAGACACACCATGCTCTCTCAAGGCCATAGCTCAATGATTGCTCAAGTCTGTATGTGTTCGCATGCCAAATCTTGATAGTTCCGTCTTCAGAACCAGAGATGATCACAGGTAGTTCCGGATGGTAACAGGCGAAAGAAACGTTGCTTGTGTGGCCTTCCAGAGTCGCAATGAGCGCTTTCGTGGTGTAGTCCCAGACCTTGACGGTCCGGTCATCGGAAGTGGTGAGAAGATATGGTTTGTCCGCCTGCGGGTAATAATCAACATGGTTCACACCCTTGGTTTCATGAGCCTCCAGGGTAAAGTTGGCATGTGGCGAGCCAAGGCTCCAGATTTTAACGGTCCTGTCCAAACACGCCGATGCAAAAGTGTTGGTATCCTTAGGGTTGATTGCAAGGCCCATCACATAGTGGCCGTGACCCTCGTAGACCTGAACACACTTCCAGCCTTTCTCCCAGTCCCACAGCTTGATAGTCATATCGTCCGACGCGGTCAGAACGAAGGGTTGCGTGGGGTGCACCGCGATTGAGCGAATGTAATCCGGATGAGCCTCGAACGAAGCAATCTTCTCGGAGGTGTTGTAGTTATAAACGCGAAGTTGGAAGTCATCGGAACCGCAAACAATCCAGTTCTTGCGGGCAATAAACCGACCGGCTCTTACAGGAACATCAGTGAGCTCGAAGGTTTTGATTATAGACTGATCAACCTAACGTCAGCGACCTTCGCGTGCGGAAATTGACGGCAGGGCAGCGTACTTGAGTTTCATAGGACCAGATGTAAACGTGACCTGTGTACTCCTATTAGCGCGTTCAGGGCGTTGGTCGAGCTGCGACTCCTCGGCGTACCGCTGTATAGTGTGGTAAGAATCTGTGAGATATCAGCGCGTGTCCAGAGGTACTCATGGCTAGAATACTCACCCATGGCTCCGTTGGGTGGAAGTCAATGCCCTTCACCCGCTCGGAGCGGGCGAACAGCTGTCTCTAATAGAACACAACAGTCAGCATTCTGGTCATTGTGCATGAGCACTGGTACCAAGAATATAAGAGCCACCCTCAGGCAGACTCCGCATCCTCTCGAGGGTCAGAATCCGTACCTTGACATCCAGCTTCATCTTGTGTGGGGAAAGAAGCTCGCGATGATGTGCGGCGTCGGAGGACGGCCTGTGTGAAGGAGGGGAAACCAGGCCACGAGCCGCTCAAACAGCCCAGCCCGGGAACGTCAGAAACTCCCGAAGGAAAGATAGGTAAGAGGCGCAAAGAAAAGATTAAAATCCTCAGCCCAAATGGCCTCCGAGGTCAATGCAGATTGCTTGTATCTGACAGCGATGTGTCCACAAGGAGACGGAATCCCGCCAGCTATCTGGAATCGGCTAGCGACAGGGGGAACTCACCGCCTCCGGTTCTGGATCGTTACCCTCGTGGCCGGGATGTACAGTCCCCAGTTCTACATCAATCAATATGCGCATCTAGAATTGACACGCCTCTCTCCTGATCAATACTATCATCATATGTACTATAGCATGCTCTACACCAGTTATGTGATGCTTGAATCACCGTGCACCTGTAGTACGAGAAAAGGGGCTCAATCAGCGTTCAATAGCATAGTAAAACACATTTGCCAGAGAGCTCGGCAACACATTATCGTGGGACTATGATAAATTTTGATTGGACACACGTAAACTTATAATTACAAACAATGGGAATTCTTAAGTCAAGTCTGTCATTTATGAGAACACCAGCTCCTCGAAAGCTTACTCGGGGCGCTCGAAGTAGGACCACTGGCCAGGTCTAGGCTTCTCCTCAAGTTCCTCCCAACTGTGACCATATCAGTATTGTGACCTATACCAATAGTTAACCAGATCAACGTAGACTTACGCTTTCGACTTGTACAGCTCATCCACCACCTTCAATTCACCCTCAGCAACCTGGATGACCTCCTCAATAAGACCAGCACCGATTTGCTTCTCAATTTCAGAGATCCTGAGTTCAAGAGTATCAATACCTAGCACCGAACATTATACTTCTGGGGAGGACAATATCGACGTACTGTTCTGCCGTCAAGGCGGGCTCGGCCTCCCACTTCTTCTCCTCGACGTGAAAGTCCGATTCATTGTTGCGAGGGGAGGCGGATTCCTCCATCAGCTGTGCAAAGCGGGCTTCTTCTTCCGGCGTACGAGCGGGACCCTCAGTGGTCGCTTCAATGGCCTCACCGTCCCACTCCTCTCCACGGGCATTGTCACTGCCATCGGGTTGCTCAGCCGCTGCATACGTGCCGTCGCCCCTCAGAAGACTGGAGAAACGTTCGGGCTCGGCACCCACAGTCTTCTTCACGCGCTCCAACCAAGCTTCGAATCCAGGCGGCTTCGTGGATTCGACGATCTGCAGACGCTGGCGGGTCAATGCCTCGGTGGATTGGCGGTAGACGGAAGACTCGGGGAAGGACTTGAGCTTGTTCAAGGTCGATGTGTAGAGGAAGATCAAAGTGGAACGCGGACTAGGGTGAGTGTTGAGACCGGTCAGGCCGGTGGGAGCGAAAGGCTCCAAGTAACGAGCCGGCTTGACATTGGCCAGCAACCGGAATGTCGACCTCATATTGATCGTGACTTATGCGAGGAAGTAAAAGAAATGAAAGGAACCCAGAGGGACGTGTATGTATCAGACCCAATGGCAGGCGGAAGAGGGGTGACTTATCGGGTCGTCTTTCACAATGAGCAGCACAACTGCATCGGGATGGATGCACGAAGGGTTGAGGTTCCGTCCCCGGATCGCGGAGAAACCCACTTCCGAGTCTCCTTCCTGCGCCTCTTCCTCCTCCACCATCTATCATGTCGATATGAATGACTAGTTAGATGACTGTCTTGCAGTAGGGGTGGCCTCATTCTTGCCTGCCTTCGTTTTGCAGTCGGTACCCCGCCTTTTTCACGGGGACACTTACGAGACGCTTGCTGAAATTCTTCGGAGCAGCGACCTCTGTCCGATATCCCCTGTCTGGTTCCCCGACTCCTGGCGATCCACACGTTTCTAGACCACCCGTCACTTTCAGTCCGATGTGCCACCCGTGAACGGGTATTACTTATTCTCTGCTAGTCTCCTTCTCGACTCTCCCTATCGACTCTATCCCTCTTTTCCAGTAAGATCAAAGGCTCTTGGCCCTTGACCTATAGCCAGCATGAAGGCATCTTTGCTGGCGTGGTCTCTCCTTTCTCTCCTTTCCATCCCGACGTGGGCTCTGTCCGCCAGTGATGCCTCCTCGAAGCACCATCTCGTGAAGAGAGACAGCTCATCCGAAGCCAAATCCACTCTCTTCAATGGCATCGAAGTCCCGCCCATCAAATCTCTGACCCCTGAGGACTTCGACGAAACGGTTAAAGATGGCTACTGGTCAGCATCCTTTCCAAACGCGCCAGGTCAGCTTGGCCGCTTGAGGCTGACAGATCTCTCAGGTTTATTAAAGAGTACTCGCCATCATGTCCGCACTGTCAGAAGATTGCGCCCACTTGGCAGACACTCTATGAGTTCTACTATGTAAGTTGGCAGACTTGTTCACCATACTGCAGATCCTAATTCCATGCAGACCTCGGATCCCTTGTCCTCGTCCTCTGGAAAGTCTTCCGATACCAAGTCCTTGAACTCCTTTGATAAATTCTACAACTTCCACTTCGCAGAATTAAATTGTCTTGTGTACGGTGACCTGTGCCACAAGTTGGGTGTGAAAAATTTCCCCACCTTCGCTTTGTTCCACAATGGCGAGAAGGCCGAGGAATTCAACGGGAAGAGAAATATGCAAGGCTTGAGCGACTTTGTTGAAGAGAAGCTCGAACAAATAAAACCTGGATCCCGACCTGCACAAGGCTTGATTTTGCCCAAGCCAGGCGACACAAGCGTCGACACCAAAGCCCAACCTGACACTCCTGCAGCCAAGGATAAAGATCCTGAAGCTGGGGTAAAGGCTGGCGAGAAGCACAACGAGCAGGCTGCGGAGCTCGCCGCTAGCGATTCCGTCATTGCCAAGGATACCACGGAATCCAAGGTCAAGTCTTCTGGCCCGATAAATCCTCAGGGCATTTCTGTTCCTCTCACGGCGGAAAGTTTCCAGAAACTTGTCACTACTACGCAAGACCCTTGGTTTATTAAGTTCTACGCTCCCTGGTGTGGCCACTGTCAGGCATTGGCGCCTAACTGGCAAGAAATGGCCAGGGAGATGCAGGGTGTCCTAAACGTCGGAGAAGTGAACTGCGATGTTGAAACTCGGCTTTGCAAGGATGCCAGAGTCAATCAATTTCCCACAATTTATTTCTTCCGTGGCGGTGAAAGAGTGGAGTACAATGGTCTACGTGGTCTAGGTGATCTAGTCAATTATGCCAAGAAGGCCGTCGAGATCGGCTCTGGCGTGCAGGATGTGGATGCTACCACTTTCAAGGAACTGGAAGAGAAGGAAGATGTTATTTTCCTATATTTCTATGATCACGCAACCACTTCTGAGGACTTCAAGGCTCTTGAGCGTCTGACCCTAAGCCTGGTCGGCCATGCCAGACTCGTGAAGACAAGCAGTGCCGCTCTTGCCGAAAGATTCAAGATCTCCACCTGGCCTCGCCTTTTGGTGTCTCGTGATGGCCGCCCAAGCTACTACAATGCGCTTGCTCCTAAGGATATGCGCGACTTCAGGCAAATCCTGGGTTGGATGCGGTCTGTGTGGCTTCCTATTGTTCCTGAACTCACAGCGTCCAACGCTCGTGAGATTATGGATGGGAAATATGTTGTTCTAGGTGTTTTGAGCCGTAAGCACTCTGACGAGTTCTTACAGTCTAAGAGAGAGCTTAAGAATGCTGCCCATGAATGGATGGACAAGCAGGTTCAATTGTTCCAGCTGGAGCGCGCTGAACTTCGGGATGCCAAGCAGCTGCGGATCGAAGAAGCCGAGGACCGCAATGACCAGCGTGCACTCCGCGCTGCTAAGAACATGCGTATCACTATCCGCGAGGATGACAAGAAACAGGTTGGCTTTGCCTGGGTTGACGGTGACTTCTGGGAGCGGTGGCTTCGAACCCAGTTTGGCATCGATGTGGAGAACGGTGAGCGTGTCATTATCAATGACCAAGACGTAAGTTTCTTTCAGACTGCTGAATGCTGTACTCGTATCATGGAGCTGACATGTTCTAGAACCGACGCTACTGGGATACTTCCTCCAGCGGTGCATCCATCATGGCTTCTCGTACCTCGATTCTGGAAACTATTCCTCTTGTGATTGCGAACCCGCCCAAGCTCACTCCCAAATCTACTATTGGCACTTTCGAGTCTATTTTCTTTTTCACTCGTTCTTTCATCAGCGGACATCCCATCCTGTTCGTCATTATCTTGATCCTCTCCATTGTTGGGGCCACATTTGTGGCGAGAGGCAGAGCGGCGAGACGTGGTGGTCGGGGCGGTATTCTTGGGGTGACTGGCAATTCTAGCGGAGGATTCTTTAACCTGGATGGTAAGGAAGGTCTTCTGAATGGTGGCTCCACGGGCAAAGTAGATTAGATCGTGGGAAGCATTGGTGTTGTACAGTCATCTTCCTTTTCTTTCTCTTTCTTCTTTACTCAATATTTCTTCTTCAATTTTATTTTGGTGTCTATTCTAGGCATAAAATCCGATGAGGCTGGGTACTTCTTCTACCGTGAAATTGATACTCCATACTAAGGTAAACTCCAATTGTGCAATGCAGTGCAGTGAGTAGGTAGTATACTTCCATACTTCTTGTGGCATGAGGTGTGGAAATGCGCAAGATTTGATTCGACGATCTGTCTATCACGTGACTAGTCACTTGGACGGCTGATTGGCCGCGGGCGGTCGGACGAGAACGTCGCGGAGTCTCCCGGTTTTCCTCGACAGCTTCAACGTGTAATTGCAGCCGCTACATCAATCATTTCTTGGAGCAGAGTGTGCCTCCTTCGATCTCAAGCAAAATGGTATGTACAAGATACAATCTTGCACCCGTCTATCAATGGGGTATAGCATGACTTCGGGGTGTCGCATCATGCGCATTGGTGGTCTCCCCCGGGACCCGGCTATGTCACGGTGACAGATGGAAAGGGATAATATTTGTCAATTGTTGCTAATGTGAATCTTGCTCTTATATAGGTTTTCTCTCAGACTCTTCGCCGCGCTGCGGCTCAGCAGGCCGGTGGCTACCGTTCTCCTTTCGGTCCCAAGTGAGACCCCCCCGCATATCTATCGTCTTCGTCCCAACATCATCATAAATGCTAGCACTGAGCCGACCCTTTCAGGCTCTGTTTGCTTCTTCCGTCGATTTTGATATGACGGACGACTGCAATGATGGTCTACAGCGATGAGGTCTGAAGGAGGACTTGTCATGGCGGAAAACTAGAATGCACAAAGCGAAGTAAAGGACGACAAATGGCCTAATCGCGCTGACGGTTGATTCTCGATGATTTAGGTACTCGACTCCCCTCCACTGGCACGGTCTTACCGCCCGGTCTGCTGTCACTGCGTGAGTGTCTACCGCCTTTTAGCTGAAAGTTCCATATCCGCACATTACCGGATATGGCGACTGCAGTGCTTCTAGCGTCTACTAACATGCTATCGCATACACAGTGGTACCATCGCCGCCGGCTTCGGTGTCAGTGCCGGTACCTTCCTTCTGTTCTTCTTCGGCGAGGTCCCCCGTGTTCGCCGTGACATCCTCCAGAAGCTCCCTTTCCTCGATGAGTACTTTGACCGCACCGTCGCCCCCGAGGACAACGTATGGCAATCCTATCTCATTGTACCCATAGATTCACTAACATCTGGGACAGCCCTTTTAAATTATATCTTTGAAATTGAGACAACTGTTTTTATAAATATACACACAACCCACACACAACCTGGTCCCCTGGACGGATTACCGCTTCATAACTGGACAGCAAAAGAGACTTGAGGTGCTGTACGTGTAGACTAGCGATGATTTTTTGAGAGCACATACTAGAGAATGCCTGCTTAAAGAAATATTCTCCTACTATTTTGCTGGCCATTTTTCGTTGCTGGTCGCTGTGAAAGTGTCTCAACACTGAGACAAATACTTAGATAACGACAGACTTATAATGCAGCTTGAATGAGTATTGTGTACTGTTGATAGACTCCGAGCGTGTTAGTGTTATCAGCTGCAGCTGGCCGAATTTGGAGTAAATGCAAACATGGAGAATACCAGTACTAAGGCAGCGGGTAGATCATAGTTCCCTTCGACATTAAACCTCAAGAAATAAACCTCACCGGCTTACGCGCCCAGATCTGCTCGAGCATGAACAACCAAGTAATGCGTTATAGTCTTGACACATTCAGTGAACAATGATAAGCTAATGCAGAGACCACAGTGAGCGGGTATCAAAGCTCTCGAACCTAAGGTCATAAACATCGGATCTCGGACACACTCGGTGTGAAAGGCGTGGCTGTCTGTCTTGAAGTCAGGGGAATCGCCTATCAATATTCCAGTGACTATTCTCATTGAAGTAAGTCCAACCTGGCCAATTCTCTTATCTCTGGCCATTTGATGGCTCACGTCTCACGTCTACCAAGTCAACATCATCCTTCCCACCCAACCTTATCATCTGCAGCCCTGCAGCCAACCATCTCCTCCGATAAGTACAGCCTCTGAACATCTGGCCGGCTGTCCGAGCACCAATACGTATCTGTCGCGCTATGCTTTCTTCTTCCAACGCGCGAGAAGTTTCCCTACTCAGTAAAGTCGAATTACTAGGTTTGAGATTTACAGGTTTATGCCCCTGTGGAAGTCAACTTGAGCAGATGAATTTCGGCTTATTGGGCATTTCAACTTGGACCCGTGGGAGCTTCTTTCCAGATTCCCTCCAATCCGATTGTCCAGGGTATTGGTGAATGACCTGGTGCCAAGCGCATCAGCGTCTGTTTCCCCCGCCTCGGCTAGTCACAACATCAAGATCCATACTATGGGGTCGACAGATGTGTATCGCCGACCATAGACATTGATTGGTGCCGTCTCTGAACTCCCTTCGCCTGACGCGGAACAGCTGTGCTTCCATAGATAAGATGGCTATATTACATTACAATGCATCCTCAGCGAGATGTGCTGGCCCCAGCCCGCTCGCCTTTGCTCGAAAAAGAGCGTCTCACAGGACTCACCTGTTGTGTGACCTGGCTGTCCCGCACGGATTGTTCTTTGTCTCAAACTGGTTCTGCAAATGCTCTCCATCGAAAGCTTGGTTATTAGTGACCCTCTTCATCTTGCTGGCGTTTCGGGTCAGGACGCTTAACGGAGCATTTCTCAAATCATCATCATGTCTGTCTCCGAACATAATAGCAAGACTGCCCTACAAGCACCTGTCTATGCGGACATCAACCATGCGCCCGTCACGAGTATCTTGCCAGAGGGTGACATCCCTTATACCGATCATGCAATGGACGCGGACGAGAGGGTGATCGTGGCTCTCGGATACAAACAAGAATTCAAGCGCGAGTTCTCGCTTTGGACCACATTCTGTGTTAGCTTTTCGGTGCTCGGCTTACTCCCGTCATTTGCGAGTACAATCTATTATGGTACTTCTTCTTTCTTTGCTTTGCCCCCGCTGTGACGACAATGGTTAACGAGGAGAAGGTATGGGCTATGCAGGAACAGCGGGTATGGTCTGGGGGTGGATAATCGCTATGCTCTTCATTCAGTGTGTTGCGATGTCTATGGCTGAGCTATGCTCCGCAATGCCTACCAGGTTGGTGTCTCCTCTCCTCTGTATCTTAACCTTATATACAAGCTAACCTTCATCGTCAGTGGTGGTCTGTACTATGCCGCCGCCGTTCTTGCTCCCCCAGGCTATGGACCCTTTGCTGCGTGGATCACAGGATGGTCCAACTGGATCGGACAGATCACTGCAGCACCATCTGTCGACTATGCTCTGGCGGCCATGATTCTGGCAGCCGCCTCGATTGAGAACCCCGATTACGTGCCCACAAATTGGCAAACCTACCTGTTAACCACGTTCATCATGATCATTCATACGGGGATCAGCAGTATGCCCACCAGATGGGTCGCCCGGGTTAATTCGTGGGGCTCAACGTTCAACATCCTTGCTCTTATCGTGACAATCATCGCTATCCCCGCTGGGACGAAGAACGAGCCTAAATTCACTCCCTCCAAAGAGGTTTGGGGCACCATCACCAATCTGACTGACTTTCCCGATGGAGTGGCTGTCCTTATGACTTTTGTCGGTGTCATTTGGACAATGTCCGGCTACGACTCGCCTTTCCATCTTAGTGAAGAATGTTCCAATGCCAACATTGCCTCGCCACGAGCGATTGTCATGACCTCGGGGGTGGGAGGAGTATTCGGCTGGTTCCTGCAGCTTGTTGTTGCCTACACAGTAACCGACATCAATGCGGTCCTTGACTCTGACTTGGGACAGCCATGGGCATCATATCTGCTGCAGGTCATGCCGAAAAAGATCGCGCTGGCTATTCTAGCTCTGACCATCATCAGCGGTTTCTCCATGGGTCAGGGCTGCATGGTGGCTGCATCACGAGTCACCTACGCTTACGCTCGAGACGACTGCTTTCCTCTTTCGAGCATCTGGAAGAAGGTCAACCACCACACTCAAACACCCGTCAACGCGGTCATTCTCAACGGGGTCCTCGGGATTTTGATGTGTCTCCTTATGCTAGGCGGTACGACCGCCATCGGCGCCTTGTTCTCCATTGGCGCCATCGCGCAGTTCTTCGCCTTTGCCGTCCCTATCGCCATTCGGGTGTTCTTCGTCGGGAATCGGTTTCGCAAAGGGCCCTGGCATCTGGGTCCACTGGGACCCTGGATCGGCGGAGCAGGCGTGGCTTTTGTCCTTTTGATGATCCCGATTCTCTGTTTACCCAGTTCCACCGGCAGCGATCTGACGCCCGAATTGATGAACTGGACGTGTCTTGTCTGGGGTGCCCCTATGCTGGCCGTGATCATATGGTGGTTTATTGATGCGCATAAATGGTTCAAGGGCCCCGTCGTCAACGTGGAGCATGCAATTCATGCCGTCCCGGCCGAATTGATCATCGACGGACTCGGGGAGGATGAAGTCATTACTCAAGAGGGAGCACCGGCGGATCCGTCGAGTAAGTCTTCTGCAAAGTAGTCAATTTTAGGACCTTGTATTGCCTCCTAGTGTATCATCTCCAGCTTAATACCTTTGTGCTTAAATCGACTTGAGAGCCTTACTCGTTCATTCCAGTCCGTGAGCTCAATGTGAGGGAAATTTGACTGAATTAGCATCAGGCCAAGTACTCCGTGCGCACGAGTTCGTATAGTTTTCGGCTTTAGCATGCAATAGCCATCCCGTTCTTTCGTACCTGGTCGACAGGACACGACAGTACTATGGTTATTAAAGGAGAAAACGCGGTACAGCTCCTACATATACACTGATGGCCAGCTTTCTGTTCACCCTGGGAGATATGAACGGGCGCAAGTCATTTCGTTTGACTAGTGCAGCCTCTTCGTACTAAGCCTGCCGTGCTAGCAGGCCAAAGAGCTATGCGTAATTTGAGGCAATCGACGTGCAGCACAGTAATTCCACCTCACACCTTTCCCCTCCATTGGAGAACATCTACATGCAAGGGTAAGGTAAGGTGTATACTGCCCGCACAGAGAAAACCACATTCTCCGCATCCTTGCGGGCTACAGTCCCGTGCTATTGTCCTGCTTACCCATATCAACACCTAGCACACACCTCTATCACGAAGAACCCCCTTCACATAACCTTACCCAGCCATGACTCCAATCAGATGCCAATGACTGTAGAGAGGCAAAAGGGAAAGACATACTACCACACGAGATAAGTGGGAAAGCCACGCGGGAGAGTCAAATCTACCGATAGGCTACGTGCTATTTCGGGTGTAACCCTCGGAAAGCTTCGTCGGCCGGGTATTGATAGGTCGAGCTGGATGAGACAATGCAGAGCTTTTGTGTCACAGAAGGATGTCTGGCATTTTGTATGTCTCGGGAGTGTTTGTTGCTGTTTCATTCGTCCAGGTGATGCTGCAGGCTGGGTGGGGAGGGGTATAGTTGTAATACAGTTATATACAGTACCTAGAGGTAAAGTTAGGGGAAATAGAGGGTCAAGCATGGTGTTTCGAGTGCGATGGGCTTTTTTGACTTCTGATCACTGCATACAGTATGTGAGAATTGTTTGGAGGGCTACTAAAGATGCCGTGGTGTTTCATAATATATGCATGCGGGGTCAAGTTCGGGTCAAGTAGACAGATATATCATCCGGATGATACAACATGGACAGATCGTGCACACCATTGAAGAATCATAGTCTTTCTTTGAAGATAATTTCTTCGAACTTCAGTGACTTAGTTTGGTTGTACTGTCAATGATCTACTGTTCAAGTTCCTGATAGTGGAAAATCCTAATGAATGGAGACATGCAACTTGCATGCATAGACGCAAACAGCATGTGCAGCACAACCCCATTCAAGTCTCCCGCCCTACCTCACTACCTACTACTAACGGGGATAGTAAGTACTGCGTACAGTAAATCAACCACCAAACATACCTCAAAGCAGTCAGCGCTCCAGTGTCCAGCCAGTAAGCAGGAATTAGTAACCACCCACTAAGATCAAGCTCATCGGGTCTCCTTCCCTACAGAATACCCACCCCGTCATCATGGTGCGGGAGACGGGCGACGGGCGACCGGGGGAGGGGCACGCAGTGAGTGGGTGGGCAGGTAAGGCGGGCTGAGGCGGACGCAAGAGCAAGTGAGACCAGGCGGGAGGACAGCCCCTGAGGCTGGTGGCTCTGGCGGACTGACCCTGCCTTTAGTTATAGTATACAACTACACTGTACAGGACGGAGTATGGAGTACCCAGTCTTCAGAAAACTATCAACCCAGCAGACTGTCGCATCTTGCCCAACTATCGCTTCATGGAGCCTACAAACCTAATTGATCCCGGTTGGATCCAGCCGCACCTCAAAGAGGAAGAAGTTCATTGGCAGGTATTGTTGGAGGGAGAGAGGGGGTGGGCAATGTGGGCAGGGCAGTGGGCAGGGCAGTGGGCACCTACGGAGTAGGCTGGTTTCCAAATTACCTGCAGGTACCAGACCAGCGCTGCTTTAGTAGATTTGGCCTCTGGGGGCCTAAGATGCATGCTGCTTGACGCTTGTTTCAAGTTTCGACGTGATGCTTGTGTGTTTGCGGCACATGGTAGCCTACTGGGCGAGGTGAGCGAGGTGGTACACTATGTACTATTAGGATACTGTGTAGAATTTGTGCGTGGTGGTGGGATTGGTATATTCTGAGTACTGCATGAATAGGTGATCGCCTTCAATCAAAGCAGGTTGAGCAGGATGGGTGACTGCTATTTCACAGCAGTAGGTACAGTATAGCAACACTTTCGACCATATCATCATACTCAGCAGCACCACTAGCATCAATGCCTATGTCACATACTACTACGTATCAGTTGCCCAAAGGTAACATGAATGATCCTCCAGAGTGGTTCTTTACCTGCCTAATGCCTGCTTCCGAGTCATCCGCTTGCTGTTCGATCGATTCATCAGGTCGGCCAATCCAAGATTTGTTGAGGCTTCTTGGTGAGGATTCCCCAGTCCTCGACGTCATACATCTCTTCCTCAATCGCCAAGTGACGAGAGCAGAAAACATGATACAACGATCTAATCTGAGGAAGCAGTCCTCCGGAAGATTGAAAAACATGGACAAACAAACTACTCTCAAACAACTACCGTACTGTACTCGTGTACCCAGAACCAGTCAGTACACTTGAGATAAGTTAATCTGATCGAGCACGGAGATAAACACCCCTCCCCTCCCCTCCATCCCCTCCCCCTACTCCCTCAGCCCCTCCCTTCCGTCCCTTAGTGACTAATCATGATTGACAGGGGAAGACCGGGCTCGGGGAGGGAGACAGAAAATAGAAAAACAATGAACCCAGAGCCATGGGTATGGAGGGGCTGGGACTGGGATATTCGCGAAAAGAGTGGATTTCCATGCCACTTGGCCAGGTTTGAAATCCGCCCCGTTCGTCCGCTTGAGCTACTCTTCCGTAGGTACCGGTCGGGAGTAGTAGTTAATAAACGGAGTCTAATACACACCAAATCAGGGATAGTTACTCTTTGGTCTGTGTGTATGCTATTGACTTAGTGTCCACGGTGGATGTGCTGTTGGCCCGAAAGAGACATTAATTCAGGATGTTATTTCACTCACTTCCCCAACCACCATGATTATCTCGAGCAATTGGAAGCAGAGTAAAAAGGTCAACAAGTACTTGTAAGAATTTATCCAGTCATACGATTTGCAAATTTGCTCAACGGAAGAGTAAGAAAGTATTAGTTAGTTTCCTGTCGACTGCTCACTTACTCACTCACTTGCTGCCCGTCTAGGATACTTATTCTGGAAGGTGGTGACAGCTGAGCAAATGTACGGAGTAGTAGGCGATTTCTAGTTAGGACAGATTCAGTAGGCTGCACTGTGTTGTGGCTTAGGTATTGTGTGTGTGCCCAGCGGTTTCTCATGCTCGTACTGGTCTAATTCCTCTCGGTTTTTTTGAACCATGTTTACAAATTCAGAAAGTAGAAGAGATGACACTACGGAGTACTTACTCGACGCTCCTACTCGGAGTTTGCGGATCGATATCAACTATCAAGGTTGACCGGAGGGTTTCCGTATTATCCCTGCAGAAGCGGTCATTATCTGATCGCGCCTCAGGCAGCCAAATTTATGCTCGTCCCTTGCCCCCCCCCTTCCCCAATGGAGGATCTCCATTCTCGCGTGCCGCTTCATTAAACCTTGTTTGTATGATGAAGATGGCTGTGTGAGGCCTTCAGCCCATGGAACGGCAGGGACAATAGAATTCCCCAGATAAAAGATGGCGAGCTACGAGATGCTTCATTTGAGATACACGAGGACCAGGACGCGCGGCCGGATTCCTCTGTATCATGCTGTCCGATTTGTGATGAGCACTGGACGGTAATAAACGCATCGGGATGAAAGATGTTGCTCCAAATGATTCAATGCGACCATGGGTCGATTGTGTCCGACTTCTCTTTTTTTTTTTTTTTCTTCTTTCTGCTTGCTTTGTCCAGATTACGGTACGGTATGTGTAGACTACCTAGATTGAACTAGACTCCGAAGGGTTGAGGAAAGTGTGGTCTCTGGTTTTTCGGGCGAGAGATGACAAAACATCGTGCGATCAAGGACCTCCCATCGAGATGGATAGAGAAGTCCTTCTTCCTTCCGTCGGATGCATGGACTGCTCGCAGTACTCCGTAGATAGGTACAGTACACTAAGAGTAGGCCGGAGAGACAGATGGTCAGTTGGGTATGAGTTACTTACAGTGGTTACTGGTCAGTAACCCCTGACCCGATGTCATACAGTGCATACTCGCTCCGCCATTGCACTCCGGCCAGTCATGGCATCGGAAAATGACACTGGTACTTCCAGTCTACCATGCTGGAGAATCTCTCCGAACGCCAAGTTTGACACTAAGCCGCAACACCCCTCACCAACCTTAGGCAGTAGGATTGTCACTTTTCCAAGCGTGACCAGGAGGACGGTAACAGCTGATCCTGGGTGAGTTAGCGGGGTTTCTGGTGCATTGACTTGGCTTTCACTAGGCTCAGTAAGGGAAGAGTCAGAAGAGGTGCGCTAGTGAGCAGAGAGGGCTTAGGGACATGAGAGACCCTGGCTAAATCTAACTCCAGTTCAAGCAGGAGATGCTATAGTTTAGCCCTATTCGGCACCCAGTTGACAATTCAATGTTGAGTTTGATTCTGCATCGAGGGAAGCAAGAGATAGGCACAAAAGTCAAAATACCCGAATTACACCCTGAAATTAAGGACCATACTCTTCGTACTCTTCAACAACTCACAACAAAAACAACAACAACAACATTGTCATCATTATCAACAGCACAACGCCCAGCATTGAAGTCCAAGGCTCAGGCCACTGGGGCAGAAAGCCTGGTCATCCTCGGTCGGACTAAGGAGGTTAGATGAGGTGTGTGGCGTTCTCGCCTCGCCAAATCTTGAGATGATGATTGGTTCTTTGCTATTCCTCAGTGCGCTTCCGAAACTGAGCCGATACCTAAAAGGTGCAAGATGAAGACCTAATTGAGAACAGGACAACGCTGTTTTTCGGCATTACTCCGGTCAGCTTCGGAAAAACACCTTGCCCAGGGTAAAAGTGCCGAGGAAGGTTCCCGGTCAATCCAACTCGAGGAGGCCCCGACTTCCTGGTCGACTCCGTCCGATGTTTTTGACCCCATCTCCGACTCGGGCGAAGGAATGAAGAGAAGAGGGAAAATCGTCGCGCAGGTTTAAACGATCTGCAAGCGGTACCGTATGGAGGACCGGAGTACGGAGAGATTGTTGGGGGCACTTCCGCCCTACCGGTACTCCGTCCAGCTTTCTCGGTTTGGGGTTTGATACTTCGGACTAGAGTGCTGACTAGTTCGTGAATGCACTCGAAGCATATTATCATGGCTTCCCTTTCGGAGCCATTTTTTTTTGATAGTGACTGTCGTGATGATGGCGGTTGCTGCTGTCGTGGTTTGATGTCCCAAGCTACTGGCTTGCTTTCGAGACTAGCCACACTACTTCGTTTGCCACGTAGATGGATCACACTGGTAAAGAGTAGACCCAACAATCAGTCCATCAAGCTTGTATAGTAAGCAAGGCTAGATCAGGTCTTTGGCAAGTAAGTAGTTATAGGTCACTGGTGCGGCATCATAGCTCTTCGTGCCGAGGTGCGCATCTATCGCAGCCTCGACTCAACCGGACATTGACTGATTGATTGGCCGGCAAGACTGAGACAGGCATTCATTATTCATCAGTCTCACAAGCGAAAGCCAAGCTTTGCGATGATGAAAAAGCAACAAGCAAACGACGATCCATCGGACAATTTTCTTCACCAACCATTGAGCGAGCGCCCTTTAGGCGAGTCAGTCGGGTTCCCCTCGTTGAGGGTGCCGGAGACCCGTTCTGCTTACAAGTTACCACAAAAATAACTACATACTCCGTAGGATGAATCATTCGGAAATATGATAAATAGGGTGGGTGGAAGAAAAGCTAGAAAATCACACACTTACCAGTACACACCTCGAACTCAAGCGCGCATTATACTGTTCTGCCAGCCTAGGTTACTTGATCACCATGGCATCTAGTCTACGACTGTGTAAGATTTTGGTGGGGGGGAGAGGGGGAAGACCGGGCCTGGGGATCTTCCCACACCGCCTGGGCTTGGTCCGATGGACAGCCAAACCCAGGAATCATTCGTTCGTGGAAGTTTCCATGAGCGGAGCCCATCCCATCGGCTTCCGCTTAACTTTTGTGGAGCATCGGTTTTGGGTTGACCATGCCACTGCACCGTGATCGGATCGCCACTTTGGGCGAGGTGCAGGGATTTTGCGCCGGAAACACTCCCACTGGGATAAAACTTTTGTGATGATGGTACATCATGCCAGTTTTGCTCAGCTTTGAACGATGGTAGCTATATCTCCTCCATACGTGGAAGAAAGAATACCCAACAAAATAGAAAAAAGAAAGCAAACCCCGGCGACAATGCCGATGAGCTAATCCTCACTTTGTTTGGTAACCTTTTCTTCTTCAGTAGTGTTCCTTTTGCCTTGGAAGAAGAAGGCAAGAAAAAAGAAAGCAGTGCGCCAGCGGACGGGGGACAAGGCGTAAGTGGCAAGTTGAGCGAGGATGGATTGTTGCAGAATGGTCTATACGGAGTACACCCTGGCTATCTGACACCTATTCTTGTTCCCAGATAGACACATCCTGCACAGTACTGTACCCCGTACACGAGTAACAATTAGTTACACCTTCAGTACCGCACACGCATCCTTGGAAAGTTCTGCTTGGCTCTCAAGGTTGCTTGCTGTAAAAACGTGCTATTACTCAATCGATTCGTCTCTTCGTGATTGCGTCGTATCTACCCTGAGTAGTGAGGGAATTTTTAGGTTTCTCTCTAGAGTCAACAGAGTCAACAAGAAACAGTAGTGTGATACTCTTTTATCTCCTTGTGGTATAGTATGGGCTTGACCGCAGCAGAGACTTTCTCTAGTTCATTGCCGATTCCTGCAAAAAGGAAAAAAAAAAAAAATGGTTGGTACGTACCGTTACTTTGCATTTCCGTATGGACCATCAATCCAATTCCTGCCTTTCTCGCTCTCTACCCAGCGCGCTCCGCAGCCGCCACGAGATTAAAAGCGAGAGATTGAAGAAGAGCCAAAACTCTAAACCAGAGAAGTGTGAACTATGAAGTAGCATAATGGTCGAAAAAGGTACTCACCTACGTACTGCCTCGTCGACTTCGGGAATCTTCATCTCCGCGCTCTTCCGAATTCGATGGTCATTGGCTTGGTAGGGTTGTTACTGGGGGTTCTCCTCTGCTAGTCTCTTTTATGTTCTAAACATACTGAATTCTGGTTGCACGTATCCCCCGTACCGCGAAATGAATGCTACATCGGCGAGAAATCCTCTCCTGCATTGGGAAATGCCAATGCCGGATGCCGACCGGTATGGAATCGATGCAATGGGTAGGTAGATCAGATAGTCGGGGGTTCGGATATGCCACTGCTGTGATACGGCGCATCATCTGTCCCCAACTGGAGCCGAATCCCACTTGGACTTTGCCTAAGGCTAGGTAAACCGTAGGGTTAGTCCAAAAGGTCCACTATCGAAGCGGGAGAAGCTCCCAGCGAAAATCTCCTGGTGGAGAATAGCCGCCGATACGAACGAAGCCTAAACGGGAGACCCATCCTGATACTACGTACCAGTAAGTACGGAGTGCATAGTGGTGGTGGTGAGTCGGAAATGGGGGTATCATTGGGACCACGCCCTGAGGCAAAGGGGCGAAGGGAACGACAACAACAGAAAATGATCTAGGTGAATTCGACGACAGACTATGCTGTGTTGAATGGCGGACAGCTGGAATTCCAAGCCGTTCGCTTCACTTCCGCACAGCAATTTGTCGACTGCAAGAGAATGATGAACTGAGACAATTTTTTCTGATTCATCATAACTCCCCCGGGGGGGTCCCGAAAGGGGCAGGAATACGGCTCATGTCCGAACCGCGGAAATTGTCCAGGCGCCGGTGGTATTCGGTTCTGAGCTTGGAAATCAGTAACTAAAACAGATGTATGAGATAATCTCCAGCTGGGATGGCATCGGGGGGTGAAACAAGGTGCGTGGCATCATTGAATTGGCAAATCGAATGAGATCCAAAGCAACCTCGGAAGTCCGTCTGACATGGTAGACTCTCTCGAACAGATCAGTCTAGAAGGTCCATGCGCTCTGCAGGTGATGTATATCTGGTGCTGCCTCGATGAGTGGCTGTGTTCTGTTCCACTTGAATCAGTTCTCGCCCAGATCTTTCCCTCTCAATGTTTTCCTAGTCGTACTACGTAGTAGACAGGGACTTGCTTCGTTCTTGCTCCGTAGAACACCTAAACTTGGACAGTTGATAGGATAGGCATCTGAGCCAGGCACTGAGAAGATTTCATTTGTTCATCTCCTGCCGCTGCTTACGCAATTTTCGAATTAGCCAGCAATACATGTAGCACGGACCGAGTGCAGAAGGGCTCTCTTCCGTGTAGATCAATACAAGCAGTAAGTAAGTACTGTAAGAATGCAGGCTCGCCGTTGAGCTTTTCTATGACACCGCAGAATTTGGAACATCCTTTGGCTTCGGCATCTGGCGGCCTAGACATGATATAATGACAAGGAGGACTGAGTGGCAGAGGCGCGCTGAGGCCTGCATATGAGCGGCAGCATGTGGCTTATCCGTCCTTGGTGTGTGGTGGGTATGAAACTGAGGATTGAATAAATGAAGAGTTGTCTCCGTGGACGGATCGCTTGATATAGATATTTACGGCGTTGACATGGACTGCACATGCAGATGCCTGCTGGAGGCCGGGAAGCTCCATACGGGAGGAAGGGGAGGTCTCCATCGAGTCCATCGATGCTCAGCTATGGGGTTTATACTTCCTGGATCGAGATTTGACAATTTTGACAGCCGTGGAGTCGAGTGGGCAGCCCCTACCATTGTTCCTCCCGTCCATCAAGCCAGGAGCTCAGGTTCGAGCAGGATACCACTCCACTTTCTCGCAAATATGATAACTTTGATAAGGTTTCGTGTCGCCTTACCTTACTCTAGCTCATGTGGGATTGTGGATGTGCCATGAGGGACTGAGCGCCTGAGGAACCAGTATGGAGCGAGCGGGCCTGTCAACTGCGGAGAAAGGATGCAGATGTCCACCTGCCTCATGACATCAAGCATATTTTAGTATCTGTATAGTGTATCCTACATCAGGATCCTAACAGGGAACGCGATCGAAAATGCCATGGTTTCGATGGGCAAGTAACAAGGCGAGCCAGGAGGAAGAGTGTAATTGAAAGGCAAAGGCGATCGGAAAGGGAAACCAGAGAGGATTCTTTGGGCCTGAAACCGGCGTATAGTACTAAGAGGGTACTAACGAGTACTCCGTACTAGAGTACTATAGTTAGGTACTGTATACGTCCGGTACAACAACCCAATTGCCTGCTTGGAGGGAGGAAGGGTTCTTTCTCCCGCTCGTCTGGTATGCTTCAGCTGGCCGCTGCTTGAGTTTACTGCCAACTGGGCCTACCAGTCCTAGTCGAGGTTAGTAGGGAACCGTCGCCCCCGGGAGCCCGATCTACGGCTGCATAGGTAGCCTCCTTCCCACTCTTCCGCCCCTCCATCAACTTGTTCCCCCCTCCCCCCCCCCCAAAATTGTGCCCTGAGGATGATACTACTGCCTTATCACCTGATATCATTTTCGAAGTTATAGCATACATTTCCGCCAACGTATGTATACTGATAAAGGGTACAATGTGAGGAAAAGAAACATTCCGGGTTTCACGATCACTTACAGATCAAATTGAGTTCAATCCATGAACACCCTAAAATAGAAATCTTGTATCTGAAGATACTGTTAACTAGTAGTTACCTGTAGCATGTTTCCATCATCGAGATTTAGAACGAGTCATTGGACTCACTACGTATGCTTGACGAGCTCGGCACTAGAAGGCTAGAACAAGTTGATGACGGTATATCTTTCTCCTGCTTGCGTCTTCGCCTGGTCTCTAAGGGGTGCGATTGGCAGGCTGCATGGCCGGTAACGACGAAGTTACTGCCAAGTCGCTTTTACGTAGTTGTCTGCGGCAAGGATACAATCGAGATACCTCGTTTCGGTACACGCCCGATATTGCCCTCTTTTTCTTTTCTTTTTTTTTTTTTTGCCCACACCAACAAGTTGAGTCGCATTCGAGTTTCGATTCCTAATCGAATCCGATGAGCCAGCCAACGAGCATCGGCGGTCGGAACGGCGTCTTCAGCCCTTCTTCTTTTCCCCTGCTTGCCGCTGGTGCCAACCAAATTCGATATAGATTTATTTTCCCTCCTGAAAGGCTCTCGTTGTTTCCCTGCTCTTCCGGGGCGACCTTTCGGACAGGCTTGGGTGCCGAAGTTGCCGTTGGTTTGGCACAGAGCCAGAGATACCAGTAAAAGTCTACCATGAATTGGGTGTCACCGGGATTCGACATCAGATATATTTTCTTTTCAACCATAGGTGTGCAGACTGCGTAGGCTAATTTGCAGAGTCGGTAGACGAATTAGACAGATACTAAGAAGTTGACCCCGTTCGGCTCTTGTTCGATTCTCGGAAACCGGATGAGGCACCAAACAAGTCAACGACACCCGAGTTGGTAAGTATGGTAAGTTGGACTAATATCACGCCGTAAAAAATTCCTCGAAGTACACAGCTTTTTCTGTACGTGGTTTGCCTCCCAGAGTTAGGATCGTCACCGCCAATCCACAATTAACCTTCAATTAGTTGCGCTCTCTCCAAATGTCCCCTTTTCTCTACGAAAGAGAGTGCTTGTTTCTCTCGTCGTTCGGAAGCTGATAATATTCCGTGTTTTTGTGAATTTACAAATCTCTCTTAACCTTTCTTACTGCCGCCGCCGCCCTCCATCCGCCCCCCTTCCCACCCTTTACCCCCTCCATTCTCGTGACTACTCACTACAATACTGCTAGAGACGGCTCTACCTTGGGTGCGGTCTTTTGGGGCAACTTTTTTTCCCTCTTTAATTTTCAGTCTTTTTCTTTTTTTGCTTTTTTCTTTTTTTTTACATTTTTTTTCTCTTCTCTGTTTTCTTACAAACACATCCATCATTCTTCTTTTTTTTTTTTCTCTTTTCCAACAGTACCATCTCCTTTCCCCCTTACCTTTCCTCTTTTCTCCTACCTCCTGGTCTCTGCATCTATACGCGTTGTCCCTGGCAGTTCCTTTATTTTCCTTATCTCATCGGAAACCAAAAGCGAAAAAAAAAGGACAGAAACAGATCAATCCTGCATTGTTGACGCGAAGCAGAATTTGGCTAGCAAAATTTCCCTCTGGTTCTGTGAGACCCACTTACACGCCGCCTCCCTGGTGGATCAGAACCATTGACTGTTTTGACAACGTGCGGATAAAAAGAAGTTCCCACACAACTCGATTTTCTGGTGGGTGACCGTGGGGAATTCAGATTAAGCATCTCGACTTCATCCTGACCTCTTTTCTGCAGTGGAGTCGGACTTGTTCCTGCACATCTTCACTATCGACCTTGGACTGTCTTCGAGTCTATTGTCATTCGAACTCATCATCTCGAACGATTCTCCGTTGCAGTCTTTCCGCGTCTGTCCGGAAGGAACACTCAATTCCGTCTTCGGAAAGAAAAAACACGCAGACAAGTGAGAGCAAGAATCAATCGAGGGGACCGAAAAAAAAAACTCCACGCTGCAAAACTCTTCCCAGCAGGACGCGATCAGAGTCGGTAATACTAGGCAAAAGCTTTTCGCATCCTCTCTCCGCATCGTCTATCGATCGCAACACAACTGCAGAAAGGTTCTAGTTTCCGCTCTGCAATCAATGATCAAGATTTCGTGAAACCTTTGTTCGCGAGTCTCCAATCCCTATCTCTCCCTCACCTTCACCCCTCCTACTGTTTGACATCCTCCCCGCGTCACGATGGATCCCAGATCTCATCCGTCACGGCCCCCATCCACCAGCCTGCCCCAGGGCTCCACGCCTCTTTCCTCGACACCTATCTCGAGCATGCCAATGCCTCAGTACGCCATGCAGCATCAGTACCCAGTGTCCCAGGCGCATACTCTTCCCCCGCTCCAACCTCATCACTCCCAGTCTCCTGCCCCTCACTACATGGGCCAGCCTTACAGACCGGACCTCTCGAGATATCCTGCGTCCACTCACGATGTCTACGCGACTTCTGCGGCTCCCATAATGCCCCATACAACCGTGGGTAGCCTGCCCCCGTCTTCGTTCCTCTCCCATCCCAACCCGCAGGCCCAACCCCAGCCGTCGCAACCTTACCCTCCTCCACACAGCGTGCTCCCGCCTGCGTCGAGCGCTCAGTCCTATCCTCAGCCAATTGCGCCGGCCCCGCCCCGTGACCGTCGCTCAGACTATTCCGCGCTCCCGTCTGGTGCTTTCAGCTATTCGGATGCTAAGGGCTCGCCTTGGATGAATCAGGATCCGGTGGCCGGTCCTAACGGTGCTGCGCCTTATGCCGCGAAGGAGCCTCCTCGCACTCAGGTTGTTGGCTCTCAAGGCCGTCGTGGTATTCTCCCGAGCGTTCCGGGACGCGCGACTCCGGTCACCAACGGCGTCAATGGAACTGCCAAGAACACTACAATCCCCGCCAAGGATGCTGATGGAAAATTTCCGTGCCCGCACTGCAACAAGACGTATCTTCATGCTAAGCACCTGAAGCGTCATCTGCTCAGACGTGAGTTTGCCTTTCCGTATAGCGCTCAGCGTCATCGCAAATAGTATCGGCGCTAACATGATTCTGTGCTACAGACACGGGTGATCGCCCTTACATGTGTGTTCTTTGCAAAGACACTTTCTCCCGAAGTGATATTCTGAAACGCCACTTCCAGAAGTGCTCGCTGAGACGTGGTAACCCCACGGGAGCGACTCATTTGTCGCATCCCCAGGCGCATTTGAAGAGATCCCAAGCCGCGGCAAACGCTGTCAAACCTGTTCAGGAGGAAGTCAACAGTCCCATCCCGCCCCCCAACGGTCTTCCGGGTGGGACATATCCTGAAGGGGCTGTCAACGGGAATGGAATGGCTCCCGCCCGTCCAGGTTACACTGAGCAGCAGCCCATGGGTTTCTCCATGTCGTCTGTGAATGGGATGAACCGCGGTCCTCCCGAAGACGCCTACCCCGCTGGTCAGCCTCAACAGAGAGGGCCCTGGCTTGCCGCTCCTAAGCAGAGCCCGTACCTTGTTCAGCCTGGAGCTGATGCATCTGGCCAGCAGCTGAATGTTGACCGTCCTCCCCTTGAGCAGGTAAAGCCCCCGATTGTTCAAGATCCTAAGCGCCCTGTCATGCCTGGCCCTACCCCCAATCATGCTGGCGAAATTGACTGGACTTCGATGTTTCAGCCCGGAGGTTCCGACGGTTACATCAACCAAGTCTTCCCTCAACATACCATGGCCGCGGGCCAGGAGCCCATCCACGCTCACGTCGATGCCGAGCGCAAGTTCTACCCTACCACCACCGCTGCTGGTCCCCAAGAAGGTGGCATGAACGGACTTTATCTGGCCTCGACCATGAGTGGCGACGGTAAGCTGAACCACATAGATAGGATCGCAAGTCCATGCTAATTCGCTGGTCATTTAGGTACGGTTCAACCTGCCCGCCAGTAGTTGCGAGTAAAAGAGGGTCGATGTCTGTCTCTTGACCACGCTGAGCTCAACAATCAACAATTGGCGCGAAAAGTCTCTCAGACTCAAAGTACGATATCACACTGTCTCCCATCTACGGGATTACGTGTCATACGACGTTACGCATTCAAGATCTAAGGACATGTGCTGCGATACTGGATCTTCGTTGGGAACGCCTCTGGACATGCATCTCTTCTCCAGACCTACCTAGCGACTCTGATCCTCGATTTCAGTGCAAATCCCGGAATTACATTGTTCGATCAATCGGTTTGAGGCTAACATGGATCCACCGGAGAGCCGCTTGGATCTCCGAACGAGATTAGAGAAAGAATAGAAAACGGGGGACGGCGAAACAAAAGTTAGATGAAACAAAAGCAACGAACATAGAAAGAAGTGGCTGTCGGCCAGGTCCAAGAAATTCGCGCAGTGCGCATCGACGTGGTCGGGTTGTTCAGCGTCCGATTCTCTTATTGTCATGAAAACATCTTCTTTCTACAGGTTTCGTGGTCGAAATTTCTTGCGATGAAAAACTCATTTGTCAGCATTTGTACGGCGAGTGCAGCTTTGCGGTGGCCTAGGATTTGTTTTGTCTTTTCAATCGTTTCTTCTTTTTTCATTTTTTTTTCATCCATTATGAGTGGGTTTGATGGGATGGTGTGGCTTTTATCTGGCGTCCAATCATAGACTTGGGCATGTGTTTTTTTATGCGATTGTGTTTTCTCTATTTTCCTTCTTTTACCGTCCCTTTTGCGACGAGGTCACCAAGAAAATTCGAGTGGAAAGCTTCTTGTCGACGCATTACCTTGAACTGCATGACCTATATTCGCGGATTTTCCCCAGCTGCACCAAGAAAAAAAAGGGTGTTTGGGCTCTGTTTGCATAACCATAACGGCCATTCTTCAATTGTTCATGTCATCTCCCCAGTCAACCCTGTATGTAGAGTTGGTGTGCCTTCTTCGAGGGCATGCACGTTCCGACTGGGGCTACCAAGGTGTTTTCATACACATACAGGTCCTTGCCCATACAAAATCATCTTCCAAATTCCTCTTTATCCTCGATCTGTATGCTGTTCCGTCTCTGCCTTTCTCCTGTGTCTTACATTGTTCCCAGAGCATCTTGTGGGTGACTGGGCTTACAATGGGGTATCCGACTACTGCCGTCGGAAGGCCAGCTGTGTTGACGTGTTGGCGCTTCTCGTGGCAAGGGCTGGACAAACTGTTATAAAAGCATCCCTGGCCATTCCTGCATGGTGTTGCGATGATTATTCAAGTTGCAGGTGTTTGTATTTACGGTTCCTGTCTTATGCTGAAGGAAGGCTGAAATCATGGCAAGCCAGTTGTTGGGAACTTGACCTGAAGAAGAATAATACGGATGCTATCTGATCATCACTCATTGACGTGTAAGGGTTTGCAATGATAGGTGCTACAACGAAAATCTCCGAGGCAGAGCGACGGAAGAAGGAAGCATAACCATGTGGCTTAGAAGAGTAATGAGCAAGGGACACCAGGTGATTGAATCCCTTTGGTCCGAGAGAGGGGAAGATCCCGGGAATTCCCTGGTGTTTCGCCGACTTTCAGCACTGGTAAAAGCTGGGGATAGAGAGGAAAGTGTGGAGAGGAAGTGGAGCAGGATCTCCGGGGGGTTGCATCGACTGGTCCATTTATTCCCCTTTGTGTACTTAATTACCCCGTATAAGCTGTAGTTAGTGAGGAGTATACGGTAACTGAGGAGTAAGGCAAGTTGAGTGTCGACGTCACCGCCTGCCCTCGGATCCTGGATTGGGTTTTGCCCGCCGTGATTGGTCGCTACCCACGGGATGCTCCGGAGCACTTGGTTCGAGTTGCTGCTTCCAAATGGATCCCTCCACCCCCGGCCCAAATCCTACTACTTCCTCCTCCCATCCCCGTCATACTTCCTTTTGTCCATCCATCCATCTATCTCCGTTTTCTATGCTCGGCCTGATACATACATTCTTCTCCTCTTCGTTCGCATATTTGTCACTAATTACGCCTTCTCCCCTATCTGTCCCATTAGACACAATCTAGATCTCACGCCTCCGCAACTCCGCGGCTACCCACAATTCCGAACTCCACCGACTTCTCCATTACAACCATCACCTCTTCTCCTCACACGAGATTTATAGACCTGCGCGAGCGTTGCCGACTCGGCTTCGCGATACTATCAACCACAACAAGAGCGTTGATCTACTCGTTTTCTACTTATATCTGAGACGTTCAATACGATATCGGTGGTTCCAGTCCACCAACGACCCTACTACCTCTACCGAACGGCCAATCTCACCCTAAAACTCGCACTCTACAAGTTCACCCTTTCCTACCCAGTCAACACAATGTCTACGAACCGACCATTCCTGGCCAACTTTCTCGCGGCCTTTCGAGCGCAGTCAACATTCAAAGCCTCCACCGCCGGCACTCAGTCTACAACATCAGCCTCGATATCCTCTGCTCAGATTTCCCAGAGCGCTGCTCGAGCAATCGCCACGAAAGCCAGCAACAACTCCGATGCATCCTCCACTTCCTCCTCCACGGCACACCATTACCATCACCACTCCTCGTCCTCACACTCTCGTCCGCATTCCCACCATCGCGGCCCCCTGACCCACGGCCAAGGCCAGGAGCAGCCCAGCCCCGCATCCCCGCCCCCGTCATCAACCGCGACTCCACCAGCCGCATCGTCTCCCCCACCAACCCCAGCCGCCTCGAACCCTATTCCCATTACGAACAACCATGGTCGTCAACGGCGTGGGAGTGATAGCTCCAGCGGGTCTGGGGGATTTCGCGACGCTCTCGGTCCGGAGAAGTGGTATATCGGCGGCCGGACGCCTGCCGGCGAAGAGAGGTTCTACCGCCTAGGCATGGTCACCAAGGGAGGGGGCCGCCTCGGAGGGAGCGGCCGGGTAGGGAGTATCGATCAGTTAAGTCTCTGAGAGTGTAGTAAAAGTCGCTTGATGCGAGCTATTTCGTTCTCATGACTCTTTCTTCTATCCTCTATATACTTTCGGCGTGAGATCCCTATCCTGGAAATCAGGCGGCGAATGGGACAGGTGTTGGGAATGGCTTTCGGTCTCGGTCTTGAGAAAAAAATTTGCTTCAGTTTGTTAGGTGTTTTCCCGTGCGCCTCGGGTTGTTCTTGCAAAGATTGGCGATTGGGCTTGGTGTTCAAGCTTGACCTTATACGCGCGTTGTTTTCGCTCAGTTCTTGGGGCGAAGAGGGTGAGATCGGGCTAGAAGTGAGAAACATGTATATGAACAATGATATCTTCTCTCATGCAGCTAGCGGGTGCGGGCATGTTCTTACTGTATGCTTATCCCTTGAGAGGTAGTTCTCAATCAAGCAAGGAAAGAGGGCATTACGTCCGAGTCCGACAGCGGCATAGTTTCGGCTTAGCTTGGGAGAAACACGATGAGAACTCATCGCTCCTGGTCATGTTTTCTAGGTCACATTGGGGAGTGTGCTGACCGGGTTGATGGAGATCTCCAAAGGAGATCATGTAGTAGCATCGTCAGTCAAACTACTGATGACATTCAACACTTCATCTGACTCCCTCCTTCCCAGTGCCTGCAGGAACAACTTCGGAAACACTTGTGATGATATGCTTGTAAAGAGGGTATACAGCTTTTCTCCAGCGTTTAGAAGACATACAAGTGTCCACTATGGCCCCCTCGGAGAAGGTCGGAGCCTACAGACTTCAATGCACATGATATAAGTGTTTGTTGACTATAGCCACCGGTTCCTCGGCATTGTTCCCTGCTCGCGAGACAGAGTTAATAGTCTACAGTAACAATTCAAGCCTTTTGAAGGACCGTATCTTACCTTATGTCCTCTCCTCCTGCTCCTCCAGCAATGGCTCCCTCTCACCAACACCAACACCATCATCACCAGCACCAGCATTACCCGACCTCCTCCACGGCCACCTCCTCCACCTCCTTCCCACCATATTCTTCCTACCTTTACGCCCCCAAAAACACAACCAACTCCACCCCTGTCTAGGAGAGAAAGAACCCTCCCCCATCCCCCGCGCAACCAAAAAAGCCATCCCCGCCACCAACCCTGCCAAACTCCCCGTCATCACTGCCCATCCGAACCGCCACTCCACGAACCCTCCCCACAGCGGCCCGAGAAACAACCCCAGAAACTGCGCCATGGTCTGGATGCCGAATGCCTGAGCGACGGGGGCGGAGGTGCCCTTGGGTGGTGGTGTCGGTGCGACGCGGCGGGCAGGCTCCTCCTCCGCCGCCGCCGTCGCTGCCACCGCTTCCTCCTCCATCGCATCGAGCACCTGTTGGGTTTCGACGTATAGTGCTGGGGTGCAGAGGTTGATGAGTAAACCGATGGCGGTTAGGAGGGTGAGGAGGAGGATGATGTGGGCGGTGTTGTGGTTGGTGACGAGGCGGAGGCAGAGGAGGGGAATGGTTAGGAGGGAGAAGGATATTGTTGCGATGGGACGGGGGCCGTGTTTGTCTGTTAAATGGCCTGTTTTTGGCGGTGGTTTATTTAGTTTTAGGTTGTGGAGAGAGTGGCGAGAGAGGGGTTGTTTCTGGTTTATCATTCTTTCAAGGTTTGGGGGGCTGGACATACCAAAATATGGCTGTAGGAGTGCGGTCAGGGCTGAGGGGAGAAATGCCATGCTTGCGCCAAAAGTGCTCCATCCGAAGCGGGATTCAACAAAGATGGGAATTGTCTAGGATGAGAGGGTCGTTAATCGATGACTACCTACTTAACACGGGACCAGAACGTACAGCGTCAAAGGCAGAGTAGAGTAACCCGTGCACGAGAAGAGCAGCCGAGGAGACGAGAACCCGGGGTTGGCTGATGATTGCCAGTATCGCGAGCTTCTTCTGGGATGGACTCGTGTTGGGCGCTGCCGGAGCGGAGCGCCTGGTCGACTGGTCCGGCAGCGGCTGCTGCTGCTGCTGCTGCACCAGATTGTCGCTGGACGTAAACCCGGCATCTAGTGCTGGTGAGAACGACTGCGCCTGCTGCATCCACCGGTTGGCGACGGCTTTCTCGACCACCACCATCCGCATGAGCAGATCAATCCCCACCATCGCGAAGGCGATGGCAAAGACCGCATGGTACCCGGCGACTTGGTAGACGAGCCCGCCCAGCAGCGGACCCAGCAGAAAGCCCAAGGCAACGGCGGAGCCCAGGTATCCGATGGTTTGCCCAAGGTTGCTGGCTGGGACCGAATCCGTGAGCAGGGCGAGACCCGCCACGGCGACCATGGCGGTGGCAGCGCCTTGCAGCAGGCGGGCCACGATGAACAAGGCGATGGTGTGCGCCAAAGCGAGAAGCACCATCGAGGCCCCGAGAAAGATGAGGCCCAGGAGGTAGGGCAGCTGTCGCGTGGGTGCCACGTCCAGCAAGTATCCGAATACTGGACAGCAGAGGAAGGCGACGGCGGCTTCGCACATCAGTAGGATGCTCACCCAGAACTCTCCTGGTCATGAGTTAGCTAGATCCTCGCAAACGCATGATGGGCTCAGGAGGAGCTGTTTGGCCCTTACGATCTTCGTATGGTATACTGGCGCGGTCGACAAGGGCTGTGGGCATGACGGGCACAATCTTTGCAGAGGGTCAGTGACGCCATGACGATGCATGGTATCTCCAACATCTCAGTGATGGATCTATTGCATGGCTTACCATCGCATAGAGGAAGTAGTCCTAAGTCTCTATCAGCCTCTATGTCCATTGCACGCCACAGACAGACAAGCATTGCGGATGGTACCTACCGTGAAGAACGAGGTCCAGACCGTGGCGATAATGAATCCCGTCGACGACCGCCATCGGAGCAATCGTGGAGGATGACAGGTCATGGCGTGCGCATGCGACTTCCACATTCGATCATACTGGTTCCGAAATCAATTGCTGTGCTCGAGCAGATCTGATCTTTGTTGGCTGGTAGGAAGGCGGTCCGGCCATTGCCTCAGCGGTAGCTTGAATTGCATTTTGCCGGGGAGGGTTTGGTTGGAAGTTGCGGGCGGATTCCCTTTTGCCCCTTCGAGCAGCAATCATGACGATGCACTTCTGAAAATCTGCAACTCTGCGCCGCAAGAACAATAAAGCAAAAACTACATCACCAGCCAGAACATTGATACTACGCAGATTTACAGTACAAGGCCGAGTCAATCAAGGCTCTGTCTGACAGCTCGCATTCTCTTCCAATTCAAAGGACCGAAAACAGAACAACAGCCGGAAGTGCATGCCGAAGCACGAATCATTCCATTGGGGATCTCCGTCCTCCGGCGCGAACAGGAGAGCGACAGACGCAGACGCATACGGGCGGGATATGGCCTGACCAGGAGGCTCGAGCAGAATAATAAGTCTTACAACAGGAGGGAGGAAGAAGGCGATCATCAAATCCCGATAAGATAAGAAAGAGAGTGAGAAAACGTGCGGAGGCCGTCGACTGCCCGCGGGTTTCGGAGGTGGCCGATAACTAAGTATTTCTCCCTGCGCAACACTTAAGAACGCCTTTATTTCCCCGGTTGCACTGGTTGTGTACCACCTGCATACCCCCCCCTGCACGAGATACTTGCTCTGTTTTTATTTGTTTTCATTTTATTTCATTTTCAATTGCTTTCTGGCATCCCACGCCTACTTCAACTCTCACAAATCATGTCCTCCCCCATTACCGCGGCCCGCTACGGCAAGGACAATGTCCGAGTATACAAAGTCCACCGTGACGAGAAGACGGGCGTGCAGACCGTCGTCGAGATGACCGTCTGCGTGCTCTTGGAGGGTGAAATCGATACTTCGTACGTTTTTTTCCTTTTATTCTCCTGCTGTTCCTGTTTTCATCTCCCCTCCTCCCCGCCTCCCCATTCTTCCTGGTCAACCAACTAACCTCTTATCTCCCCGCTCTCTATAATACAGTTACACCAAAGCCGATAACAGCGTGGTCGTCGCAACGGACTCCATTAAGAACACCATCTACATCCTAGCCAAGCAGAACCCAGTGACGCCGCCGGAGCTCTTCGGCTCGATCCTAGGCCAGCACTTTGTCACCAAGTATGCGCACATCCACGCGGCGCACGCCCACATCATCACGCATCGGTGGACGCGCATGACGATCGACGGAAAGCCGCACCCGCACTCGTTCCTGCGCGACGGCGAAGAGACGCGCAACGTGCAGGTGGACGTGGTCGAGGGCCGGGGAATCGACATCCGGTCGTCGCTGGCCAAACTGACGGTGCTCAAGAGCACCAACTCGCAGTTCTGGGGGTTTGTGCGCGACGAGTTCACCACCTTGCCGGAAACCTGGGACCGCATCCTCAGCACCGACGTTGACGCCGCCTGGCAGTGGCAGCGGTTCGCCGACCTCGCCGCCGTGCGCGCCGCCGTGCCCCGCTTCGATGCCACCTGGTCCACCGCCCGAGACATCACCCTCAAGACCTTCGCCGAGGACAACTCGGCCAGCGTCCAGAACACCATGTACAAGATGGCCGAGCTGATCCTTGAGAAGCAGCCCCTGCTCGAGACGGTCGAGTACTCGCTGCCTAACAAGCATTACTTCGAGATCGGTACGTTCTTGCCTCACCACCCCCCCCCTCTAAATTTGTTTGTCTTGGTGTTCGGGGCTAACTGTTGGATGCATCGATAGATCTGAGCTGGCACAAGGGTCTGAAGAACACGGGCAAGGATGCAGAGGTGTATGCGCCTCAGAGCGGCCCCAATGGTCTCATCAAGTGCACGGTTGGCCGCAAAAGCAAGGCCAAGTTGTAGTTCGGCAGGATTGTTCTTGTTGTTTCTTTTGTTTGTCCCAGGTCATTTCCAGCGGTTACTTGAGAGTTGTTGCCGGCTCAAAGACACACCCCCTTATGTATATAATTCTTTCGTCGGGATAGGGCATAGCATTCACTGAATTGATCGGTTATGATACAGCACACCCCGCTCTCGGCGACACACTCCGCATAGACCCACAGGTAAACAGCGCAAGGATAAAACCGAAGCGGTGCGTAGACCGACAGGAACCCATCGAAGACCCTAAGTCCGGCGCTTCCGACACATCAGATCAAAGAATATGTGTATAGAATTATGACCGAAAAGAGAGATAAGAGAAATCGAAACATTTGGAACTCCCACCAATGCGCTAGCAAAAGTCATCATGACAACAAGAGACAAAAGAATATGGTACGGGATATAAAAGTACAGGAAAGAATACACAGTCAGATGGTATCCGCGGGAAAGGAGGGGGAGGGGAAGGCGCGATCAAGAAAAGAGAGAGAGCCGAGAAGAATATCGTCTCATCCCATCTTGCAAGAAGAATACGTGTCGCAAATCTTGTTCTTATGCCGACGTCTCCGCCGCCGCCGCCGCCTTGGCCGTCTGGAATGCCTGCTGGACCTCGGGGAGGTTTCCGATGACCGATGACTCGCCGCCGACCTTGATGATATTCTGCTTGTACGGGTGGTTGAGTCCCTCGAAAGCTGGAGACGAGCAGTCAGTCATAGTGTTCCCTTGGATGCATTCTTTGTATCGCATCATCTGGTTGCATGTCATGGAAAGGAAGAGCGGAATGGACTCACTCTTCAATCTCGCCAACCGCTTATCCCTCAGCCGGTTCTTGGGCAGCATGCCACGAACGGCGCGGCGCAGGACCTCACCACCGCCCCATTTCTCAAACATCATGTCCATGGTCATGCTCTTGAGGCTACCGGGCCGGGTGGTGTGCGTGTAGTACTTCTTCTGTTGGCGCTTCTTGCCGGTGGTACGGAGGTCGTGGCAGCCGACGGCGACGACATAGTCACCGCAGTCGGTGGAGGGATCATAGATGGGCTTGTTCTTGCCCATGAGGACGAGGGCGATGGAGGAAGCCAGACGGCCGAGGGTCCGGCCGTCACTGCCTACGTCAACGTAGTGCCATGCTCGCGAGTAGGCCAGACGAGTCTGTTTTGATATCGGAGGTTAGAAAAAGTCAGCGAGACGGAAAGGAAAGTGAAGAAAAGTAGAAAAGCAAAGACGAAAGAAATAGAGAACAGAGGGAGGAAACAATTGAGAGAAGAGGGAGCTAAGACCAACCTTTCCAACAGTCTGCGACATCTTGGATATAGTTATACAACCGAGCAAAGGCAAAGGACGCAGACCAGGTACAAACACCAAAGGGGACTTCTCCAGTCTCTCTCTCTCTCAGTCTCTAACTTACCTAACTGACATCCTCCTTCCGTAACTGGCACCCGTCCCCGTCCACGTGACCAGCCCGCAAGCCCTACCCGCTCTAGCCCAAAGCGGGTCTAGCGCACCGCACTAAGCGAAATCGTCCGCACGGATTGACTGGATTGTGCGCGCGACTCCCTCTGCCCGCCTGCCAGAAATTAATACGCGAAGACGACGACGACAATCGACGACACCCTCTCTCCCACCCCCCCGACGTACTTCCCACCCCCCCAGCACACTCCCTTTTCGACACCCGACTAGGGCCATTCATCATCATGGCTTCCGTCCCGAGTGTGCAATGCTTCGGCAAGAAGAAGACGGGTGAGTTTTTGTGTGTTTTATTGGGTTGCGGAGAATGGAGATAAGGGGACAAGGGAAGAGGAGGAAAAAAAACCGGCGATCGCGGATTTCGAGACACGGCGCAAGAACTCTTGGATGGACATGTGGACTGACTTGCACAAATCTCTTTAGCTACCGCTGTCGCCCACTGCAAGGTATGCATCAGATACTTCCACCATTTATGTCACGTTCCACGAAAGCCTACAACCACCGGTGTCGTTCGTTCGCGGGTTCAGAATCGGGAGATGGAAGGGGCAAGAGGAAAGGGTTATCGAAACCGAAGGAAGACCGCATCCGTCTCAACACCCACCTGGAAAGGAAAAAAGAAGAGATCAATAGGAGGAAACCATGCGACTATGCCGAAGTATCAAAGAGAAGGGCCCTCGGAGCAAGAAAGAAGGATAAGGATTCTAAGCACACGAACGAACGACACCGGTTTCCCATTTGACTCAACACCGCCCAATCCATTCAATCGCAAATCGAAACAAGAAGATCTCCGAAGACTGACGATTCTCTCCACAATTTACAGCAAGGCAAGGGTCTCATCAAGGTCAACGGCCAGCCCCTCTCTCTGGTCCAGCCTGAGATCCTCCGCTTCAAGGTACATACACACCTCTTCCACCTGCACACACATCGACACCTTCCACCATTCCTTCCACCACGTCGCAAAGATCCAAGCAAGAATATTTATGATTGACTCCGACCCCTCCCTGAAACTAGGTCTACGAGCCCCTCCTGATCGTCGGTGCCGACAAGTTCGCCGGTGTTGACATCCGCGTCCGCGTCACCGGTGGTGGTCACACCTCCCAGGTCTACGCCATCCGCCAGGCCATTGCCAAGTCCATCGTCGCCTACTACCAGAAGTACGTCGACGAGCACTCCAAGAACCAGCTCAAGCAGGCTCTTGTCCAGTACGACCGCACACTCCTTGTCGCCGACAACCGTCGCCCGGAGCCCAAGAAGTTCGGTGGTCGCGGTGCTCGTGCCCGCTACCAGAAGTCCTACCGTTAAGCGGCTCAACCTTCTCTTCGGTATTCCTTTTTCTCTCCTGTTGTCTCAGTCACTTTTTGCCTCGGGATCCTCCTGGTTTTTTTCTCTACTCTACTCTTCCTTTCACGAATCAAGGAAGCAGTAGTTGAGGGGGTATCTTTCGAGCAAAGTGTTTCAAAAAAAAGTTGTTTTTTCACCCACCCCTCCATTTCTGATCTTCGGGAACGGGGTGCTGGAAAACGGGTAAAAAGGATACGCAGAATGGTGTCGTTTTAACGGTTGTACTCTGGGGTGGAGAGATCTGGTGCGGTGTGGTCCCATTTCCACCACTGGACAATTCATTCATCGAGGAAGGTCTGGGTTGTTACAGTGGTAGTATGGATTTAGAAGGTGCAATGCTGGCTTGGGAATTAGTATAGGCCAGGATTATCTCAAATATCACCCGATTTCTTTTTTTGTCCATATGTCTCTTTGCTCAAAGTGGATCAGGTATCTTAGCTTCCCTATTTTATTTGATGATCGTCTGCCCTGCTAAAAGCTCGAGCTTTCGAGATCTTAACCATGTGTATTATGCTATTCTCGGAATTGAATACGCTTATGTCAAATTCGGGAAGCTCTTTCGACTTGAATCACGGCCTAGAGCAGTCAAACGGCCCCTAGAGATGCGGATCCCCGTTTAATTCTCAATTCCGCGTGAATATTTAGGGGCTCGGTTCCATGCCGATACAACTTCCATTTGACCCATTTTCCATTTGCTTAAACAAAGAATTGTATGCAATGTCCCCGCGGGGCCCGCATGCCCTTCACATCCACCCTAGTTCAGCTGTTTCAAAAATGCAGCAGGTTGGCTGATGCACTAGACCACCCCATAACTTATTGTGGTAAAGAAGAAGTCTAGCAATAAAGTGAATGCCCAAAGCACCTAGGCAGGTATTCTGTTATCTTGCCAGCGAACGTGGCTATGGAGGCAACTTTGCACTCCGTCATGGCCGTCATAATCTTCGCTCTCGTTGTCATCAGTCCCATCGAGTGAAGGAGATGGAAGCGATTTGGTTTTGATGTTGGTTCTGTGGCTGAAGCTTCTTGTGGTTCATGTCTCGGGCCGGTGGATGCCTTACCCTGCGAATTCGCACATTCGTCTGGAGAGAAACCGATCTTCATACCTTTGTATGTAAGCCGAGACATCATGCAAGATCGTGCGAAGAGCGCATTATGGACTGAGTTGGTGGATATGTAGGCATTGCCATTGCTGAATTTCACCGAAATCACGATTAAGTTGTGGATATGCTCCAGATCTTTCCGGATGACCCACTCTGTGACGTTTGGATGCACGCTGTAGAGAACTAGATTCCTCGAGGCTCCATTGTGAATCTTAGTCCTGACATAGTGTGGAATATAAAACTGCCGGTCGTTCCACAGTGTCTCAACCTAGCCAGATGAATAATTCTCAGCATGGGTGAGTCTTTGACGAAGGAAAATGTACTCACGCGCTTCCCGGCCACAAGAAGGCCACTGCTGTTCGTATGCTGCAGGAAAGAGTGGGCTGCTGCCTCTTCCACGAATGACACACTTGCAAGCCGCTCGCGAGCCCTCAAATAGATATGAACGAGCGCACCACTCCTCACAGCGTCAACAATGTCTCTGTAAGTGACGCGTTCTGGCAGATTACGAATCATCACAGTACGTTGATTCGTGGGAGTAGCTGGAGATTCCTCACTCTGGGAAGAATCATCACGATCTGCCTTTCCGTCACTAGACGGTGAGTCCAGTGACGTGATGTCGTCGCGGTCTCCTTCGGATGCAGCATCGACTTCAGAGCTTTCGTCTGAACATCTGCGACGGGGGATGATATCATGCTTCCTATTAACTTGGCGCTGGGATGCAGCATTTGTAGTGCAACCTCCCGAAGCTGTCTGGGAACTTGTTGGAGGTCCATAGATCAAGATCTAGACGAGGTCAGTAAACGAATAAAGGGCTGTTGCACCCAGAGAACCTCTGACATCGAGAGTCTCCTGCGAAAGCCCCCCTTCGAGGAGCGAGTTTTTCAACCTTGCTGTAAAACTGCTATTAGAACAGATTCGGACTTTGTAACTCGATGAAAGAGCCTACTGAATTGCTGCGACGCTTGAATCTGTTTCCGAGAACAGTGAAGGGTCAGTAGGTAACGTTGGCATGACACTGAGGTAGACTTGCTTACCAGGCGCCTGTGTTCGACAAAGGAGATAGTCACGGAGCCTGGATCGGGTGGAAGCTCTTTCAGTCCTTGAGTCTGCGTGGGCATTTTCAGTCAAACGGTCGCTACAGCTAAGATTAGTTCTTATAGCATCGGATCTAATAAAAGATTATCTATACGCATTTGTTTCTTGGTCCACAAAGGACGGACTCACCTCACAAAGGAAGATTTCAATTTCGAGTTATTACAGGAAGCAAACGAAGACATGGTGGCTAGAAAGAGACGCCTCCGCTGCGTGTCGCGTGCTATGTCAGTCGAGAACAAACGATCAATTGAAATAAAGTGTTCGTCATGACAGAGTATTAGTATAAGAAGAAGACTGGTTGAAAAGTGACGTACTAGCGACAACACAAAGACCTTGGGCAGCACAGACCACAAACTTACCTGGGAACGAGGGGAAAAAAAAGGAAGGATGGGGTGTAGTGAAGTGAACAGGGGAAAGAAAGCAAAAGGGAAGTTGATATCGCAGCGCCACTTCACATGGCGTTTGATTTCTTGTTTGCGCAGGTGCGAACGGCTGGCTGGCTGGTCCAAACACACAATTCCCTCGCAATTCATCTCCGTTTTTCACTCTCATTTCTTCAAGCATTGTTTCATTACCTACCCTACGGCCATACATGGTTGGATTTGAGCTCCCACTCTTTCACTCTTATCACCGTGCGGGCTGCATTCTCAGAAGGGATAGCCTCACGGAAATGCAGATGGCCTGCAGTTACAGGAGAGAGGATGCATCGCGTCGTGTCGCAATCGGGCTGTAACTAACATGATGATTTGTAAGTAGCATCAATACTTCTTGACTAGATATGCAATATGGGTATCAATTTTGTTCGCCTCTGGCTGTGGCATATATAGTATGGGAAACCCCCGCTGAAGGTGTACTAAACATGATAGCTGGTAGTATGCTGATCATTTTTCACAAAACACTCAACGCACCACTTTGATTGGTTCAACGCCTTGGTGGTAGCAGGTCCAGCACAGAACTGAGATCAATCTCGACTTCTTGGAAACCGTGCCTCAGGGTAGTGTTCATATCGATTTGCCAAAGTTCTGCCCAGTAACTGCCGAATTTTTTCATCATAGCGGTCATCAGCTTTGCGCGGCCAGTTTCCTGGTTGACTGTCGTTGACTCTTCATCCAATCTCGTCGCGAGCGGGGTCCGTATCGACTTCTCCCGGCTCAGCTTCTCGCTCAATTGGTAACCTAGTTTCTATATGTCCCAAGTTCAAATCGGGTCTACCCTCTGCTGCGTCCTGTTGCCTCGAACGCCTAATTTGGATAACATTGATGGCCATCTGGGTTGCGAACATCGCCAGGAAGATACCCATTACCAGAGTCTGCGGAATGTACGTTTCCGAATCCTTTTCTTGTATTTGATCCGAACGAGCAGTCTCAGAGGTACTCGAGGACCCAAAAGATATGGAGACCGACATGGTGAATGGTGTGAACGACGTGAAGATCGCCGTTGTTGGCGATAAGAACGATAGGCCAGACAAGCCAAGGCCCAGAATCATGGGCACAAGCGAGAAGACGAGCAGAGGGACGGCTAGTCATAAGGCAGAAGAGAAAGATGGGCGAGAACCGGCCAGCCTGGTTGGTAAAGCTCTTGTGAGTGACACAGAACAATGTTCGAATTCGCATGGCCAGCGCATCTACCTACCATTCTCGAGACCTCGCCTTTTGGACCCATCGAGCCACAATCTTTAGTCGATCCCTGACACTACTTGTAGATAAGAGCAAGTACTTTTCATCTTCCCACAGAGGGTAGACGCTAGCAAGCCACCATGGAAAAGTAGCAGGATCTGTCGGGGCATTGCCGTATGCCAGCAAGACACGGGGATGAAGCCAAGCGACTCCCTTCCGACGTTGTTCGTCAAGGAAGTCTTGAGCTATCTGGAATAATTGCTGGGTCGGGAGAACTTCAATTGGTGTCTCTGTAGGATTAGCATCTCCTGACAGTGTTTGTTCCCGTGCAGCCGACGTTTCTAGTGATTCCAGGCGCTCTTCTTCAGTGACAGGAACATCTTCCACGCGTTGTACCCTACCAACATGATAGCCGTCCACCACCTCCGAGCCAATTACCTTGAAGCGTGAAACGCCAGTAGCCACTATCAGGCTTCTTCCATCTGGGAGAAGCTCATAGCGATCAACCATCAAGACTGTGCCAAATTGCATGAACTCCGACCTTCCTAGTCCTGGCTGGGCTCGGCCTCCGCGGTTGTGTAAGACCATACCAAACTTCTTACCTCTCGTCTCCATGACTCTCTGCATCATAATCCGATATCGAGGTTCGAAGACATGCAAGAACGTTGGCATAGTTGGGAAGGAGAGCGAATTCACAAATAAGGGAAGCGTCTGTACATCGTCAGCGGCAGCTGCCTCTTCAGCCGTTGCCTCCTTCCGCATCGCCAGCTGCTCGGGAAACAGAGTTTCCAAAAGAGTCCTAATTCTCGAATTACTAGGCTCTCTGCGGGAGGTCGAGGACAAGTTCAGCTTCCGGCGACAAACAGGGCAAAGATCGCTGTGGTCCATTACCATAGTCACACAGTCGCGGCAGAATGTGTGGCCACAAGGCGTCGTCAACGGGTCCAATATAAGCGAATAGCACACCTGGCAGTCTAACTCATTCCTGACCGCATCCTTGAGTATTGTATAGGAGCGCCGGGTCGCGCTCGAGCTCTCAGCGGCATCGTCCGTCGAATAGTGCACGTCCGACGCGTCATAGCCGAACCGGCCCTCTTTGATAAGACCGTAGACGCCCTTCAGAAGATCTAGTGCGATGGTTTCGCACTTTGTAGTCATTTCATGCGGCTCGTCCCGCGAGCTTTTCCACGTCACCGTGGACGCACCTGCCTCCCAGCCAGCTTGGCGGTCCGCCAGAGATTCCGCGAACACGTCGACCAGTCGATTCAGCAAGACATCTGCTCCACAGTCACCCAAGCAATGCTCCCCAGCACATGTATCCGTCTTCCCCCAGGGACATAAGAATCCATGCTTCCGCCCTTCGTCCGCGGGGTATGTTATACCTGTACGTTCGTGGATTGGCGGGAGACAGGACCGACAGATCGAGTTTCCACATGGAAGCCGCAGCGGCGAGCGAAAGATCTGAGAGCAACGGGCGCATTGAATACTTTTGATTACGATGTGAGCTGGAGAAGGAAGTTCGGTTATCTCGCTCGTGTTGGGTGGTGATGAATGGGGTACCGGCGCAGATGGCGGCGCTACGTTGCTCATGCCGCGGGAGTGATCGTCCGCTCGGGCAGGAGCATGCGGAGGTGTCGACGCAGCATAGGTGTCTTCCATCGAAGGGTACAGCAGATGATAAATTCGAGAATGTGATGGTGAGATTTGGATATACTCCAGGATGTACCGACCAGCTGTTTTATCAGCTAAGAGCGACGAAAGAAGTCGTGGTCTTTAGCTGGGTAGTCAACTTGGTAGGTGAATTGTTTTGGTAGCGGAGAACCGCGGAAATTGGCTTAGCTCCCCGCCGCTTATCGAGCGCTCCGACTCCCACCCGAACTTACGATAATTGTATATTCGGGCGGCTTGGTCAAACTCATCAATGCTTGGCTTTTCTCTTTCAAGTGGTACATTCCCAGGATAGCATGGTTCAAGAACTGGAGGTAATATGATTTGTCTTTCAGTCACCCAAGTCTGGGCCTATTCTTGCGAGATCCTATCACCAATTCGTTATCGACCAAGATCCTCGTACTTTATGTATATACAGGACATACAGGTGCCAGAGAATGGACAGGACATTCATCATGAGATATAAACATTGCAGTGCTTTACTGACAATGCGTTCCAGTCTTGCTTGCTAACAAGTCAGATTATTGACGACATAGAGGATGTAATGCACCACCGTAAGTGAGGAGGAACAACAAGCACAGAGTAACAGCTGGGGTAATCGGATGCAGAAGAGCAAAATTTCAAGTATGCGGACATCTTTTCATTGCTCGTAATTGAACCATCCAACGCCAAGGCCAAAGTGATATGAGGAAAACGGAACAGATGAGAAGAGCGCCGAGTACATGGAGGCAAGAGCAGGTCCGAGGATCACGCATAGCTGTTCCGGCCTGCCTACTGGGATCGAAAAGCGGACCAAAAGGTGAGAATCCGTGTCAAGTTGACTGCAGCAGAATGCAAGAATACTTCACCCAGAAACTTGGGACGAGGTAGTATCCGAGTCTGTGTCCGAATCGTCCTCGGTAACAATGCGCCGCAGAACGCTTTTATCGAACAGATCTAGTGCGAAGCGGCGAGCGGGTAGGCGAAAGTGATGGCTTTCAAGAATACTAAGAGTCTTGCGGAAGAGGTGGGGCTGGTGAAATCGGTCTGGTTGCTTCGCTTTCATACTATAGACATAGGAAGTAAGTCTCCGTCAGGCATTAGGATTATCCAATGGTATCGCTTACTTGTTGAGATCGCTTGCAGCCCTTTTCGACAGCACCGTATTTCCCATATCGACAATGAGCTTCAATATCTTCTGGTTGGTAGGATCTGGGTCGAAAGTGGCCTCCTTGAACCTCTCTTGGGACGTGCGCTTGGCCTCACGGCTCCTGGAGTGCGACGGAAAATCGACCTGTATTTGCCCTTGATTAGATACTGCAACTGCGCCAGATGTTTCAAGTGGAATCTCTACCAGAAAAAGTTTGTTGAAATCAGTCGGCAGACTGAGCCCCAATGAGTTCCCCTTGTTATCGAGAGCGGAATCCCATCCGAAGTCTCTTAGCACCTTCAGACCATGGCGGCTTCGTGAGATCAGCCCCAGAACAAAGAAAGCCGTCCCCCTCATAGTAAGGACCTCCGCGCTTTCCGCGATCTTCACTATATGCTGGACAATGTCTGACTCAAGAAATGGCGCGCCGAGCTCCATCGAGCCCACATTACCCACAGCCCAAAGACAGCCCTTGACTTTGAGAAGAGCCTCGGTGTCTTCTTCGTCCAGCTGAAAGTCTCGAATTGTCCAAGCAAACTCGTTGAAATGACCAGAATGCTCCAGAAGCTTACATCCCTCTGAGGTTCGAGCGAGCTCCCTGTAGAAATGCGGTGGCACTAGTCCAATGTCCTGGAGGTCAACCAGGTCCTCAGGGACAAAACTACTCCGCCGGGGCTGGTCGACATATGCACGCGAGAGGGCTGCTTCAACGAGTCCCACATAAGCATCATTTCGACCCAGGAACCAATCATCCATTTCCTGTGTGATGTAATCCAGCCCGTCGAGATAATGATAGCCGACAGACGTTGACAAGAAACGCAGTAGCAATGGTGCCCCAATTTCACCTAAATGGTCAAGAGATGGCCGGCATTTCACCACATATTCAAGGTAGTGACGCTGATTGCATGCCTCCTCGAGGATCTTCACAGCCACTTGGCAAACAGACACGTCGGGATCATAGAGCTGGGTGACGAGAAGCTTCACCACCCAGTCCGCATTGTTACCGGCGGACGCCAAAGCGGGAAGAGACACATTCCCTACGGCGTACTTTCGTAGAAGTCGAGTCGCGAAAATGCGAATCTCTTTTGAGCTTGTGGTCAGCGCTTTTGACAGAATGACCCGGAGGTGACTCTCCTGGGTATAGTCCATATTCCCAAGGAGGGTTTGAATAAGGTCGTCACGATCTCGAAGCTCAACAATATGATAGAACATGTTTAGCATATGCCATCGTTCCATCATGGCCAAACCGTTCGCATCACCACTCAGCGTGCCCAGTATGGCAAAGTAACCTCCGCTTAACGTGCTTGCCATCTGCTCTTTGGAGAAGAGCGGAGAGGACGATGTGAGTCCACTCATGCGATCCACTTGAGCAAGGCACTCAGCAACTTGCCTCAAGAATTTGTTCTCGGCTAGATATTTCGTTCCTTCCGGAAGTTGTACAAGTGTGCGCATCAATGCACACGCCGTGCGAACATATCGCTGGTTAGGTTTCGTGTTTGGCACCATGGAGAATCTGTACTTAAAAGGTCGATAAAATCCTATCAGTCGCTTCATGAACTTCGAGCCTTTGATGGCCTCTTCCAGTCGTTTGGGATTCGTCAAAGGTCCTTCGACGATACGGTGAATCAAGTCCCACTTCCATTTCAGGTAATTGACGGTGTTCAAGACATGTGTCTCCAAAATCGCATTGCGGAACTGCGTCTCATCCATAGAAGGACTCAATTTCTCCTTGCCTTGATCACCGGACAGGAGAGAAGCAGAAATGTCTACTTCGACATTGTAACGTCCCGCGCCGTTTGGCACGCTGCGCGCCAAGGTCCGGTTAATGCTATCTATTTGATAAATCGTTGAAGTGGAGACATCATGATTCTCGACATCATATTTGATAGCAGCTGGCAGGAGGTGGGGCAGAACTTGGAGCTTCGCACTGACGTGCTGGGGCAATGAATGATGAGCTAGTTTCAAAACCTCAGTAAGAAGTAATGTGGCCTTGCGCCTAAGTGACAAATCTGTCTCGTCCTCGATAAGGTCCGAAAGTGCCTAAGCCGCGTCAGCAACTACTGAAAGTTTGAATGAATGACATGAAATGACCTTTGATAAACCTGCCTCGACAAGTGTGGCAAGGATTAGCGTGGAAAAGTGTGCTGTTAGGTCAAATCTGTTCCCATCATCATTATAAAATGCTTGTATGTGTTTCGTGTCCGATTCTGTTCTCAGATTGGCCACTCTTCCATAAGTTGTAAGCCTCCGACCAGCTAGAAAAGATGACGACCATGACGGAGGCTTAATTCTCAATGCGTCAAACAAGAGCTCCATGATCAAATCTCTGGCCTGTGGATCTGGATAATGTAATGATTCGAGTAGCGATTGTAAAGGCTTGGCTCCATTCCTCGCGAGTACAATCAGGCCTGGCCATGTCTTTAGCATTGCCGAGATTGCTCTAGCGGAAGACTTCAAACGTCCATTACGGACTGAGTCAGATAAGGAGTCAGTGAATGGTGCAAGAACAGCCTCCAACTCCCATCCGCCTCGCAGGTGTTTCCTGCTGTGGGGGGTATCGAGAACATGAAGAAAACTTGCGACCAGGCTTTCCGAGGCACCAAACGTGCCTTCCGCTAAAGCGTCGTGGAGGGTAGCAAATCCACTAGCATACGCGATCAATTCCGGATCTTTCACAAGAATCTCAGCCAGAGTCATGATAGAGATGTTCCGGAGCCGATCCTCATAATGCTCTGCGACAGAGACAATGGTCCTAACAACGGCGCGCGAGATTTCGCGCACACCATCCTTGACATCTAAGAAAGCCCTGACAAACTTCAAAGCTTGCTCCCGCTCAATGCTCGCCTTGCTTTCCTTGATAAGGGATAGAATGACCAGCTCATCCGTGTGAAATGACCGAATGATCTGAAGGGACTTGCGGTCGGCAATAGCGTAGCGTGTCAGCCGATAACCGGCCGCCACCGCTTCTTTGTTGTCGCTGAGAAGCATAATTTGCACGCGTAGCCCAAACACAGACCACTCAAGGTCGTACTTCAACGTAGGGTGCCGCTTGAAAAGCTCCACAAGACTGTTCGCGCGTTCAACATAATAGTCCGGGGCCATGCCTTCGATCTCCAGAGCCTGTAGTGTTTCTGCAAGGACGTAGGTGGGTGATTCCATTTCTGCTTCTCCCTCTTGAAACTGAGCTTCCTCGATCGTAGGATTGTTGCGGGTAGGCGACCGCATAGAGCTGCTCTGGAAGAGGGTCGACAAGCGACTTCGAGGTGGAGTAGACGGCGCCTGCGCACGTAGCATCTCCTCCTCAAGTTCATGGTGCAGCTCTGCAAGCTTGCGGTTGGATGAACTCAGCTCCGATTCAACTCTTAATCTCTGATCTTTCGTGTGTTTCGGATTCTTCGCGAGTAGTGCTTCCAGCATGTTCTCTGTCCCCGTCTTGATTTTCATTTCCTTGGCGATCTTGTCTCGAATGACAGCTTGCCGCTCCTCGGTGGTGGGTATGTCGTCCTGATCGGTGAAGCTGCTTGGTCGACGATTCGGCGCCCCGTCCGGACGTGGCGTTGTGCTTCGCGACGACTTCATACTCTTTAGTTCAGAACTGAAGCTTCCAGGGGCTCCGACCGAGGTAGTCAATGAGCCTCCCCGGACGCCAATGGTCGCACTGCCTCCGGACTCAGATCGAGCATTTCGCCCGGGTCTCGTGGTGGCATCGGCCCAACTACCGTCCGCAGAGCCATCCTCGAGGCTAGAATATGACGGTCCATCACCCAGGGCACGATGCTGGACAGATGTCGCGGAGAATCCTGAATTATATCCGGACGCCATAGAGCTCCATCTAGCCGCGAGAAAGGAGTGACTATCACCTGTCGCGATTGAAATGAGAAATGAAGGTCTGCATTGAGTTTGCAGGGGCAGTCGCAAGTTCTTTCGAGACGACCAGTTATGGAGGGTAAAGAAGGAACCGTTTTGGTAAAGAAAGGTCTGCTGGGGCTGACTTGCGGTACTTTCAGAAGGGAGGGGTGGGAGGGGAAGACGGGTTCGCGGCGGTCACGCTGGTGAGGCTATGGCGGCGACGGTCGAAGTCTCGAGGCGAGCTTATAAAGATCCTGGTTTTGTAGCACAAACAACGGGTGGCAGGCTCGAGCATATGGTCTCGGAGAACAATTTGTTTGCTTTCTTTGAGCCGGGGGGTGTGTTCTCACAGATCCGACTCTGCGTGATTTCAGCCTGGATTCATCCATGGCTTAGCCAGCGCGCGTTGGCTGACTAACCCAGCCTTATCGCCTAAGGCTCCCCACCCGATTCCCGGCCACATGTGAAGGAGGGCCCATTTTGGTTGGTTTATCTACGCTCTTTGATGTCGTATGAATACTCCTGGGTATTCATCGCCATTGTTTCAGAAAACTGTCAAGTGTCATCTACAATCATCCCTTTTCTATCAAGAGAGCAAGAAGTATGAGATGTCATCACTTGACTAGTTGGTTCATTGAGGAAGAAAATACTTATATACATAGAAATGAAATCCCGTGGGATTACAAAAGTCCAGGAACTTATAAATAGACAAGTCGAAGAGAAAGACAGAGTGGCTGCAGTGATGCAGCACCACAGTGACATGAAACAGGATGTTGGGAGGAAATTAGTGACCCCAAGATGCTGTAGGACGAACTCCAAATATGCAAGACCTGACGGGAATGTACACTTGCTTGGTAGTACAAAAGGGTTGATAACGATCGTGAATGATAGCCGGTGTAACGATGAAATTATGGTTCCCAAGACTTCCTCCGCGACGCATTGACGGCATCAGAAGGTACTGGGACAAGTGTACTATCACTGCAATTGTCCATTCTAGCCAATGGTTGTTTGTTTTCAACAATCTTCGGCGTTGCGATGCTGGCGGCCTGGCGGTTGTTCTTCCGCCTACGCCATGCGATGACACCCACATATATAATAAACATTGCCCCGCAGATGATACCGTAAGCGATCGGTGACGCGGGTGGAATATCAGGATTCTTCGTAGTGGCATAGTGAAAGCCGATGCCTCCATTGATGATTCCGAGTGCCGCAAGGAAGCGGCCAAGGTAGCGGTGCGAGACCCCATAGAGTGATGATGTTCCGGTCTTGCGAAAGTGCAAGTGTTGCATGATGCCCAAGATTGGTTGTATAATGACGACTCCACCCACGGCAACATAGCCAATAACTGGATGATAGCCACCGAGCTCTTGAAGGTCTTTCGATACAGAAACTCCAACACCAAACCCTGCCAGGGCCAAAAGCACAGCGAAAGCCTGCAAGGGTGCATGAATCCATGCCACGGTGCGGCGTGACGGGACGATGTACAGAAGAAGGGCGAAATTAGGAAATAGAAGAACGAAGGCGACAGAGGTCATTACGCCGTGCGCAATCCTCTTTTTGTGAAGAAGGGTATCGCTGACTTGCTGCGGGTTGGAGTATGGCGAAAGATGAGATGAAACGCGCAGCGGCACATAGTACGGATTCGAAAAATTGCTACCAGCATTCTTTGTCAAGTCCAACGTGAAGGAGCCATGCCAGTCATGCTGATAAAGCGTCTCAGAGACATTGCTAGAGAGAAGTGGAGGGCCATACGTCAGTGCCCAGGACCATGAGGTTGATTTTTGCACTGCGCTCTTCCCGTCGGCCAACGTTGTGCAATTGTCACAGCGAATGTTTGCCGTCATGATACCGTCGTGTATACCGGAACCTTCCTCGAGATATGCCTGAATACTTGGATCGTACTGAGGCTGGATGTGACCGGTTGCTCTCCTCGGAGATAGCGTAACATTATTGTCTGGTGCAGAGTAAATGATGAAAAGGTTTCCGTCTGTCATTTGCGATCCTTGGCCCAGTGCAAACCATTTGACACCAGGTGGGGCTCTAAGCTGAAGGTATATGGGGCCTGACCCTGTGCTTGATGTGTTTTGAGGTACGTCAATGCTGTAAGACACATCTTCATAGTCGTAAGACCTCTGACTGTGACTGATAACGCTGCTGGAACATGAACGTGCTAAAAAAGCTCAACGTTAGCGGGCAGATGGGGATTTCGCATTGTGATCAGGCTTACCAAGCCCCAATGTACTTGCAACAGTAATAAGAAAAGAAGATGGTTTCATAATGATGGTGATGATGACGGACTTGAGCCGTCTATCCGATATAGAAGGGCAAGAGAGACGCAGATTTGGATGGGTCCGGACGTAAGTGTGACCGAAAGGATTGTACGCAGCACAGTTCCAGGTCCTTGAATACTTTAGACCGGGATCTAAATAAATGTTAAGAAGGCTGTTGAGGCTAAAGAGTGTCGCTGCGGCAGATCACGAGTAGTCGATGTCGGTCCCTTCCGATGGTGGGAGTTCCTTGCGTATTAGGGTTGAGATCTTTGCTGCTAGAATCTTGAAGTTTGATATCATATGAGGTAAAAAGCATCACTGCGTGAGAACCTTCCGTCAGCAAAGACCGACATTCGAGTAGAAATTTCCTCTTCTGCTGCATGACTTGATGCGAGAGAAACGAATATTCTTCGTGGTGATCTCGCCTTAAGCATTGCGGGGTGAAGCCAAGGCAGTGATGTCGGAGACAGAAGAACCCGGAATTGAAATGTTGAACAGTAGGGACAAAAGGGAAAGTAATCATACTTGGAATGCCGGGATAATAGAATCACATATAGTTAACATAAGCCACATAATGTTGCCACAGGTGCCATGCGACAGATCTGTCTGCATGACAATCTCAACGAGTTGAAGGGTGACGATCACACTTCCATGCGGGCAAACACCATTCCAGATGTCCAGACTAAGATCCGGCAGGGAAAGAATGACTTCAATGCAATTGAAAGAGCGACAATCCGGACTACTCAGTACTCACTACTCAGATCGAGCAACGGATCATAGGAAGCAAAACCAGGCCCACGAAAGGAGAGAAGATCGTCAATCCGAATGGGAGATTGTCAGATAGATATGCCCGGCAAGCGGGTACCTTTATTATTTTTTTCCAGATTGACAATCATGGCGAAAATCCTCGGGCTTTTTCAGAATTAAGTTCCCCGGGCTGCCACGCCTCTCTGGATGTCCTGTCTGGTACGTATTCCTACGTAGTGTGGGCATTTTTTTTAGGGCGTGGAATGGCCACTTGGTCTGTGCTTTTCATGGTTTGTCTGGACACAGGATGAGAGAGGTCACTGCAATGCCTGGAATCATACTAGCAGGTTTTGGCGAATCCAAGGTAGCTTCGAATCGTACTCAGCACTTTGTAAATTAGACTCCTCCTTCTTACGAAGTAGGAAGCCTTAGCCCGGGGAGCAGGTCATAAGCCGGAGAAACTGGACAAACTGGATCTTGGGGCTGGGCATGATTTTTGATCTTTGTTACTGTATCATTTTGATTATCAATACTATGATTCGATCCCTTCAGCATCCATCCATGATGTTCAAGTGTCGGGATGGGGCATACCAGTTACCTGCAGTGCTAACCAAGTACCATTGAGTCGGAGAACGGCAGGTGATCAATCAGACCACAAATTTGTCGGCGGGCCTCAAATGATGGACTTTTTAATTTCCATTTCATAACTAATACGGAGTACCTTACCTAACTCTCTCTGTATCTCCCTTTTCCTCCGGGACTGTCTTTCGCACCTCCTTACCATAATTCGGAGTACTTCTAGAGTAGTCCTGCCTCCGTTTCAAGACACCACCACGTTCATTGGCATCTGTCAGTCAGCAGTAGCTGTCAAATTCGTTCTAGACTTCTCCCAAAAGATATTGGCAGCTTCCTTGTGGCCTGACCAACCCTGTTGCATGTTGCATCGATGGAAGCAGCAGCAAACGGTTACGTCCCGTACCAATGTGGAGACTCTGAAGAATTGTTTTCAATTCACTAAGGTATCCTTACCCTCCTTCGGGGCCGCCCTCATCCTCCCACTCTTACCCCCCCCTCCCCCCACCCTCTCTTCTTCCTCTACCAAGTCTCCAGATTTTATTCTCCTCCCCGAGATCAACACCTTTTCCCTTTCCGCCACTTCGCAAACTGAGTTCTTACCTATGCACTAGTTCAGAAGCTGAGAGCCTGAGAAGCCGTCCGACCTACTCCGCTTAATGTTCCTGGCGCCAATCATGGACCCCTGTTCGCTCTGAAAGCCCCCCGGGTGGCCACCTGCTCGTTCACCTCCGTGAGTTGCCGTCACTGCCAATCAGCATCGGACTCCCATAGCTAAGACCAAGTTATCGGATCTCGGGAGCAAGTCGTATTTGGACCGATCCAGGGCGGTTCTTCTCGCTCGTCGTGCAGCAAATCGCAGTAAATGGTGGGCCACCGGAAGCTCGGAACCAATGATGGAAAGGGAGGAACCTATCCGTTCACCCAGCCAGGTCCGTACTGGGCTTCCACGGTTACGGTCGAAGGGCTTGGTTTGTAAAGTCCCAAGACGGTGATTTTGCCGTTCCTGACATAGGGAGACGATACTTCAAACCACGCAACCTTGGGTGGGAGATTTACCGTGTAGGTTTCTTACCCCTTCTCCTAAAAAGGGGGTTCGTTCGTGGCCGAGTAAGAGAAACTTTATTTATGCACCGCCAATGCTATGTATGCTACCCTTGCATAGGTACTGTATGGGCTATGGAGTACTCCGTACTTCTCTTCTTTGCGCATGTGTTCTATCCACTCTCATTTTATCCTTGGAGTTGGCCGCTCATGACTGAGACAGGCTGAAAAGCATGCCTATGCACGCCGTCTCTCGTTCAAACACCCCGGAGTAACTAAGGGCTCCATTAGACTACAGCATGATGTACACAGGTGGAAATCCGATTATGCGTCGCTCTTGTTTCAGAAAAGAGCAAAGACCACTTAGGCGGACCTTAGTTACGGAGTCCGTAGTGCAGCCCCTTTGTTTTGGACTCCTCGGCCCGTCATCACTTTGATTAATTGGTTTCGCTTGGAAGCGTCAATCCAAGAATGGGCAACAGAGGTGGCCTTCATCCGTCATGGCATCATCAATTCCGCGTCCGAGTCAGTTGTTATTCTTAGCTAGCGCAACAGTTCAAGCGCTGCAGCCCCCATCTGAAAAGCCACCCACCCACTAACAAAAACCTACGACATCATGCTTGTGACTAAAAATACAGGCATTGACATTGCAGTTTTGCCGGAAGCTGTGATTCTCAAAATCCTCCCCCGCCAGTATGCCGTCAACTTGACTGGTCTTTCCTGGCCACTTGGCTGGGCATTGCAACCCGCTTCCGCCTTCAGCCAGCTTCGACTGCGAAAGACTTCAATGAGTCCTGTTGTTGACCAGTCACACCGGCCATCCAACACGGCTGAGCCAGTGAATCCTCTTCCGTTGACTCTCAATCCCCCTTGCGCTTAATCGTAACTTCGTACCACGCTTCATGATAACCCACGGTCCCCCATATCAGTCTCAAAATGCCACCATCATACGGAGTAAGCAAGTACTCCACATTTCCGGTGGCGTAGGGGACGCGGAGGGGGCTGCGGCAGGCAGGCAGATACCTTATCCTACGCTTGGATCTTTTGTGGAATGTCAAATATTCGATATCGGAATTCATTCGGTCCCATCGGCCACCGTGGGCGTGGAGAAGGTCCCGGGGGGGCGTTCATACAGTACTAGTCTCTCAATCAATCAATCCGGGCATCTGCCACTGGGATCGTCGCGAGATCGATTGGTCGGCTTGAGGGAGTGGACTAAGTACAAGTGTGTACCTACTCGCATGGAGTAGTGCTGATGCAGGGATGCGAGCCACTTGATAAGCAGCTAGGATTTCTAAGTAGCATTGAGGAAATGAACATGTGGAAGACGATACCTTTCAAGGGCAATGCAGGGACACCTCCCTGTCAGATGTGGCCTGACTGACACCCCGGTCGTCAATATATAGTTAGTGCATTCTTCCTAATATCTAGTATCTACTGCTAGTGGTACTTAACAAAGAGGGCACTAAATTCGTGGACGGGCCTTTCTCACATAGTCTATTAGAACCACGGCCTGAACTCCTTGGCTGCTCCGAACTACCAACAAACGAGACGTAATCAACCAAGTTGAAGGGCCAACGGCCGAATGAGAATATAGGACCGAAGGATAAGACAATCGTCAATGCTTTACCGTAAGATCAAAAGCATGTCGGAGAATTCATCCCTCGGGTTCCAAAGCCGGTGGTACTTGGCACTACGACAACCTACCGCCATGTGAAAAACGCAAATCATCTCCCCTACTCCTTGAGTAACCAACCTACCTGAGATTAGTTGATTGATCTAATCGAGGTACGGTACGACCCGCGGCGAGAGCCTTCCAGGGCACTCCTAAACTCCTCCCTAAAGCAGTGACTTGAACTGCTAGTCTTGGAAGTCTTAAGGTCTACTTGCGTAAACACGGAGCGGTTCGAGCTGCCCGCCGTAAGAAAGGGACTACTAGCTTCGCTAGGCCTGCGCAGAAGGCTCAAGGCAGTAAGATTCAACTCAGCTTTCCCTAAAAATTGCCGATGGCGGCTGAACAGTGGACATCCCGTTCGCTTTCCACCTCCCCACTCATCCACGCCATGAAACACCGAAGCGTCCACCTCTGCGACTTGCCTGAAAGGGACAGAGCTAGGTCGATCAAATAGATTGCAGCACCATAAACATTGACTTCCGTGCGCAAACGAACCCCTGGACCTGCTCCAGAGTAAAACTGTTAGTTAGTGAATGGATCGTTGATGAGGTGATCTAATCTTCGAAAAGAGCCTTGACTCCCCACTTCGATCAACTTGAAGATATCCACACGCACAGGAACCAAATCACTTTGGCCTCCAGCTCGCAAACAAAACATCATATTCACGAATATATACGAACTGAAAGTCTTGGTGCCGAGACTTACTGCGAAGTCCTTGGCCTGCATCGTCTCAGTGGATTATGAGAGATGCCCTCTTCATTTCGGTCTTCATGGCCCCGTACGGAACTGAAGTACTTTAACAAGAGGTTCTGTCTTTAGGCTAGGCTACTAGCAGGGTATGTACCTGACTACTCCGTACTTGAGGAACATCATTTACGCCTCCCTTGGCACCCGGCGCGCGCGGGTATCTGCAATCGCACTTCCCAACACCCGCCAACTACCTGTGGCGGTTTTTTTCCCTTTTTCTGTGTTCTCCTTTGGACATTTGTGGAATGAGGCTGAGAGTTGTCATGGTTTCTCACTTCAGTTATATCAATTTCCCGGAGGAAAGTGGGTTTCTATAATTAGGAATTCCCGGAGGCGGTCTTTTCCAGGATGGTCTTCATCATTTCGTTGCCCAGCTTGACGGCTTCGGGGAACCGCGGGGCGAAGTACTGCTGGATACGTTCGAAGCGGTCGCGGTAGGACTCGAAATCGCCGAACGAAACACAATCGGACCACGCCTGTTCAGATGATCACATGCGGTCAGCACCACTTCTAGAACAAACACTCGACAGGGGCCGGCCACGACAAACGCGCATCTACGGATGCGAGGCAGAGACAAGGGTTGACCCGGATGCAAGGCTTGCATACACCTGAATGCTTGTCCCGCTAGGATGCGGTGATTCCGGGGGAAATGCATAGGTGCAAGAAGAGGGAAGAAAAAAAAGAAGTCCGAAGTACTTACCCGTGCGGCAAAAGTGAATTCTAGATCATCGGAACGGAATGTCTTGTCATCGATGGCGGTGTCAATAGCCTCCTCAAGGAGCTCGGGGTTGCGGAACAGATACTCTGTGACTCCCAGCCAAAGACGGAAAAGCTATACATGAATCGAACACACGAAAATGTAAGTGAGACTGTCCGGGCCAACATGAAGATCTTCCGCGTGCGCACACAAGTAAGAAGTATGAGGACGGGGTCTCTTACAGGAGTGGAGCAAATCATATGGTCGTACGGGACGATCCCGAGTTTGGACCAGCAGTCCACGATAGCAAGCAGACTGAGGTGACTGTTGGGTGGCGTCTTCTCGCGAGGTCCATTCGACAAAGAGAAGCGGTCGAGAACCTCGTCCCTCAACAGCAACTCTTGACTCGCGGTCCCTGCCTTGAATACGGCCTCTCCTGCAGCCTTCACGCGGCGTTTGAGCTCTTCCCGCCGGCCCTCAATCATGAGCTTGTATAGATCGGTTACCGATTCGGCATACTGGCGGATCTGCTTCTTCGCCGCAGGATTGAGAATGGCCAGGCCAGCGTACACGTGCCATTTGTTGGAGTAGATGCGCAGTGTAATGTTGATTTTGACGTTCTCGATGCCTCCGACCCAGCGCGAAATCTCCCAAGGGAATTGTTTGTTTGCTTGCCAAGCAGTACCCATGCTCAAAAAAGCTGCGTGTGTAACCGCCTGCGTGTCGGCGGTGATCCGATCATGCATCTCTCCCGTTAGATAAACAAACTCGGAGTTGAAGCAAGACAAGACCTCCTCCACAAATTTGAGACTCTCGTCGGAGGCCCGGTGTTGGATCAGGACCTATGAAGCACGGGATGTTACTGGGATGTGTTCAAGAGCGCGGATGGCTCTCGCCATGGGCAGCATAAGGTATCAATCAATCAATCATACCAGTGGTTGGCCCTTGGGATTGACGTTGGGGCCATGGAGCGAATGACAGGATACAATCTCTACATCCCGGGGGAGATGTTTGTCGAATGCGGAGAGCTCCGGCGCCTTGCAGGACGTTTGACCTCCCACTATTGCGCCAACCTTGGTTGCTTTCCACGAGTCAGACAACGTTTGCAGAGTTGTAGGAGAGGGAGCAATGCTGGGCGCCGCGATTCGACAGACATACATGGGCCATATTGAGCGACTACCTTGTCAATGACACCAGCTTCTACACTGTAAATGATGTAATCGCTAATTCTCGAAACCAGGTGTCCATTCGGGTATAGTGTAACACCTTGCTTTTCTCAAGATGAGTTTATGGACAGCACTGGCTGCGAGTAAACAAATACGTACTTGAGATGCAAATTCTGTCTTCAAGTCCTCATACAAATCGGGTTTGTCACATGCATTAATCCTTTATTGTAAAGACATCTAGTCAGTATGACTAGGACTGGTTTGCTATCGAAGAAACAAGAATACTAATCTAATAACCTGGAAGCAAGACAGTCAGCATAAAACTCAACAGCAAGGAACTGAGAATAGTAGGAAGCATGATTGCGTTGCGAGTTCAGACAAAAAAATTTAGGTAGCTGAGATTTTACATCATTGACGACCCGGTGCGTAGCGAATATATCAGAATGACATAAAAGCCGGACACCGAGTCATGCTCGAGCCAAATGCACTCAAGTCATCATTCGAGAGGGCGGAGGGTTTGAAATCAGAACGAGAAGAAAGAGATGCTCACCTAGTACGATAAACGCTGGAGGGTATCTCATTGACGCAAACCAAAGAAAATCTTCGCGTAAATTTACCTCCAGCCGGCGGCACTGAGCAATCGGGCATACATCTTGCCCATATCACCCATACCGATGATGCCAATACTGGCAGTCTCTTTGGTAAAACCCATGACGGCGAGATCGGCTGCGCCTGAAGTGCTGGAATAAGATAAAAGAGTATCAAGAGGTGGATCTGTAAATCCGTTCACTTGTGAGATTCACTGTAAGAAGTGACACAAGGCCACGGAGCCACGTCTCTTGTCTGATTTAAATATCATCGAGAGGAGAAAATGCAAGGCTCACGGATTCCACGGAGGAAATTTAAATAGTGCTGATCTCCATGGACTTCGGGCCGACTGCTACCCGATTACACCTCCGCAACACCACCGCCAATCAACGGCTGTCAAAAACGCGCCGTTCTTTGGTCGCCTCAGGCAGCCGCTCGCTTGGACACGGCCAGGGAGTCCGTGTTTAACCAATCACAGCTTTTGAGGTGGGTAGGGCACACACCGGCCGGAATTTTCTCTATCTCAACCTTTCACATAGCGGGCGCATTCGACTTTTGGATTCTTTCTCTCCTCTCCCATATTCCATTCCACAACCGACAAAAATGGCTCCCAAGAAGACCACCCCTGCCGCTAAGGAGAATGTCACTCTCGGCCCTCTGGCCGGTGATGGTACGAATTGATTCAGCAATCCATTATTTTTCTGTGACACGGATGAATGCTAATATGGGTCGCTTCTGTAGGCAAGCTCGTCTTCGGCGTTGCCCGCATCTTCGCCTCTTTCAACGATACCTTCGTTCACGTCACCGATCTTTCGTGAGTCTCACCTCTTTGCTCGATGGTTTTCGGACTCGTTGCGCCTCCTCGACCTCATTTATTGCGCTTGCGATAGGTTGGGGCTACAAAGGAGTTTGAGACGGCGTGTCGAAAGAACGACCGGGACATGCCCGGAGAAATTTGCTATCACGGGGTCGGAATAAACAACAAGGACTAACAATCATCTTTCTACAGCGGCCGTGAAACCATCTGCCGTGTTACCGGTGGTATGAAGGTCAAGGCTGACCGTGACGAGTCCTCCCCCTACGCCGCCATGTTGGCCGCCCAGGACGTCGCTGCCCGCTGCAAGGAGCTCGGCATCAACGCCCTCCACATCAAGATCCGTGCCACTGGTGGTAACGGCACCAAGACCCCCGGTCCCGGTGCCCAGTCCGCCCTCCGCGCCCTTGCCCGTTCCGGCATGCGCATCGGCCGTATCGAGGACGTCACCCCCACTCCCTCCGACTCTACTCGTCGCAAGGGTGGTCGCCGTGGTCGTCGTCTGTAAGCATGTGCGAGAGACTGCTTTCTTCAAGTCGTGCGGAGGTTTCTGCACGCGCTTGGGGGAATGGCTCCGTGCTTGCCGGCTGTGGATGGAATAAACGCGAAGAACGGCTCTGTGCGCCTGGTCTTCAGATTATTACATACCCAAAAGTGTGTTTAGCAGTTCTGGAATCTGCCTTAGCTAGTTTGGTAATACTATCAACGGCTACATTTTTGATCAATATGAGTGGAACTTGAACTGCACCTGTTTCTTCTTTTTCAGAATGCTTGTCTGGTTTCCGTAGGCGGGATTAAACGTAGTTCATCACTCATCCTTGATCTGATCATCGTGATTCGAGCTTTGCCCAATCCTCTGTGGTTGAGTCCTTTAGGAAGGAGTAAGTTGTTTTTGAAGAAAAAAGAGTGTACCTTCATAGACGGTTTGACAGCCGCTAAGATAAGCACCAGTTATCAATGATGTATCGCGAACCTTCCACTCGATCAGCCAATAACTCAACCCTGGCCCCTCGTCACATTCTGCGACTATTCATCTTGAGAAAAAGCCTGCATCTGCGGACTACTTGGTATGGATTGAGAAAACACAAAGGGAAAATCAAATCGTGCATCAGCATCATCCATTCCTTCCTGTTCCACCCACCTATAGCTCGTAATTGACGTCAATTCTACCGTGTGCGCGCGGCGCGACCCCTCTCTCCAAGAGAACGGAGAAAAAAAAAATCATCAGCCTATACGACCCGCTCTACAAGTCACGAACCTCTCTTGCGACCCTACGCGAGAAACCCTGGGATGAATCCAGCCGACTGAATAGACCAATTTCTACACCTCACGACCAGCGCCAACAGAATAAACAAGCAACCGCAAAAGAACTACGTCAACAGCCATGACTACCCCAACCCCCACCATCCTCCTCCCCCACCTACCCCCCAAGACCCTGGTCGGCATCGACCTAATCACCTTCACTTCGACAGCCAACTTCCACGGTATCCGCGACCTCCCCCGAGGATGGCACTTTCTCTACACCGGCACGACAGAGAGCCTCTCCCTCCGCTGCGGCAGCTGGTTCTACGTTGGTGACCTCGACGCCGCCGCCGCTGCGGGCACACTTACACACCCCACTACAACTATGGATAACAACGCACTCGTCTCGCAGCGCCAAAAACAATCGCAACATTCCGGCCAGGACAATGTCATCGTCTGGAAGTGGGACGCGAAGAGCGAGACCCTCGCGCCATTGAGCGCCGACAGCGATGCGGATAAGCAGGAGGCCATGCGGCAGAAGGCGAATCTTGGGGCGATCTATCATCGGGGCGGGCTGTTCCGGTATCGGAGTCGGGTGACGGAGGCGATGTTGGCGATGCAGCAGCAGCAGCGGGGGGCAGGGTCTGCGGTACGGTTATTGGGAGATAATGGGGACGGAGCAGAAGATGAGGAGGAGGATGAGCAGGATGGAAGGAGGGATTGGCTGGGTTTGACGGATAGAATCACGCCCAGCGTGCTGGATAGGATTGTGGGGGTGCCTGTTGTTGATGTGGATGGGAGGCCGAGGTGGATGGTTACCTCGGCGAGTACGGCTTTGAGAGATAGTGATGCTATTCCTGGATTGACGGTGAAGGAAGGGGTCGAGCAGGAGGTGGATGAGGAGGCGATTGAGAGGGTGACGGGGGAGAAGGAACCGGAGTTCTCGTTCGTTCCTGTGGACTTGAAAAGGACGTGGAGGGAGGGCGCGATTGGGAGGGAGAGGACGGAGGCGGCTCAAGATCGCTCGTGGGCGTTAGGGGATCTGATCAAGAGGGTCGCGGGGTCCAGCGATATTGAGACCGATCAGGGGAGGGAGAGAATCGGGGAAGGCCAGCTGTTGGGGGAGCTGCAGTTTTCTTTCTTGATGATCTTGACTCTCATGAACTACTCGTGTCTGCAGCAATGGAAGCGACTGCTGGAGCTGATTCTCACCTGTCGGAGCGCGATCCGCGACCGGGAGACGTTCATGAGTGATCTGCTGCGATTGCTCCTGCTGCAGCTGCGGCGCTGTGATGATGTGGAAGGTGGTTTGTTCGATCTCGATGGAGACGAAGGCGGTGCGTTCTTGCGAAAACTGCTGATGAAGTTCCGGAAGTCGCTCTACGAGGTTGTCGAGGGCACAGAATCACAGGTAAAGACCGAATTTGAGAAGCTCGAGGCTTTTGTCAAGGAAGAATTTGACTGGGAGCTTAATCGCGATGTGATCCTTCGACGAGGTATGGTACAGTTGGAGGATGGTGAGCAGGTGGAGCTGGAGGTAGAGGGTGACAATGAAGATGAGGAGCTTGGAGAATATGCACCTATGGTGGTAGATCTTGGGGAGGGTACTGGCAGAGATGATAGTGATTCACTTGAAGACTTGAACTGATAGTTGCGAGTGGGTGACTTGGAATGTTGCCAATGGTTTGTACTATTTGAAGCGCGTTATATGGTCTGTAGCACGAGATCAAGACAAATAGCCCAACCAAAGAACCGTGACCTCTCTATTCATAATGGGCTAACCATGCCGTACATGATTCGTATAGAACCTCAAAATAGTCGTATCATTAACCATTGATCATTCCTTTCTAGGATCTAGCTCTATTTTTTGAAAACAGATGACAGCATTATATACAAGGCATGCAGCCCAACCCCGCCTGCACAGAGAGCCCACGTGGCAATCCGTTTCTGCAAGTTGTCCAACATTCCGGGATTATGCCAACTTCCCATCTTTCTAGTTTTCAATTTCATTCTCGATGACAAAGCCCCACTTGTGAGATTCTTGGCCATCCTTGCCATACATAATACTCTCCAGCCACGACTTGATCTGGGCAGCATAACCGGCGCGCTCAGCACCAGCAGTCAGTAAATCCATGTCGACGTCGCCGTTGCGAATCAGCTTCACAGGGGTGATGAAGAACTACAGTCCCATGTCAGTGACCAAAAGGACAGTAGTCAAGTGCGCGCGAGACTTACCGCAGTACCGGAGACGAAGGACTCAACAATGCGGCCCTCTTTCCAGGCCTCCTCGATATCGCTGATGGTGAATTCCTTCTCCACGACCTCAACGGGAGCAAGCTTGCCGCAGGGCTGAGCGAAGTGTGTCCGAGCCAGCTCCAGAACACTACGACGAGTGACGCCAGGCAGAATCAGCTGGTTGTCCAGAGGAGCGGTAATCAACTCCAGCTTTCCAGTCTCCTTGTTGTCCCAGACGATGAAGAAGTTACTGGCGCCGGCCTCGGTGACCTGGCGGTCCTCTCCGAAGAGCCACAGAACCTGGTCAAATCCGAGAGCCTGCGCCTTGCCGTGCGCAGCCAGGGACGGTCCGTAGTTGGCGCCCAGTTTGGCGTATCCGAAACCACCGGGCCAAGCACGGATGGTGTCGGGCTGAGAGGCGAGAAGCTTCAGCCCATGCGGCACACCCTCCTCCTGCTTCTTCTTCGAAGGGTCCGGCCAGGGGACCGCGATGATGAACAAGAGGGCCTCCTTGGGAGTTTGTACGCCCAGCTGGGTACCATTACCGATGACTGTGGGACGGAGGTAGAGGAAGCGACCAGGTTGATCCTTGGGGAGCCAGCCTGCAGAGAGGGAAAGAGCTTGTCAGCTGTGATGTCATGGAGAGATTGTCGACGAGGAATAGGGATGAGGGTTATATACGTGGTCCATCAATCTGCATCAACTTTGCGATAAGGTGCTTCAATTCTCCGAATCTGAAACCGGGCAGAGAGGCCCTCTTGGAGCTCATGTCCAAGCGCTCCCCGTTGAGGTCTGGTCGGAACAAACGCAACTTGCCATCCTGACCGCGGTATACCTTCATGCCCTCGAAACACTCGGTGGCGTAGTGCAGGCAGGAAGCCGTGGGAGGGATGCTCAGATTGGCGAATGGCTTCACTTCAGGCGTATCCCAGCCATTGCTTGCGGTCCAGCGGACAGTAACCATATGGTCAGTGCAGTGCGAATGGCTCAACTCCTCGGGCGATCCGGGGAGAGGCACATCGCGAAGGTTGGTCGAACGAGTGACCTTGATGAACGAGGCATCGAGCTCGGCGAGAGTCGGCGCTGCAGAACCCATGATCGCGGTGCCTTTTGTGGGGTGACAGTTGATTCCGAAAGAGTTGAGGAGGTGACGGGTGTAGGGGGACTTTGAAGCCAATTGATATTCCGTGAAAGGTGGTGAGTCACCAAAGAGATACCTTTCCAAGTGAACCGGCGGGAAGGGGTTTCGCGGAACGTGACTCGACAGCTACAAGTCGGCCAAGATTGAGCCAAGTTTCCAAAGTCGATCACTAGGATGGAAAGGACAGAGTGACAAAGATATATTCTCTCTACAAGTGTCCAAGAAATCTACTTTATGAACTCTGCGCACGATCAGAACCGGAGGCAAAGAAAACTTTTCGACGGGCCGAGTCCATCTTGGGTCTGGGACAATTGCCATCGATATCCGAGCTCGCAATCGAAGTTGGTCCTTCCATAGTGGCAGATACTATTCAGTCGGCACCCCCAAGCAGCAGTAGTTCGTGCCGGCGATAGGTTATTATCGGCTCAGGTCTCCGCAACTTGTGCCATTGCTTCTCTATAACGGCTTTCTAGTCTTCCAGGTGCTTCTTGAGATGGGTCTAGAGAATTATTGTCCCGCTTCAGTTTGTGCCCGCTCCGCCATCGGTGCCCCTCAACCACTGCCCAGACCGAAGCTAACCGAAAGGCGGTGCGGAGTAAGGGTAACTAGATGAGGGTTGCTTGTTATTTCGGTCGCGCGAGTCTCACGTGACTATACTGTAATCAATTAATCACAGGCCGGATAAGCTTGTCATACAGTGTATTTATCTGACAAGTCGAGCAAGCTTTATAATACTATTACATTAGAGTCTGTTGGGTCTTATCAGGGGCTAAAAGTATGTTACTGTACCCTGTATACTAGGATGCCATCTTGTGTTTCAAATATGTACTGTAATAAGCAGTCACATTTTCTTTCAGTGATAGTCACGTGAGATGATTATGGACCGCGCGACCCAACTCGCACTTGACCAAAATTGCTTAAATTACAGGCCGGATCAGCTTAACATACAATGTATTGGAGCTTACAAGTCGACCCAGCTTTATAGTCTTATATGTTAAAGTACTCGTCGATCACGCAGTACCTCGAATTGCTTTGAGATCCCAGGTACCATTCTGTATACAATTCTTACATCAGTGTAATCCTGTGTAAGTTAGTCCGGTTGCATACTGTAATTAACTTAGCTTATGCTTTACCTCATAAGTATCTTTCAAGATCACGTGATGAAACCACGAGTCGTGCAGCCCTTTCTATAGATCACGTGATAATAAATCACGGGCAGGTTGGCCTTAGCTAAGCAACCCTGCAAGTAGCCGCGACTCCCGTACCACTCACCGTACCACTCACCGCCCGGAATAGTTCTGGCGAAAAGCGGGCTCATGGCGGTGTAGACGCGACGCATCGTTCCCATCCTGGGCTGGTAATCAACTTACTCCAGGCTTGCTCCGGAGTATAGAAGGGAGATTGTGGTGACTGACCCTTGCTCATGGCTCCTTGCTACGAGAAAACTACGAGAGATAACCTCACAGGCTCACCGACACTCCACAGACACTAAATAGGCAGGTACAGCAGGTACTCCGCATTCTTCGATCGATCGCAATCATGCCTCGCCATTGGAAAAGAGAAAAGAAGGAGAGAGGAAATGACATAGCAAAGCAAACAAACGGGACGACACTGCAATCTCCGGGGTATCCACCTCCCATCAATAATCGGAAAAGTCGATCCGTAGAGGAGACGGTTTTGAATCATGATCACTGCAACGTGGGGCCTGGAACGAGTCAGAGCGACTGACCTTTGACTAGATTAGTTGACTTCGAATCACTAGTTAAAGCACATGTGCTGACTGACACCACACTACACCGCGTGCTAAGTTATCCTTATGTATATAGACACATGGATGTTGGACTGCGGGACTTTGTTCACTTTGAGAAAAGCACCCAAATGTTGGTATACCGTACACTTTCTTGCAGTCGATCAATCAGACTTTATGGTTATTTCCAGTAGAGCCACTGGTGCAATGCTCAGTCACGGTGCGACCGCAAAAGGAATGTGATGCAATGCATGGGACTACTCCCATTCAGCGCCCGTCGGCTATGACCCGTATACTGCCCTAGCCCATGCGGTAGCTTTTCTTGGCCGATTGATAGTTCCTTTGCGAGACTGGCTCTTCGCTTGCAGACGTCAAGACGGGCATTCGCTTGCCCTTAGACTTATTGTCTCGAAGGGTGGAAAGGCCCTGGCAGCTGGTGTCCCTCGAAGCAAGGCCGTGTCGGAGATACATTCCTGCACAGCATTGAGAGAAAACACGGTTCCAGAACTCGGAAAAACTGTATTCCAAAACCAGAAAAAGCCTGTTGCGCGTGACTAGCACATAAAATAGGATTTGCCGCTTCAATTTAGCCCACCTATCATTGAGATCTGGTAATCATGGATTGTCGTAAAGATGATGTGGATGCTTTTTGGCCTGTGAAAAACCATCACGTGATATCGAGCAGCTATGCATATCGTAGGTCGGAAGTAAGTTCTGTGGCCCAATAGGGCGAAAGAAGATGCACCTCACAGCGTAATAAGAAGTTGGGTTGCCGAATCCCGGGAGCCAGGTATTGAAGACCGCCTACTCAGTATGAATGACCAGCCCTGGAAAACTGGGACCTTTTACTACATTGAGCAGGCGGACAGCCTTGTCGGATCAAGGCCGATCAGACCACTCCTAAAAGAGTCATAATTGTCCGGCCTTAAAATGGATGGATGGGTCTTGGTCCAATTCTGGACACTCAGTAGTCTCGAATGTAGTCGTCTCTAAGTACCTAGCTCCGTGGTAGCCTTACCGATCGGTCACCTTGCCTGGAGAGATTCAAAAAGTTCTTGACTTGCTTCAGAGGCCTACACGTTCCCTTTCGCCTCATACCACATGAATTCATGAAATCACGACTGAATCGTTGTCCGGGCTCACCTTTACCTTTACGAAGTGTGCGTACCCATCAATGCCTCAGTTGCCTGCCTTCCTCACAGGCGAATGTACCTATGATCGTCATGCCCCCAAGACAATCGTGCCTACCGTATCAGGTGATTGGATTGCAGGCAAGTCTTTGTTTTTATTTTCCGGGAGGGACGGCCGTGGGTTCATCCACACCGGCCCCAAGTTCCATCGATCCATATCGGACAGATCTGGCAAACAAATCCGATTGAGTGTGTTTGCCATAGTTGGGTAGCACAAGAGTGAACTACCAGCGAACCATCTTGGACGTAGGAGTGGGTTAGTACAGGACTCCGAACATTAACCGGTAGACCAGCTGAACCGGATTTCGCCCCATGTCGTGCTGGTCGATGCAAGCATTTTCCAAAGCTTTATAAATAGTTTGCTTGTGTTAGGTATAGTATACCCTGGGCAGCCCGCACACCATTGAGACAATTCGCCACAGTGCGCATAACCTTCCAGGTTGTCGCCGCGTAGAGTCGCAGTGTCACGGTATCTTGCTACGCCACGTCAGGCAAGGGAGCTAGACAAAGACCCTTCAACCCCTTTTCCTTATCACAATCTATTGATCACAGGCCTGGACTCTGCATCATCCAACTTGGGGGAGGGGTTAGTATATCTGATGAGATTAAAACTGGCAAGCCTGACACCCAGGCCGCCACTAGTGGAGTCGGGAAATTGTACCACCTGCGAAATCGAGTGTTGAGGCCGTAGGCGCAATTGGCGTGGATTTGCTCCATCTCCGGGTTCCCCTGCTTTTATTATCCACGGATCCATTCTCCAATGCCTCCTTACCTGTCCTTTCATTCGCACGACCTGTAAGCTAGCAACTTCGGGTCGTCGTCGAGTAGACTTTTGATCCTTGCACTGACCAGTTACTGTTACTAGTGTATGTTGTTTCCCCCCTTAGGTTGAGGTGCAGCCAGCCCATCTGCAGCATGAATGGATGATACTTGCTTGGGCAAGCAATGGCAAGCAATGGAACTCGGTTTTTCGCTGGACAACGGCCCGCAAACGATCGACTTGATGGCTTACGGGGACCCTTCGGCGCTGGTTCCCACTGACCACACCGACGAGAACCATCTATCAGTGTGTCAGTATGTCCTTATGTCCAACCCAGGTTGACCTCTGATAGGAAGAAGCAGCTTTGATTAGTAAGTGGTAGTAGTTCAAGGGACACGAACGCAGGTTCAAGGAAAGGACTGGAGTCGAGTAAGTGACGCGCCTGTCTGCGTTGTGAAAAGACTTGTCTCGATACGTAGCCGATGTGGGAACCTGTCACGGATCAAACTGCCACCGGGATTGGAAGCTAATGCTCAGCTCCAAGCTCAACTTTCAGCAACTCCCACCTGTGAGATTGAACCATAGGTAGCTTCAGGCCGTCAGAGAGAAGCTTGATGTCGTCCGCTTGGGCTGTCTTTCGTTGCTAGCTTCTGGCTCTGCCATTTTCTCTTTCCCTTCCTCCCTCGCTTGTCAGTCGTCTCTCTGTCTGGCTCCCAATCTTGCGCTCTTGCAGTGAACAGCCCACTCCCTGTAATTACTTCTTGCCGAACATCGCTACATTGCTGCTCAGACGAGCTTCGTGCGGCTTCTTCCCTTCCTTTCCTTTATACGCTTCCATACTTCGCTAGGTGGCCTAGCTTATTTGGTCAAGGGTATTTAGTTGAACCAATCACGTGTAGGCTTTGATCTTAGTCTGTCGAGCCATTCCTGCCAGTGTTGGGTGCATATCTCCAGGTTCTTCCCCTTCGATCGCGTCGGGTGCTGTTCACATATGGTTCGCTCCAAATCCAGATATCATCCGTGAGAACCTCCCATCTGTGGTATCGACAAAAACATGGCTTTTGATGACATGCCGCAAGCGGGGCGTCTGTCGGATGACAATTAGGTGATCGCGGCCGGAGCTTATTAGCAGATATACACAGAGACCTGGACCCGCCACATCTGCTAGATCAGGTAAACAGTCACATCTGTGGCGTTCCTTCTCAAGAAACACTTCAAAGGGGGTGTGTTTCGACAGCGTATCCCATGTGCCTAGCTCATTGGTGCTAAACAAGCTGTTCGTGATCGACCGGGGCACCGGCTCTGGGGATGAAATAGACAACCTGAATATATTTGGCCCCTTTCTTCTTCTTCATCGCTGAAAACGGGCACACTGGTTCAAATGAACCACAAGCATACCGGCAGCGTTCTGCCTACTCTCGCTCCAGGACCTGGCGGTCCGGTTGCAGCCCAGACTCCAACACTAGCAAAGTCGCGAAAAAATTCCACAGCATGCTTGCCTTGTAAAGCAGCGAAGAGGAAGGTAACTATCAACTTAACTCTTTCCCTTGAAGGACACATTTGCTCAAGGCGAAATTGCGTCTGGCTAACCATGCGAGTTGTAGTGTAGCGGACGCCCCGCCCCCTGCAAAGCATGTCAAACCACTAAGGCAGCATGTCACTTCGATGAAACCCTAGATCTTAGACGCAAAATCTCCGCAAGGCGCACTCAGACAGAGCTTCAGCATTATAAGACATTGGTGGCCACCCTGTTCGATAAGATTCGAGAGGCGGATGACTCTGATACCGATAAAATCCTTGACGCTATTCGTTTCAATGAGTACAAAAATGCTTTCAGGGCCTTGGAGAGTCTCGAGCTAAGAAGTACGGAGGAGATCAAGGACTCAAGTCCGGAGAAAACCGAAAGTGACGAGGACGGAGACGACGATAATGGCGAAGCTGGCGACGACGCCGACGATGACGATGAGGGCGAGGGTGAAGACGAAGACAAGGACGAAGATGAGGATGAGGATGAGGATGAGGCTGAAGATAAAGACGACGACGATGATGATGACGATGACGATGACGATGACGATGACGATGACGATGACGATGAAGATGAGGAAGCAACTGAAAGAAAGCGCCTAATCACTGAGAACCTAATGCGCATGACGATTGAGAGACTCTGTGATACTCCTCTATACCAGGTACCTTCGTTCTGGACTAATTGCGACACTGATGATTTCATCGTTTCGCATCTCGTGTCCTTATACTTTACCTGGGACCACCCATTCTCCCAAATCCTTGATCAAGATTCGTTTTTGACCGACATGATGGTCGAACCAGAAGCTACGCCGCAATTTGAGGAGTCTGAGATGTCTTCGGAGATTGAGTACTCCTCGAAAGTTGACATCAGCCCAGAAATAGACGAGAATTTCCAGGAGATCAAAGATGACACGAGTGCTGAGGGCCCGCCAAAGTTGGAGCTATCTCCGGACCCTGAAATGTTGACCGACATTAAAGAAGAAGAGGAGGAATTAGGAGATAAGTTGGAGACCATACCGAGTTATCATGAGGAAAGAGAATTTGAGATAAAGCTGGGTTTTGAGGACGAGCCGAACTTCTGCACGCCACTTCTTGTAAACAGCATTTTGGCAGTGGCATCCGTAGGTATCTCTCATTCTCTCGATTAGATCATGACTGAACATCCCCAGGCATATTCCGACTATGGTGAGACTATTGTTGTCCAAGGCGTAAACGCAACACGCGGCCAAGAGTTTTTTGAGGAAGCAGAAAGGCTCTGGAAGGCAGAGGAGGGACAGGCGACGTTGGCCAATATTCAAGCTGTGACCCTGATGAGCCGTTTGTATGCTCCGTAATCTGTGTTTCTTCTATATGTGCCCAGACTGATAATGCTAAGTCTGAAATTCCAGGGCAAGCGACAAGCCAGCTGGTTAATGCTCAGCCAAGCTTTGCAGCTTGCGAAAGACATCGGATTGTTCGACTCTCTAGGGAAAGAATGGGGTCCAGATATGCCGATCAGAAGCAGACATGTCTATGCAGTTGCTGCATGGGGACTGTACATAATGAACTCGTACGATTCCCGACTCCATTCTACCTCACTTTGCTAAAGCATCCAGGGAAATGTCATTCGAGCGCGGCAGGGTCGCGGAGCTTGGGGCTCCATGGTGTGATCCTGAAATAGCGTATGGGTTCAGCGACGAGGTTGTATGGTCAGCATACCCCCGGACCGGGCAGGATGATTTCCATGAAACGCCAGCTCAACTCAGTGTAACTCTGAGCAACACAATCCTCCTTGCCAGAATTGCTGTGAGGATCCAGGAGTTCTTGTTTAGTGAATCACGAAAAATGTCGAAATCTGCAAGGAAAACAGCGGCAGACGCTCTGATAAGACAAGTGCAGCTCGTATTAGAGAGCCAAGAGGCTTCAGAGACTCAACAACGGGAACTTCCACACGTCCTACTTGTGCAGTAAGACTATCAGCAGGACGGCCACTTTTTATCCTTCTAACCTTTCATCAAGTATCAAGTGCCATCACATCATCTTGCTATTTTTCCAGTACCTCTGGGACCACCAACGTTTGGATGCAAGTCCCGAGATGATCCGCTCATGCCGCTTCGAGTCAGCGATGAAAATTGTTGAGTATCTTGGTGTATATGAAGCGAGGTTCGGATTGCGTCGAATACCAAGACAGATGTTAGAACCTGCCCACCGCAGTTTTCTCGCTCTATTGGTATTTATGGACGATGAAGAGGTGTGGGAGCCGATCATGGACCTGTGCCGGTTCATAAAGGCATGCAGCACGAGGTTCGTTCTGGCGGAGCAAATGTGCCTTCAACTCGCACAGCTGAGCAAAGTCCCTGGACTCAATGTACCACAAGAAGTGCATGCGATGCTGAAAGGCAGGGACAAGGATGTGCCTGAGGGGCTCTAACCCATCACCGGTAAGTAATGTGTCACTAAGATGGACAGAGGCACAAAACACCTCAACAAATTCTGTCAAACCGAGCGCCTATGTGACTTCACATACGGAGGTATCAGCCTGGTGTCAACATAAGATGTCATCGAGAACGCGCCAAGTCGAATTGCGATTGCGAAGAAGTATCGTCATCGCCCCGTATGCTGTCCTGATAGTCGTGGTTGGGTTCCTGGTTAGAGACTCCGCGAAAAGTCAGAGTAACAAGACGCCGCCACTACCTTGGGTGACGACCCATGTCAGGACTGACCTTTTACGATAGGTCGCGACGAAATTTTCGGAATATGTGGGAGATAGGTGAGATGCTCTGATGGTCATCTGTTTGCAAGCCTACATCAAGGCCTTTGAGCGATGGACTGTAGGAGCCAGAGCGAGATTGTGGATGGATGATGGTAGAAAGACTCTTGAAGAAGTAGAACAGAGTGTGAACTGGGTGATTGCGGCAGCGAGGAGATCTGAATGTGCATTGAAGTTCGAGACTCACTCACCACCTCCTCCAAAATGAAAATGAAGAATGAACGAACAAATGGCAGTCAATTAAGATAAGGTATCCGGAAAAGGGACATCCAATGATTGCAGTGAGCATCAGTGGCTCGAGCAGCCCTTTTCCTTGGTTTGGCGAAAAGCGGAACTGTCCTCCACCTTTCACCACTGGGCAAGGCAAAGGTCTAGCTTATACTCTCCTAGAGTGAAGAATCGGCAGGTTCGGCCTGACCACTGGTCTGTCAGATTTGCGTACGCGAGTTTCCATGCGCGAGTTTCCATGCGCGTTGGAGATCCTTCTGTAGGGGACCTTTCAATGCAAATAGGCAAGAACCTGTCGAGTCGAGGCCGTGATTATGCCAGTACGTTACAGGTCGAACTTGCTTCTAGCCTTCTAAGGAGGTGTTCACACTCACCCACCGTACCATGCCAGTCCCATTACACGATCTCAATTCGACCCACCAGCTTTCTTTGGCTGCCGACGAGGAAAGTCAATAGTGTACGCCCTGGCTTCATAAGGCCAGATCTAAATGCGTATGCAATTAAGCAAGACATGAGACCTCCAGTTCTCGCGAAAGTCGCTTATCGGGAACTATTCCCAAGGCTGTGGAGATTGAGCCCCTGCCACCTAGTGCCAGTCAGGGCTTATCCCTGAATCCCTACCCTCTGAAGAATTGTGGGACTGACTCGGAATGCAGAGCAGAGAACTGCCTCTTCATTAGTCAGTTTCCTCTGACATTTCTGGTTAAGTGCAAAAGACTTCTACCGAACGGGGTCAAATCAAGGCCCTCGCGGACAATGGACACTTTGAAGGTACCGTAGTTGGTAATACTAGTACGGTGACGGTGTGACCTCTCCAGCTCGTGGCTACCACCATTCAAGGTTCTCGAGGCGGCCGGTAGAAGTATCCGCTGGCCTTCCACCTCTCCCATCCAATCGGAGACGTCCTGCCCCTACCTTACATGCCAGTCAGGGGCATTAGATATTAGCCCTTTCTTTCTGCTCCCTTCCATGTCCATATTTCTAGTATCTTACGGCCGAAACGGCGAAAAGACTTTTGCATGCTCCTCATACTAAAGTCTTCAAATCTGTTCCTACATTGAACCAGGACAGGGCGAGCCGACATGAGCTCTAACCACTTTGTCGACCCTGCCTACTGGCTATGAGCAGAATGTCGGTAGGTGCGGCCTTCCTCGGAACAGATACTTCACCTATGCTTGGCAGCTGTTCTTGTGGGAATTGTAACACAAGGACGCCAGTCAATAAAGAAGCAATAAGAGCCTGATCGTTCACACAATGACAATTAAGTATGTACTGCGCCATGACACACAATATAAGGTAACCTTTCTGCTCCAAGATGATTAGTGTCATTCTCTACTCGACATTGTAAGAAACACAGGTCCTAGTAGGCACCAGCTTGTTGATCAATGGCTTGTTCGGCCTCAGACCAACAACCCTGATATTAGAGGTCACAGAAGGAGTTACAAGAGGGCTTGCTCATTCTGAGCCAACTTTGACAACGATGTGTGACGCTCTTAGTCAGAAGTGTACACAATTAACACAAGGCAAACAATGATTTTATTTCTTCAGGCACGACCTCACGAGCTAAACCGCCGAGGGTACGGAGTAGCTGGCGATCTGTGGGTTGACCAGTCTACTGCATAACTGACTCAGCAATCCGGTTATGCACAGATAAGATAAGCACAAATCCGTCCAAGCGAAAACCCTCAAAATTCAACTCCGCCGAAACAATCCAAATCCCACACGCCGACGCCAAGTAGCTACGCCTGACGACGTGCCCCCCCCCTTCCTCTCTCCACCCTCTCCCGCCCCCCGTTCACTCGGCAACCTTTTCATCTCTGACAGTCGCTTGTCTTTTGCAAATATGTCCTACGAAGAGCGCGCCAACCAGCACCCCAACCTGGGCGACGAGTCCGATGTTGAGGAGGAAGCCCTTGTCAACGACTACCGCGAGCAGGTCAACTATGATGATGGTATGAGTGAGCTGGACCGGACTACATCTCTTGGAGCCGGCTCTCAGGCGCAGGATCTGCAAGCACAGCTTGCTGCTGCTGCGACCCCGCTTGAATACCAGGCCACCCTGGAAACCAAGTTTGCGAGCTACGACAATTACTGCAGCCTGTTCCACTACATCTTGAACTCGGATGGCCCTGTCGAGCTGGAGGTTCCTTCGGTATGTTATTTCCCTTCCTTGTGTAGACCTTCTCGCGCACCGGTGCTTCGCCCAACAACTTGGGCGATCAGCGCGAAGGCTGGCATACTGGACTAGACCGCCTAACTGTATGTTCTCACAGTACTATTGGGCTTGGGATGTGATCGATGAGTTCATCTACCAGTTCGAGTCTTTCTGTCGCTACCGCAACCGTGTCGCCCGCAGTGGTTCCAACGAGGAGGAGGCCCAGCTTCTGCGTGAGAACCCGAACACGTGGGGCTGCTATTCCGTCCTCAACGTCCTTTACTCCCTCATTCAAAGATCGCAAATCAACGAGCAATTGGCCGCAATCAAGCGTGGTGAGGACCCATTGGCTTTCGCTGGAGAATATGGCTCTCGCCCTCTTTACAAGATGTTGGGATACTTCTCCATTATTGGACTACTCCGTGTCCACTGCTTGCTCGGTGATTTCAGCCTTGCCCTGAAGACTCTCGATGACATCGAGATGAACAAGAAGGCCATGTTTGCCCGTGTCATGGCTGCCCATTTTACCACATACTACTATGTTGGTTTCTCTTACATGATGATGCGCCGTTACGCCGACGCCATCCGCATGTTCAGCCACATCTTGGTCTACGTTTCCCGCACCAAGAACTTCCAGAAAGGCGGCAACAGCTACGATGCCATCGCCAAGAAGAACGACCAGATGTACGCCCTGATTGCTATCTGCGTTGCCCTGCACCCTACACGCTTGGATGACACCATCCACTCGGCTCTCCGTGAGAAGTACGGCGAGCAGCTCAACCGCCTGCAGCACGGTGGTCCCGACGCCCTCCCTCTGTTCGAGGAGCTCTTCCGCTCGGCCTGCCCCAAGTTCATCAGCCCCACTCCTCCCGACTTCGAGAACCCCGCCTTGAACGTTGACCCGGTCGACCACCACACTGCCATTTTCATGGATGAGGTCAAGAACACTCTCTACAACCCTACTATCCGCTCCTACCTCAAGCTCTACACGACCATGGATCTGAAGAAGCTGGCTGGTTTCCTCGAAGTCGAGCCCGAGAAGCTTCGCTCTTGGCTGCTGATTAACAAGCAGCGTAGCCGTCAGGTTCGCTGGGTTGAGGGTGGCCTTCTGGAGGGTGAGCCGGCCATCGCTAACGATCTCGATTACGCCCTTGAGAAGGACCTCATCCACGTCAGTGAGACTAAGGCTGGACGCCGCCTGGTGGACTGGTACCTTCGCAACCTCGCCCGCGTCTATTAGATTGACAATCACTTACGTCAATCGTCATCTCCGATGCGAGAGCTTAAGGCTTAAGACTCAGGAGATGTGATGAGCCCCGTCGTTCATGGCCATAAAAGGTCGGTAATTTCCGCGTGGACAACACGGCGTCCTCTCTGGCCGTTTGACCGACACGAATCGAAGGCCAGCAGAAAGATGCGCGGCTTGGTGGCTTAACCCTCCAACCTCTATCCCGTACCCACTGATCATCTCGCTTCATCCGGCTAACCAAGCTATGCACTTTTCTCTCTCAACTTCATATTATCCCTCTACGTTGTTTCCCCTTCAATTGTCCATGATTTGTTTGTCTTCGGGTTGGGACCTCGAAACCGAATAGGTTCTGAGGTTGGAGTCGACACAAAAGAAATTTTCGAGGATTTGATTAATTCGCGGCGTATCCCATTATGCTTGTGCTTTGGTATTTGCTTACTGTTTCGACGAGGTCCGGTTGGGGCTGTGCATCATGCTGTCTTGTTGTTTGTTTGCACAGTGCTCAAAAGGAATGCAGCTGGCACAGAACAAAGCTGCTAGAGATTTCTTCCATGATGAAAAAGATGATGACGTTATTCAATCCTTCCATTTCCATGCATTTCCTGAAGTAGACACATCTTCCTGCGGCCGAGAGCCGAACCCAAGCGGAGTAGGGGTATACTATTTACACTCTATTTGGATAAAAAACAAAAACAGCTGGCTATGTTTAGGGGACTGATGCACGCCAAGCCCAAGTATGATACACCGGCAATCAATCCAGGAACAGGGAAGCCTGACACTATGATCTTATAATCCTGGAAACCGCTACCATTCGAGGCTTGCTCCTAATCGACCACGTCGAAACTCGTTCCACAACCACAGTTGCTCGAGGCTCTCGGGTTGTCGACGATCTTGAACTGACTTCCAATCAGCTCCATCGTGTAGTCCACAGTACTCCCGTGAAGCAACTCCAGGGAAGGTTCATCCATGACAACTTTGGCCTCACCGGGTCCGGCGGCGACGACCTCTTGCTCCTCCGCTTCAAAGACAGTATCTTCTTCTGGATCGATCTTTGAGGCGGCCTCGAGGGACATCATATATTGGAATCCATGGCAGCCGCCGCTGGTCACTGTGATCCGAAGGTGGTGATAGGGATTCTCTTCCTTCGTGGCGGAGGGAGAGGAGGTTGGGTTTGTGATTTCGCGGAGCCGCTATAAGTCGAGCGTCAGTTAGGTGTGCCACGGAACTTCAGTCTATCATAAAAAAACTGCGATGCAGGCCAATGCGAAAAAGCAGAGACGAAGGGGAAAAAAAGGAAAAAAAAAACATACAACAGCCGGGATTCGCTGGTGGTCACCCACCCAACTACTAACCGGCCGGCGTGTGGCTTGAGTACGGCTGAGCGGACGGGAAGCCCTATTTCCCACACCCTGTGGTCGTATGTACTAGACAGGCAAATGTCCAGGTACTTGATGAGGTGATATCATAGGATACCCTCCGACCACCGCCATCGCGCAAGGTGTATAGGACCGATTCTCGTCCGCTTCAGGCGTATCCCTTCCCACCACAAGCTAACAGACTTGACATGGAGGGGGACTGAATGAGAGGTAGAAACCTACTTCTGCGGCCCGCGGGGAGATCTTGATTGTAAGTTCCTTTCCGTCCTCGTCGACTCGGGGATTTTGTACGATCTTGGCGTTTGTCCGGATCGCGGACGAGGAGAAAGGGTGGCGTTGGCAAATAGGATTGGTAGGGAATAAGGCATAACGCGGAGTAATCCTCTGGGTCGAGATGCCTCTCGCGACTCTCCGTAGAGGACTCGAGCTAGATCGAAGCGAAGCCGTGTCGCAAAACGATGCGGCAAGACTGAACGAAGGCGCCGGCGATGGCGAAAACGTGGAGATGGACGAGCGAGGGCGCAACAGCCGACGGGTGCCGGAAGATAAGATCGGACGCGACATGACTGCCTTTGGAGTAACTCAGGACGACCGTTCAGTGAGGCGGCGGCAATGTCTTGGACGTTGACGTCGTGTTTATTGTCGAGGGGAGTGATTGATTATATATCATCATCCCAAAGATACTGCCGTTAGTCAGAGTGAGCGGCGGGGCGTTATTGGTTCATCGGGTGCCGGCAGACGCCGACAGAATGATTGCCGTTCGGCTGCCCGCCTTGTGGCCGATTAACGATCGCGGGGAACCAAACCTAGTAGTACCCGGTATCTTTGCGATCCGAACATGGGAATCTTCTCTTAAGTCTTAGAGATTGACTTTAGAATCTGGCCTAGAGAGCTCTCAGTTGTTCTATAGGCACAAGCTGCTGGCTGAACTCGGCCCACTTGGATATAAGGAGTCTAGCACAGTACTGCACAAATCATGCTATCCGATCTGCACACAAAGCGCGCAGATAGTGCCTCTCCACTTTCTGATCTAACCAGGGACTATGCACAATCGCTTGATGCGCAGGACCCTTTACGCCACTTCCGACAGGAGTTCTTAATTCCTTCGAAGAAGGACCTGAAGAGGAAGACATTGGCTGCACCGGATGAGAGTATGTCACAGACTCATTCTCTTATACTGCTGAGCATAGGTTAACCTGAAGCATTATACGTGCTAGACGATGAGGAGGATGATCAAAGGTCTATCTATCTATGCGGGAACTCCCTTGGAGTCCAGCCTCGCAATGTTCGCAAGTACATTGACCACTACTTACGAGCTTGGGCTCTCAAGGGAGTGACCGGACATTTCGTGCCGCATGATGACCAACTGCTTCCGCCTTTTGTCAGCGTGGACGAGGCTGGATCCAAGTTGATGGCGCCGATCGTTGGCGCCAAACCCGAGGAAGTTGCTGTAATGGGCACGCTGACGGCCAATCTGCATCTTCTGATGGCGAGTTTCTACAAGCCTACCCAGGAAAGATACAAGATCATCATCGAGGGCAAGGCATTCCCTAGCGATCACGTAAGTGTCAAAACTAAGCCCACCAGCAGACCAACCTTTGACATTTGAGGAGATAGTATGCTGTTGAGTCTCAGATCGTGCACCACGGTCTTCGCCCCGAGGATGCTATGGTTCTCATCGAGCCTCGAGAGTCTCAACTTCCCATCCTAACCACCGAGCAAATCCTTCGTGTGATTGATGAGCATGCGTCGAGTACGGCAGTCATACTCCTTTCTGCCATTCAGTTCTATACTGGTCAGTACTTCGAAATCGAGAAGATCACTTCGTATGCCCAGTCGAAAGGTATTTTGGTTGGTTGGGATTGCGCCCATGCAGCGGGCAACGTGGACCTGCAATTGCACGACTGGAACGTGGACTTCGCTGCGTGGTGTACCTACAAGTACCTTAACAGCGGGCCTGGATGTATGGCAGCTCTGTTTGTTCACGAGAAGCATGGCAAAGTAGAGAAGGACAAGATTGGCACAGCAGAGCAAGCCTTCCGCCCACGGTTGTCAGGTTGGTGGGGAGGTGACAAACAGAGGCGGTTTCTGATGGAAAATAGTATGAGTCCCCGTGGTTCCATGGTAACATCTCAGAAGGTTTCTGACTTCACACCTGCAGAATTTGTACCTCAGACCGGTGCTGCAGGCTATCAGCTCTCGAACCCTTCCGTGCTAGATACGAGTGCGCTCGCGGCATCTCTCGAACTATTCAACCGAACTTCGATGGCTCAACTTCGTGAGAAGTCTCTCAAAATAACGGCGTACCTAGAGCGACTCCTGAAATACCCACCCGAGTCACTTCCAAAGAGGACGTTCTCCATAATCACACCCTCGAACCCAGCAGAAAGGGGTGCGCAATTGAGCCTGCGCTTAGCACCTGGTCTTCTCGATAGCGTCCTTGAGGTGCTGGAAGAACATGGTGTTGTTATCGATGAACGAAAACCAGATGTGATCCGAGTGGCACCCGCGCCTATGTACAACTCGTACGTTGATGTTTGGGAGTTCTGCCAGGTCTTCTTCAAGGCTTGTCGACTAGCGTTGGACACCCGAAAGTGATTGCACAGCCCATTAATCTATCTGTCCATAACTCACAGCACAAAACCAGGATTCCAGTCCTTCCACCCATGCGATTGGTTATTGCCCCTAGGATTGGCTTTTCTGACCTAATTAGGGATCGAGTCTTGATAATGTTCATATACAAAAACCCTTGGATTTTGAGGGCTGATCTGGGTCTGGATAAAGAATTTACCCTCCTTTGAGCTTTTAGATTTTGGTAGAAGGTATACTACATGTTCTACAAATCCGACAAGTACAAGTTACTAACGTAACATGTCACGGACAATTTGAGGGTCTGTTGCATCAACTCATTGCTGGATGTAACCGCTGCGGCCTGTTCATGTTCTGTTTGGGTTCTGATATGCCTACCTAAGCATTATATACCCTGATGATCATCCAAACGCAAAATAAGCCGGCTCCAATGGCTGCCGCTCCGACTCCCAAGCTAACCAGTCCGATCTTGTAGTCCTGTGGAATAGAACGTTAGCCATCCATCAATCCATTCGCTGTGTGGGAAGGATTTGACCCACGGCAAGAGGCCCATTGCGTTGACCTTCCAGATACCCAAGCAGAGCAAGACTAGCTGCATTACTACATAAATGGCCTTCACGCCAAGGAGCTTTCCCCGTGTTCCTTCGGTTTCAAACTTGGTGAAGACAGCGTTGGTGTTGATGAGACCTTGGATCGGGCCCTTGAAGAGCATGAAGACCATCATTATGCTGAAGATTTGGAGACTGTTTCCTGACATATACATCATAATAGCGTTCATGGGGATCTGCTTCGAGGGCGCCAGGGCGATCTCCCAGGCTTTCTTCAGCTTCAAGGTATCGGTATCCTCGGGTTTGGTCGGCGCGGCTGTGGTGGACGACTGTTGCGCAAGCTGCGGATGAGATTTGTGGGTCAGTTTCGGAAGATATAGGGAAGAAGGGACTCAAGCAGATGAGGATGTTTAAGGTGGAACATACATGTTTACCGCCAGCTTTTTTTGCGAAACCTGGAGGATTGGGGATATTGGCCGCGTCTTTAGGTGGGCGCGGCATTGGGGTGTTCATCCTGACCACCCATTCCGGGGGCGGAGGGGGGTTGAGAGGTTGCGCAGCCATCATACAGCTCCGTCCTGATATGTTGAACGGATATGAGCTGAGCAGAAGAAAGCGTAGAGCACGAGAGGTGGGGTTTGTTGATATGAAGGGGGAGGGTGGACGATGACATGGACCTCTCCTCTCTCCGTCCGGACTGGGAATTTCTCCACAAGCGGCGGGCGGAGTTGAGCGGCTCCCGATCCACTCCTGATTCTCAATCCAACCCAGACCCTGATCGAGGTTCAGTCCCTTTTCGATCTTGTCAATCTCACCTGAATTCTTGTCTTGACCGTCGCGTTATACTGGGGAGCAAGTATTTGACCCCACTGAACTTAGGTTGGATTCCAATCCCCTGCCGCGGTTGTTCTTCCGTGCGACGCTGACTCCTTTAGCACCCCTCTCTCTCTCCTCTCAGAGGGTCATGGAAGCTGTGGCCAGCTAAGGATTTCCTCCTTTTGAAGCCAGGATACCGACACGAACCCAATATCTCCATATACAGCTTCAAACCGTGCGCCAGCCCTTTTCTGAAAAGTACCACGCCACCGAACCTCGCTCGATTCGTTACCTGCACCCTCCGAGACAATGAGTTCCAGCGGGGGAGATGCGAAGTTGTTTGCAAGGGTATGTACATGCGCGCACTGCTCTCCTGGTTAGCCGGTCGCTTTGAGACTATGGCCTGGTGACTTTCTATCATCCTTCCGCATCTTCCCCTCTTCTGGCTACCAAATCACACTCGACGGTGGCTCTCTTCCATATGAACCGAGCACTATTCTACACTCCTTATCTTCCTCCATCCTTCGCCGACTTGCTTTCGTTTCGCCTTTGACAACTCTTTGCACTTTATCCACTTGCGCCCAGTCTGCTATTGAGAAACTCCTCGTGCTCGATGTTCCTCAGTGTGGTTCCCTACAATCCACAGTATGGCTTACCGTTCTCTCGATCTAAACAGGGCAAAGTTGCCGAACTGCGGCAGGAGCTCAACAGTGGTGGAAAAAAGGACAAGAACCATTCAGCCAAGAAGATCGCCCTCAAGAAGATCGTTGCCAACATGACTATGAGCAACAATGATATGGTGGCCTTGTTCCCGGACGTAATCAGTTGCATGAACCTGCCCAGTCTGGAAATCAAGAAGATGTACGATGAAGCGCAATCTCAGTCATGGATTGAACGACCGATACTGACTATTTCGCTCTCATGATATAGGTGCTTCTTGTTCTTGGTCAACTATTCGAGGGCAAAGCCGGATATTGCGCTCAAAGCATTGCCAATTTTGGTTGACGTATGGATGATACCTCCCCTCCCCTGGCCTTAGGGTTCTTCAATGGGTCTTAACCGGACAACATAGGATATGGAAGATTCCAACCCGCTCGTGCGGGCTCTAGCTTTGAGAACGATTTCATACGTCCACGTTCGCGAGTTCGTTGAAGCTACTGTTGCACCGGTCAAGCGACTGATGCAAGATATGGATCCTTACGTCCGGAAAACGGCCGCATTCTGCGTCGCGAAGCTCTACGAGCACGACAAGAAGATGGTTGAGAGCTCCGACTTGATTGACCGGTTGAACAACATGCTTAAGGATGAAAACCCAACAGTCGTATCCAGTGTCCTTGCCTCCTTGGTCGACATCTGGGGACGCAGTGAATCAATCTCCCTCACCATTGACTATGCAAGTGCCTCGAAGCTGGTTTCGATTCTACCAGATTGTTCCGAGTATGTTACTCCCTAATCGAGGAACTAGTTCTTTTTTTTGGCTAACAAGCATAGGTGGGGTCAATCATACATCCTCGAGGCCCTAATGTCCTATGTTCCCCAAGATTCCGCCGAAGCGCTGTTGCTTGCTGAGCGCATTGCGCCCCGCTTGTCACATTCCAATTCTGCTGTTGTGCTGACCTCAATTCGGGTCATTCTCTACCTCATGAACTACATTGCCGACGAGCGACATGTCACGTCTCTAGCGAAAAAGCTCTCGCCGCCCCTTGTCACCCTCCTCTCCAAGCCTCCCGAAGTCCAGTATCTGGCGCTCCGCAATGCCATTCTTATTCTTCAGAAGAGACCGGAAGTCCTGCGGAACGATATCCGCGTCTTCTTCTGTAACTACAACGACCCGATCTATGTCAAAGTGACAAAGCTGGAATTAATATTCATGCTAACAACGAAAGAGAACATTTCTGTGGTGCTTGCAGAGCTTAGAGAGTAAGTGCACCTTCAATCTTCGACAATAGCACTGTTAACAAAGTGTAGGTATGCCACAGAGATTGACGTTCATTTCGTGCGCAAAGCGGTGCGCGCCATTGGCAAGTTGGCGATCAAAATTGAGTCAGCTGCACGGCAGTGTATCGACACCCTTCTCGACCTTGTCAATGCCAAGATCCCCTACATCGTCCAGGAAGCGACCGTGGTCATCCGAAACATCTTCCGCAAATATCCCAACCAGTACGAGAACATCATCAGTAACGTCATCCAGAATATCGATGAGCTCGACGAGCCAGAGGCGAAGGCTGCCATCATTTGGATCATCGGACAATACGCCGATCGTATAGAGAACTCCGACGGACTTCTTCAGGACTACCTCGCCACTTTTCATGATGAAACAATTGAAGTCCAGCTTGCATTATTAACAGCGACGGTCAAATTTTTCATCCAGCGTCCGACCAAAGGCCAGCAGCTGGTCCCTCAAGTTCTGAAGTGGTGCACCGAGGAGACGGACGACCCCGATCTCCGCGACAGAGGCTACATGTACTGGCGCCTGCTCTCCACCGATCCAGCTGCTGCCAAACAAGTCGTGATGGGCGAGAAACCGCCGATCAGCGCAGAAAGCGAGAAGCTCGACCCGAAGACCCTGGAAGAACTCTGCTTGAATGTGGGCACCTTGGCAACGGTATATTTGAAGCCGGTCCAGCAAGTCTTCCGCTCTGCGCGGACGAGGCGACTGCAGTACAGTCCGGCTCTGCAGAAGCCGAAAGAGGAGGCCAGCACGGCCGCTTGGCAGTTCCCTGCCCCAGCCCAGGTCGCGGCCAGCCCGACCGCGGCCTCCAATCAGACTGGCTTTCCGCCAGTAAACGGCATGATGGGTGCCCCTGGGGATATGAACGCTGCCGTCAGCGCCGCCGACCATTATTTCAACAGCGTTGGCAGCCAACAGATGGCCGCGCTCGATCTGGGTGGCCGTGGGGATGGCGGTGCCGGCGGCGGCGGCGCCTCCCAGACACAGTACGTGGTCAATCAGAATCAACAGCAGGTCTATCAACCCCAGTTGGCTGGTGGAGCTGCGACGGGAGAACTTTTGCTGCTGTAATATCCATTCTTCCTGCTTGTACCATCCAACTTGTTCTTCTCCGGGATACTACTTCTTCTTGGCCTTTTCTCTTCTATATTCATTCTTTGAGCGATGCCAGTCTGATCGCAGGCAGGGACTTGTGATACCTCTTGACTACTATTATCATTCCTATTATATGTATCAATTTAGCTTTGCACTACCGCAAAAATATAAAGACGGAGAGGGGTTGAGATAATGGACATACATTCTTCATCGAATATGTGCACGTTTGATTCTTCAACCTGCCTACTAAGTCTAGCTAACTCTCGAACAGGACCGGGTGTATGAATATTATTCACAGGATGTCATGGTAATCACAAATGATTTTAATGCACGACATACGTCGGGAAGCATAGATGTGACGTCTGGTAATAGAACGCTGTACTGAATAACGAATCATTCATCGTCCAATCGAGCAAGTCCGCCACGACTACGCTTGAGACGATCGTCAAGATTATCCTCCTGGAGTTTCCGATGCAGACCAGAAACAAAACGACCCTTTTCAGAGCGATGCTTCTCGTCCTCATCGAGTTGCTTCTGTTCCGAGGCTGTGACTTCCGCAATGCGCTGGCGACGGGACTCTTCCATCTCGTCGGCGTTCGACAGCATCTCTGCCAATTTGCGCTGACGTTCTTGCTCCAAGTCCTTGGATTTCTGCCGCGAGTCCTCATCGCGCCGTGGGTTTCCGTCACGATTGTACGAGTCTCTTGAGGCTCTGTGGTCTCTTCTGTCAACGAAGCGATCGGATCTCTCTCGTCTATCTCTGTCAGGTACGTCTTGGCGAGCGCCATCTCCTCTGTCGTCAAATCGACGTCGGTCTGAGCGGTAGCGATCAGTTCGCGGTGAGGGGGATCGATTGTGGGGGCCATCGCGGCGGGAAGGACGGTCGTAACGATCCTCTCGCTGGCGGTGCCTGCTCGAGTACTCCCTTTCGCCGTCTCCGTCGCCGCGGTCCCTATCCCGGCGATCCGGGTCCCTTCTGTCGTAGTCACGATCTCTGCGATCCCTGTCATCTCGCCGGTGGTGACCACTCCGCTCTCTAGGCGACCTCTCCCTCTCCCTCTCCCTCTCCCTGTGCCGATGCGACGACGACCTCCCATCGTCCTCACCACTATACCTTCTGCTCCTCCTACTGCTCCTATGATCTCTCTCCCTCTCCCTACTATCGCGCCGATGCCGCCTCTCCCTATGCGACCCCGCCCCAGAACCAACAGCAACAGCAGAAGATGACACCCTCCTAACACCCTCCTTAACCGCCGTCTCCAGCGCCGCCTGCTCCCTTCTCCGAATCTCCAACAACGGATCCGCCAGCACCTTAGTCATAGTATCTCTTGCGTTCGTTCCGGCGCTACCAGCACCAGCACCAGCGCCAGCCTCTGCCCCACCAGTCACCGCACCACCCATCCCCCCGGCCCCCTTCTTCAGCGCCTGACTCTCGTCATTCTTCAGCAGAATCTGGTCGAATCGCCGCTTCCCTAGCAGATACCCTTCCATCTCCTCCGAGTAGTGACCGGTCGCGCTCGACGGCTCCTGATACATCCAGTCCACGCGCTGGATCTGGCGCGGCTTGCCCGAGTCTTCCTGCAGCCGCTGGAGTTCCTGGATCTGACGTTCTTCGTCCCGTTCGCGCCGCAGCTGGTCGATGCGTTTCCGTTCTTCGAGGGCGCGCTTCTCTTCCGCCCAGACGCGCTCCTGGTTGCGGAGAAGAGAGGGGTGCCATGATCTTTTGTTTTTGGATTGCTCCGGATTAGTTTGGGTGTCACTGTGAGTGGATGACGGTGTTTTGGGAAGGTGGGGGAGAAGGAGGAGATGGCAGAAGGAGTGCGATAAGAGAAAAGGTGTTACAGGGTGGTGAAGGGTGGAGGGGAATGGGGGAGACGCACTTCTTCAAATTGAGATCGCCACCCATCTTGACAGGTGTTGAGAATGTGAAGATAGACTGAAGGGCGTGATGAGAAGTTTATTCAGTTATTGTAAGAAGAGAAGATGGATGGTAGAATAATGGAGCTCTGAGCTGGCGATGATTGATGGATGGACATTCCCAATGAGGAAGGATCGGGGGGGCGGTGGCCGGGGCGGAACGGACTGCAATTCGGGCGGGAAGTTCTGGACGCCACCTGCGGGTCACACTTTTCTGCCTTATTGTGGCTGCATGGAGTCGTTAGGCACTGATTATGGAGTACAGCCAACCCTGAACGGTGTAGCAATCGCACCCAAATAATGGCAAGTGGAGAAATGTCAATGGTTGCAACTTAAAACCTAAAAACAAGCAACAGTCATGGCGATGCATTGACATAACACTGAATGATCTTCAATAGATAGGTACAAACAAGAAAGGTAAATCATAGTGGAAGCAGATCATAAGAACAACACTGCCCGTATCTTCACACAACACCCCCCCCCCCCCACTGGCAAGCTTATCTGCACTACAGATCCCAACAAAGCTCTCCACCAGCCTCCGACGCTGACTAGGTCTATGTCCCCATAGGGAACATTGTAGTCTCGGGGCCACACTCGCCATGCAATGATTAGTTCTTCCTCTCTATTTATCCCAGCTAACGTAACTCCGAGGCATCACACGCCACACCTTGCATTCTCCACTACGCAAGTCATTCAGCTTGAAGCTCTCCATCTTGACCTTTTTGCTTTCTCTGCCCTGTTCCCAAGCACGAATTTTCTTCTTGGTGCCATCCCAGTCGAAGACAATGCCGACATGATCAGGCTTGCCGACCTCGGAGCTGTACTTCTGGTGCATCGTGCCACGGTGGCCCTGGAAACGTGCGTTGCGGAAAGTCACAATATCGCCTGCGCGGATCTCGTCATTTTGCTGCACTGAAGCATTGGCCAAATTGGAGTAGACCAGAGCACCGTATGCGCGCGTGCCAACAGGAAGCAGGACGTCAGATAGGGGGCTGAGCAGATGCTGCACCAAACCGTGTGGCGTGCCATCTGCGACAGTAGTATTTTGGATATTATTGACAGCATTGGCAATACGCGTGCCGATCTGGTTGTGCGCAGTCTCGAGCTGATCCTGACGAGGTTGATGAGGGGGCGCTTCGTGACGCTGCTCTAGCACCGCGTCACTCGGATTACGAGGATCAAAATTGACAGTAACCACGGTCTGCGAGTAGTCGATAAATAGAATGTAAACATCTTTGGTCACAGTAGTTTTGCCCCCGCGTTTGGAGGAATTCGACTCTTCAAACTCGAGCAGAACATCCCTTCGATTTTGGAAAGCAGGTGGAGGGGTGTTGGGTTGTGTCCACCAAAGAGTGTTTTCTGCCAAATCAACGTCCGTAGCAATGAAGCCTAAGTCAATCGATGGACGAGAGACATCCATCGATCTGCGGACACTGGGCTGGGCTCTTGGAATGTCCAGCGATGCACGGTTGCTCCGAGGTGTCGGCGGAGGTAGGCTAGGAGGCGGGGGAGCCATTGAGGTACGTTTTTCGCGAGGCGACAGACTGGACGTTTCGCCATAGCTTTGAACCGGTGAGGCTTCGTACATGTCATCAGACTCCTCTTCGACAGGCTGAGGGGGCAGAGGTGGAGCTTCGATAGGGCCACTGGGGATTGGTGGCGGTGCTCTTGAAACAGGCATACCATGCTGCGGGGCAGAGTAACGGTAAGGATCATATTCATCATCATCATCATCATCACCGCCATATGATGGCTCTCGTTGCGGTGGAGGAGGTGGTGGTCCTCGTGGCGATTGGATAGAGTCTCTACCGGCACTTCTTGGTGGTTGAATTGGGGGCGGAGGGGGCACTGCTCGTGGAGCAGAGACAGGAGGCGGAGGCGGGAGACGAGTTTGGGGCGGGCTTCGAGGGGACTGAAGGGAGTGTTCGTCAGTCATGACACCTTCGTCAAGACTAGAATCACGGCCATGAGACTTCAAAGCATCCTTGAATTTAGCACCAGATGCAATGTCCGTGTCGTAGTCGCCATCATATTCAGTAGTTTCACCTTCGACCCCCTCTCCCGCTTGACGTGGCTGCGAGCTCATGCTTGTTCGACTGTCGGTCGTGGACCTCCGCCGGATAATGACTGGCGGAGGGGGAGGAATTGGTCTGCTTTGAGATGGCACTGGGGGATTGGTTGGCACCGGTGGGGGAGGGCGACTCATTCTCTTATCTGCGGGGAGCGTGGGTGACTTAGGGGATGTTGTATCGTAAGTCGACGCTCGGCGAGAGTCGAGATGGCCAGGGAGCGGAGGTGCCGATCGTTCTGCTGCCGCAATGGTTGGGGTGGCGTTCGGATGAATAGATAATTCATCATCAGATTCCTCTCCTGCATCACCAGGTGCGGTGCCCTTAGGTGGTGGCAGAGATTGAGCTAGTTTTTTCCAGTTTAGTAAGACTCGGGATCGAGCATAAGTGGATCGACTTACATCCGGGAATTGGTGGGGGTGACAGAGGATGTTCATGCGAAACCGGAGGTGGTACTGGGCGTGTGTCGAGAGGAGGAGGAGGTACTGCACGTTCTGCGAATGCATCGTAAGCCTTGGCTTCTGAAATCAATGATTGGGATCTTTCGTACCTTGCGGCGTGAATGGTCTATCGACAGACATGCGACGTTGCGGTGGTTCTTGATGGACAACCTCCTCGACATCGGGAACCTCGTGTGCAGCATACTGCTGGGTAATCGGACTTGCAAGAGACTCTTGGTGTTCTTCCTTCTGTGCGTCTCCCTCTCCTTCATCATCTTCCTCCTCTTTCTCAACGTTCGGATAGACTGGAGGCTTTCCTGAATTCATTCCGGGCAGGGCCATGATGGGAACTGGAGGCGCTGCGGCGGGACGGGAGCTTTCGTCATCCACGGCTCTTTCAGCTTCTACAGGCGCTTTAGGTTTGCGAGCCGCAGCCGGGATGGGCATGCCACCAGGGGGTCCGAAGAAACCCATCATACCCATACCACCACTCATCTTGGCCATTCTCTCCCGTAGTTCCATCTTTCGCTTGATCTCCGGGTCGATCTCTTCTTCTTCTTCTTCTTCTTCTTCATCATCTTCTTCTTCTTCTTCCTCTTCCACCTGCGCTTGATCCTCAATTGCTTCGTTATCCTCATCCGACGGTAAATTTTCAGTATGTTCTGTCTTTGGATTTGCAGCGTGAGTAGGAGCTTGACGTCGAGCCTCTGCACGGATCCGCTCGTCGGAGTCCTCCTTGCTTGTAGATGTCTCTTCCATATCTTCCGTGTCAGCAGCCGCAGAATCATCCGCATCATTGGTGTCGCTGGCGAGCTCCCGCGCGGGTGGAGGTGGCATTGCAGGGTGCGGCACAGCCGGTGCCGCCGCATCGCTAGCATGTTCCCGCGCAAAATCACCTGCTTCTCCTCCCTCAGCTGGTATATCTTGCGTAGGGATAGTCTCTTCGTGGGAATCGAGACGCTTCTTGGGGGGAGGCCGCTTAGCCTTTTCCTTCTTCTGCGCAGCCTCAGCATGACGAGCAGCCTGCTCCATTTGTTGCTTCTGGAGAAGAGCAATTCGCTCCTTCAGACTTGTTGGCTTGGGCTCATTTTCCGCACCCTGTTCCGGACCCTCACTTGACAAGGGACGCGCCTCAGACACAGGAAGCTCCCGTGTGACCCGCTCCTGAACATCAGGATTCTCTTCTCTGCGATATATCTTCTGTGGGGGAGGCTCTCTGGGCGGAGGCACATAGGCGTTCTTGCTGGGTGGCGGTGCAACAAAAGGTTTCTTGATGAAGGTGCTGGAGCCTTGAGAGAGTCCGCCTGGCTTAAAGGGCGCAACTGGTGGTGCAGCATGCTTATTGAACGCCGCGATACGATCTTTGAAGGACGACCCAGTAGGCTTTTCGGTAACAGCGGGAGGTGGCGGCTTGGATACAGGCTTTGGTGCGGGCTCATTGACTTCTCTCGTCGGAAGTTGGGCGACTGGAGCTGGTACCGGCTTAGGAGAGGGGAGTTCATTCACTGGGGATGCCAGCGCTGACGGAGGGGAGCTAGGCGGCTGAGGTACGGCTGCAGGTGTCTTCTCAACCTCAGGCTCGGGCTCGGGCACGGGCACAGGCTCCAGCTCGGTGTGGTGGGAGCTCTCTGCAGCAGGGATTGCGGCTGCAACAGCGGGCTCGGGAGGTGGCGGGACAGGCTCTGCTTCCTTCCTGGGCCTGCTTGGACGAGTCGGTCGCGGGGGTGCAGGGGGCTCATATCGTTCGACGAAATTCTTTGGGAAAATCCCCTCAACTTTGCGCCCGGAGTCGTCCGCATATTCACCAAAGTACCACTCGGCATCTTCGACTGCTGTGACGGTTATGATTTGCCCAATAGCGAAGTTAAGGTCGTCATTGTGGTCCGAAGTATACTCGAAGACCGCTCTGACCGTGAATGGCGGACTAGACATTTGGCAAGTTAGGTGGTTCCGGTCACAGAGGTGAAACGGATGACTCTGGAACGGAGGGATGATCAAGTCGCAGAGACAGGTTGAATGCTTGCAGGCAGAAGCACTAGATTATGTACGGGTTTATGCAGTAAAGCATATGCGAGATGTGCTTTAAAATGCGAGGTGGTCTGCGTTTGAAGACAAGGCAAATAACAACAATATGTCAGCCTGGTGGACTGACGTACGTCAGAGTGTGGCCGATGGAGGGGTGGGTGTGGGATTAAACACACACACACACACACACATACCCACTCACTCACTCACCGCCAGAAGGAGAGCTGGTGGGATCGAGGCTAGTTGGGGTGGGGGGGAGGAAACTTACTGCAGTTGAAGGGCACAACATCCACAAGGTGGAGGAATTTGCAGGGAAGGTGAAAGGTACAAGAGAGAAACTATGGAGGGAGGAATTGAAACTAAAGGCGGAAGTAGGGAATGTTGGGCGGGGATTTTGGGGGGAGGAGGAGGGGGGGGGGAGGGGTGGAGGGTGGGAGGTGGATGTAGAGGAAAAGGAGGAGAGAGGGAGAGGAAGAGGGAGGAGTAAATACGGAGCACTTGCTGTACAATAACTTAAGCTAAGTCTACGTACTCACTCACTTACTCTAACTAAGGTTACAAGCTGAGGCTACGTCGTTAAGACTCCGTTGTTACAGACAGACCCTCTTAACTCCCTCTTCTTCCTCTTTTCCCATCACAACCAGGCTCCACCCACGGGGCGATCGGCGGCTAATAAGATTGAACAGAGGCTGAACCAGTCATCCACCGATTTGTTTGCCCATCCATGGCCGCGATTTCTTGTGCTTACAGTAAAGTTGGGACCGAGCAGATGGGCATTTGAGCTGGATAAGTGCCATGTGCATTTGCTCTCATCCATCTCTCCAGCTACTCACTGTTCTTTCAAGTGACCAGACGTGTCATTTTGGTCATTTTCTGGCAAGCCTCATCGTCATTGGGGGTATCGTTACCTGCCCTTAGCTTACTTTGAATCCGGGGTTTTTCGCCTCCTGCCGACCCAGCCAAATTCGAACCTTGTTCCCATCTCCGATGCGCCTCATCTTTCCTTTTTCCATTTCTCATTCACTTCTACCCTCCCTGATTATCTCATAATTCTTCATTCTTTCTCATCCTTGCAAGGGTGTACTCCGAATATATCTTCTAATCACTATGTCCTCGAACCGTTCCATACTCAAAACCTCACTTCCATCCGCCCACGCTGCTTCCGCTTCGTTAACTCGTTCAAATTCTAGTACCACTCGTTCAGCGCCACTCAGCTCCGGCATGTCACAGCAGGAAACAGAGATATTAGCGAACAAACCAGGCACTGATCCCCGTCATGTGGCGATTGCACTGCACCATGCGCGTCAGATTCAAGCCCAAAAGGATGCCGAGGCCTTGATTCTCGATCGAATCCTCGACCTTGTCCAGTTTCCCACCTCTTCATCCGCCGATCCTAGCTCCCCCACTCCCGAAGATGCGCGGGCGTTCAAGTCCGCCCTGACGCCCTTCCAGCCCGCGGACTACGACAACTTGATCCTGGAACGGAACATCGAAGGACTATGCGGGTATACACTGTGCCCACATGAACATCGCAAGGAAGATCCTCGAGGGGCCTTTCGCATAACGTGGGGCGCAAAGGGCAGCGGCCCCGGCGGACGCGGACGCGAGATGAACATAGTGCCAAAAGAGAAGTTGGAGATGTGGTGCTCCGATGCGTGTGCTGAAAGAGCCATGTTCATCCGTGTGCAGCTCGCCGAGCAGCCGGTTTGGGAACGAAGAGCGGGCGATGCTCGCGGCTCCTGTATACTCTTGCTTGAAGAGGAGCGTGCGAGATCACAGCGACAAGGGAACGGCAAGATGCGGAGCACAGCCAGCGTCAATGAGGTTGCGGGTCAGCTTGGGGACTTGCATGTGCACGAGGGATCAAGTTCGAGCGACGTGCTCAATCTCGTGGCCAAGCTTTCAGTCCGTGATGACGCACGTTCGCAAGAGCTAGCCCGTGAGCGTGGAGATGCTCATCCTGCACTGTACACCGGCCGCGTGGATATAAACGTCCAGGAAAACAGCCGTGCTGCTGGCCCGGTCATAGCACCTCAGATGCGGCCCGGAGATGAAATAGGAGGCTCCATCGAAGGCTACGTGCCTCGAGATCACTGAAGATGTTGTTTCAGGCAAAAGGCAGAAGTGCCGTCACAATTGTATACAGGCTTTGGCATTACGAGGAGCGTTGAGTTTCATGAACGATACCCAGATAAGATAGCAATCTACAGATCTCCCAAGAGGCACATGTCGCAGACTCTTAGAAGAATAGAACGATCGTAGGACGTAGCCGTAATCAAGAGGGGTCATTTGGGGCCCATAAAGAGGTTCCTACGCAGCAGCCGGTCATGAAACCGGATGTTGGACGGGAAGTAAATTGGCAATCAAGCGTCATCTCCGTCAGGAGAATCAGCGACACCTTTGTTTGACGAAAGTCATGTTCATTCCTCATGAGTCTATTTCTAGACTACAATGTAGTTGGAAGCCTGCCAGAACAAGCATGAAAACGCCATGGATCGACCCAAGACAATCGTAAAACTTTTTTCATTGTCCGCTCAAGGGCGCACAGATTTACCGGTAGCGACGGGGACGCTCCTGGACCTGCTGCTGGGAGACGGTGACGACGTTGACCTTCAGGTTGTCGAACTAACGCGCGAGATGAATTAGCTTCGCCGTAACTCCCGGTGTTCTGAAATGTTGAGAAAAACTTACACCCATGCTCTTGAGGAGATCCTTGGTGTCGGAGTCGACATCGAGCTGGCCGGACTCGGTCTGGGAGACATCCAGAGCAGAGACCTCAGGAACGTACTGATCCTTGCGCTCACGCTCCTCCTCCTGAAGCTTGAAGGAGATACCGCGGACAGGGCCACGCTGGATACGCTTCATAAGGTGGGTGGTGTAACCAGCAATCTTTATCAGGTAAACATCGAATCAGTATTCCACTCCAAATCTTGGCTTTGGACAGCGCGAAAAACATTCACTAACCTTGTTGCGAAGACGCTTGGAGGCAATGATGGCGATCTCATCGCAAATGCGCTTGTTGGTCTCGAAGTCGAGCGTCAACTTGGGGTAGTAACGCTCGATGATGACCTTAGCGGAACGCTTGACTGTCTACACGGCGAAGTCATTAGGATTGCAACTTTGAGGCGTTGATTGTGCGGCATCTGTGCTCACCTTGGTGCGGACGCGACCCATTTTGGCGGTTTGTTGCTGGCTGGATGGATGTTCGAAACTCCGACCAAGATACCTTATGTCCCCCCGATCTTCAAGATACCCGGCCTCGCTTAACCGTGTGCGAGTCACGTGATAAAGGACCACCCTGATAATAGCCCTAACATCAGCACGTGACTTTGGCTCTCCGGACAACGCCAAGATCTCGGCTGATCATTGGGTTTCCTGCGAATGAGTGACCAAGTACTTGAAGCGGCTGTTAACTACAGGCTGACAAAGGATGCGGCGGGTAGGATGGGAGGATCAGTTTTAAATTGACCAACTAACAACATATTCATACAGATCGCATAGCTCCTCCTTAGCTTAGAAACAAATTGGGCCAACGAAACAAGAAATTAGGACCAAAACCCTGAGGTATCGTTCATGCCTTGATCTTGGCAAAATCCTTCATGAGAGACTGTACAAGCGCTTCCGGGCGTTCCTCAGGTGGGCCCATATCTTGCGACGTTGAGCGCGCGCCAATCTGTAGACGAGGTCTATCCAGCCTCATCACCGTCCGCTGGCTGCCTTGGGCGTTGGGGGACACGTGCAACGTCTGAGGCGGGCGGTACTCCTCGATACCGTATGGTGCTCTGGACTTGTGAGTCGCGCGGAAAGTAGCCAATTCAATGCGACCCCCCGAATCAATGGAAGCCCGGATAGGGTTGACCCAATACTTCGCACCACCCGGGATGCTCGCGTCATACTGGGTGAGACCAGGTAGCCCGCCATTATCAGTGAAAGACATGGCGTTGAGATCCTCCACGGCAATACCGGCAACACCGCCAACTGCCCGTCCGGCCTTGCCCTTGAATCTCTTCGGGCGCAAAATACGTGCCTCAACAGGGCGTTGGAAAGTCTGAGGTCCGAACCTGGGATGGTTGTAAAGCAAGGCGTGCGTTCTGGTGTAGGATAATCCCGCTGAGGGATGCGTTTTCGGCGGTCCGGCCTTGACATACTCCTCAGAAGAGAGCTTCAAGGTGGCAGGTTGGTAGTACTTCTGTCCAATCATATCGCTAGGCACTACCGGGGGCGGTGGAAGGTCCAGGATTTCAAATATCACTGGACCCAAAGCGAATGGATCCGTACGTAGCGATTTGATCCAGGTCTGAAACTCCGCTTCAGTGTATTTGATGGGTTGGTCGATACCCTCGAAGTTTCCGCTATCTTGAGCCTGCTTTTTCCGATCGGCAGTTCGCTTCTTAATGAAATACTTGCGAAGCTTCTGCATAAGCTCTGGCTTGCTCCGGCGCACGCTCTTTAGGTACTCCTGAAACTCCGCCTCCGTTTGGCCGGCGAGGTATGGACCAGAATGTCGAAACTTCTTGGCGTCAGGCGATTTGAGGGCCAAGCTTTCGTTGGTGTTATCCAAGAAACTCTCGAAAGGGCTGGAGTGCCGAGGGAGACTGCCGCTAGAGTAGCTGACTTTTTCAGGAAGCGAGATGGGCAGATGGAGCTCTTGGAACTTCTCCAGGGTCACGGTATGATCTGCAGCAGATTCGAAATCCGTAGTATGTTCAAAGGTATCGAGGGCATTGATTCGAACCACAGGCCTTGAGGATCTAGCGGACGTCGTCTTCGGAGGTAGCGGTCTCTTCAAGCCCCAGTCACCATTTAGCAGAGAGGAACCTGGTGTGACAATGGCCGCTCGGATAGGGTGAGGAAGGGTAGCGGAATCGGATTCATGGACGTTTCTTGCCGCTGGCAGACCTTGGGGAGGAGTCAGGGCCTGCGGAAGTGCAAACAAGCGCGACTTCCGCAGCAGATTTGCTGCCGGGGATAGCCTGGCCTTCACCATGGCGCAGATGTGCGAATGAGGGTGCTATGCGGGTGGCCTTCGTCCGGAGGAAGCTGGAGAAAAGTTGATTGCAACGGACAATCTTCTGGAGCCGCGCCAAGCTGTGAGATACGGCAGCCCACAACAACGCACTATGCATTTCTTATCCGTACATCGGGTCGTCACTTGAGGCTCGGAGGAGTACGGAGTAAAGTACAATAAAGCGACATAAGGCTCAATAGCTCAGCCAGTCAAAGCTCGGTGGAATTGACATGATAATTGCACACCAGGGCGTAGTTAGTTATTGGACTCTGTTCCATGTGATACGGAGTAGAAGATCTGCAAGTGATTCGAGTTTCATCATACTACTCAGCAACATACCCTCTATGCCCCGTTTCGGCGACGTGATAGAGACTTGGCAGCTTGCTGAAGATCTCATGGATAACAATACAACTTCAAGTGAAGGTCTAGCATACAAATAAGGGCCATAAAGAGCTTATTTTTGAGATGAAGACTACGTGTCAATCGAAGGAATTGGCAATGTTAATCGAGTGTGCCATAGGAGTCGCTACATAACCTTTGGGCTTGACCTATTCTCAAAATGTGGGATACATCATCTGATTGCTATTTTATAGGAGCACTTAGAGGGGCACTCGAGGCGTCTGTACGTTTAATTCTGTTGTTGCCCTAAGGATTTTTGTTCATGCCTGTAATCATGCCCTCTATTACATGACCTTCGATTCTGGAATCCTATCTCGTCGATTGCAAGTAAGAGAGTATGTCCTATTTCGAATTGGACATCATGCTGATTCATTGACACCAACAGAATGAGGAGCATCATATGTATGGTCATGCAGAAACACTTAGGATTGATTTGACCGTATCAACAACCGTTTGCTTCAGAGACCGATACTGAATACCCAGAATGTCGATGGATTTCTTGTTATTGTAGCCATACACATCATCAGGTAAGTCGCTAGACGTATCCTTTGATGGTAGCTTGTCCTCAATTTCAGGGAAAGACTCTCGCACCGCGTCCAAGAGTTCCTTGTTGGTAAAATAACCAGCAGTGGTGAAGAATCTCTGCCCACCGGCCTCGGCGACCTCAATAGCTCTAACATGAGCTAACGCGACATCGTGAACGTCTACCCACAGAAAGGTACCTGTGGGAGGGAGACCGTCCTTGAATTTTCCTTGAACAAGGTTGGCAAGCCTTTGATTAGAAGTGTTTATGGCGTCCAATGAGTTCAGATAGGGAACAACAGGGCCGAAAACGAGGGGCGGGTTGATGGTAGCAATATCAAAATTCGGCTTTTCCTTCTCCACAAATTCCCAAGCAGCCTTCTCAGCAAACGTCTACATGCGGTAAAATTAGTGTGTGATGATTCAACCTTCAGAAGGGGCCATCTTGCCTTGCTTGCTCTATATGTTTGAGCAGGATCCATGGCCTCCTCCCATGTCACAGGGTTCCAATTCTCCTCACTGTACACCTTCACATGCGCTTTGGGGTTGACAATTGCAGCGAATGATGATGTGACCACACTGCGTTGGACGGTTGGAGCATGCGCTTTAATTGCTTTCAATATGCCGGTAGTACCCTTCACAGCTGGCTCTAAAAAGTCTTTCACTGGGTCTGAGATATTGAAGTGAAATGGCGATGCGGTGTGTAGAACATAGTCAAAAGGCGGATCGGATCTAACGGCCTAGATTAAGCAATGCTTTAGCCGTGATCCGAGCATCAATGCAGCGGAATCATCATCGTACTTCGTCAAATGCACCATCTGCTGCAACATCTTCGACAATGACATAAGAGAGTTGTTTTCTCGGCGTGTGGGGGTGAGCAGCAAGAATCTTCTGGCCTTTCTCATCCGACCGCACCGTGACCACAGTATCAAAGCTGTAGGACACAGCGGTCAGCGAAAAGACCTAGCAGATTCGGACTGAATTGCACAGCACTTACCCTCGCTCCAAGAGGTTGTCGATAATGTGAGCAGCAATGAAGCCACTACCTCCTGTAGCATGGCGTCAATCGCTTTCACGAGAAAACACTATGGACCGGGGATTTCCTACCAGTCAGTAGAACCTTGGGCATGATGATGGTAACTGTACTTGTTTGAATCGGTGGGAACTAGAAGAGGCGGATTCTAGGATAATTTCTTGTTGCGTTTGAGCCAAAATCGAGCGACGCTCTCTCACCTTTTAAATGTTTGGAGATTGTACCGTTACCCCTCAAATGACGAACTATAAGCACCCCCACTGCGATCCACTGTCGGTCATGTCTACGAAATCTACGACTAGGCGCCCGCTTCGATTACAAATACCAGGCGAGTAACTAAAGGTGATAGGGGACTGCCGTCTAAGTCCGTAATCTTGTTGACTATGACAGATAGACCTTGCCCATTGAACTTACGCCAAAGCTTCTCTAAGCGTGACCTCGGATGGCGGGTTCGATGACATCGCTCTATCTCCATCGTTAGTCTAGACTGGATTTTACGATAACATCGTTGCTCAATGCCTAGTTCAACAGAAGTGTCGACTTGAACTAGTTATAGTAAGCAGATTAGGCAACTGATCCCGTTCGCAGCAATCAGCACATCAACCATTGCTCAATCATCTTGGGAGGCTTAACGGCTCAACACCATGTTTTGTTCTGTGCAGCACTTCCAGTAATTTCTTTTGTCCATACCATGAGAAGCACAGGCATCTTCCATACATATTTTCTCTCGGAGTAGACCAGCTCGGGTGTCAATCAAGCACACTAGCAAGGCATTTGAGAAATCGATATGGACAGGTTTTATCAGCATGCTTGATGATATACAAACATGCCTGCAAGTAGCCAAGTCCTTGACACGTCTCATTTTGTGCTCTCACTAACACTAGAAAGTAGTGGCCAGGCTATTGTGATATGCTTGTTTCAGATTTCAGGACATGTTAGAGAGTAAAACAGACAGGCATGCTGCATACGGACTACGACTAGGCCGTAGAACCGGTACATAAGTTAATGAATGGTCAAGTCAGCGCCGCCCACTTACGGCACCAACAAGGCAGCCTATACTCGATGCCTTAGGCCAAGATGGTCCGTGCGCGGGATCCCGGAGGCCGTCGACCTCACCTCCCGCATCGCTCGAGGCCGCCTATATCGGCTCTCCACCCCATGTTCAACTCGTGTCATCGTGCATGCCCTAGAGGTTGACTTCAAATGTCCACCCTGGGGTGTGGTACGCAATATGGCGCAAGCAGGTCCTATCACGGATGTCACTCAACGACTCTTCGTCGAGTTAAAGTCTAAGAACGAGGAAACGCGAGTTCGAGCTGCTTATGAGCTTTATGACAATGTCGTTGCTATCTCTAGAGGTAACACTTTTGGCATCGGTCGCACGGATACTAAGGCTAACAATTGATTTGCTGGTATTAGATTGGCCCCCTGAGAAGTTCCTCGAGTTCTTCAACGCCGTTAGCCAGCGCATTGCACAGCTCGTGGTTACCGGCAATGACGCACACGACAAGATCGGTGGCCTGCTGGCTCTCGATCGCCTAATAGATTTCGATGGTGTGGACGCGGCTCAGAAAACAACTCGGTTCGCTAGCTATCTCCGCAATGCCCTACGAAGCAACGATAATGCGGTTTTGATTTACGCAGCTCGGGCACTTGGCCGTCTGGCGAAGCCCGGTGGAGCTCTTACGGCAGAACTGGTCGAGAGTGAAATACAATCTGCTCTAGAGGCTCTTCAGTCGGAGCGGCAGGAAAGCAGGCGGTTCGCTGCTGTACTTGTCATTCGAGAGCTTGCCAAAGGCTCTCCAACACTGCTCTATGGCTTTGTCTCCCAAATATTCGAGCTTATCTGGGTCGCTCTTCGCGATCCCAAGGTGCTTATCCGAGAGACGGCAGCAGACGCTGTTAGCGAATGCTTTGAAATCATTGCCGCCAGAGACATGCAGGTCCGACAATTATGGTTCGCGCGAATCTACGAAGAGGCACTGCTAGGTCTCAAATCCAGTAACGTGGATTGGATTCATGGATCGCTTCTGGTTCTCAAAGAGCTATTATTGAAGGGAGCCATGTTTATGAACGAACATTACCGAAATGCATGCGAGATTGTTCTTCGTCTCAAAGACCACCGTGATCCAAAAATACGCACCCAGGTCGTTCTGACCATTCCAATCCTCGCCTCTTATGCGCCACTCGATTTCACAGAAACTTACCTTCATAGATTCATGATTTATCTTCAAGCGCAACTCAAGAGAGACAAGGAACGCAATTCTGCTTTCATCGCGATCGGAAAGATTGCCAATGCTGTTGGTGTTGCGATCGCACAATACCTCGATGGTATCATCGTTTACATTCGAGAAGGTCTTGCAATGAAAGCGTAAGATACAGTTCCTGTCCAGCATAAATCAGTATCGGTCAAGCTAACCATTACAAGACGAAACCGCGCTGCTGTAGATGAAGCACCGATGTTCCAATGTATCAGTATGTTGTCGCTGGCTGTGGGACAAGCACTCAGCAAGTACATGGAAGCCCTACTTGACCCTATCTTTGCATGCGGGTTGAGCGAGTCTCTTACTCAAGCTTTGGTGGACATGGCTCATTATATACCTCCCATCAAACCGACAATTCAAGAGAAACTCTTGGACATGTTGAGTCTGATTCTCTATGGTACCCCTTTTCGGCCCTTGGGTTGTCCGGAGAGCAGACTGCCACCCATGCCCTCGTTTGCCAGAGATTTCAGTCCTCAGGAGCTCCACTCTGATACCGAAATTGCACTTGCACTTCACACTCTTGGGAGCTTTGACTTTTCAGGACATATTCTTAATGAGTTTGTTCGTGATGTCGCGATCAATTATGTCGACAATGACAACCCTGAGATTCGAAAGGCATCCGCACTCACTTGCTGCCAGCTATTTGTCCACGACCCCATCATCAACCAGACAAGTAGTCATTCGATACAAGTTGTCAGTGAAGTCATTGACAAGCTCCTTACTGTCGGCGTAGGAGACCCAGACCCAGAGATCCGGCGTACAGTCTTGTGGTCCTTGGACCGCAAGTTTGACCGTCATCTTGCAAGACCGGAAAATATCCGTTGCCTGTTCCTAGCGGTTAATGACGAAGTATTTCCTGTTAGAGAGGCTGCTATCTGCATCATTGGTCGTCTGTCCAGTGTTAACCCGGCATATGTGTTTCCTCCACTGCGCAAACTACTCGTCAATCTCTTAACAAGCCTGGGCTTTGCAAGCACTGCTCGTCAGAAGGAAGAGAGCGCCCAGCTGATCAGTCTCTTTGTTTCGAACGCTACAAAGCTAATTCGCTCGTACGTGGATCCAATGATCACTACACTACTGCCGAAAGCGACTGATGCGAATCCGGGAGTTGCCTCGACCACACTGAAGGCTGTTGGGGAGCTAGCAAGCGTTGGTGGCAGCGAAATGAAGACCTACCTGCCGCAACTCATGCCAATCATTCTTGATGCATTGCAGGATCTGTCATCTCATGCGAAGCGAGAGGCAGCCTTGCGAACTCTGGGACAACTGGCTAGCAACTCTGGCTATGTTATTGATCCGTACCTTGAGTACTCTCATCTTCTCGCTGTACTGATCAATATCATTAAGACCGAACAGACTGGATCTCTCCGCAAGGAGACCATCAAAGTTCTAGGGATCTTAGGAGCCTTGGACCCCTACAAATACCAGCAAATAAGTGAAACTGCGCCCGATATCCATCACATCAATGAGGTGCAAACTGTGTCCGATGTTGCTCTCATAATGCAGGGTCTGACACCATCCAACGACGAATACTATCCGACGGTCGTCATCAACACACTGATGCAAAACATATTGCGCGAGAACTCTCTAGCCCAGTACCACTCTGCAGTCATCGATGCAATTGTCACAATCTTCAAAACATTGGGCCTGAAGTGCGTGCCTTTCCTTGGACAAATCATCCCCGGGTTCATTTCCGTCATCAGGGGATCTCCCCCCAGCCGCCTCGAATCTTACTTCAATCAGCTGGCAGTCTTGGTGAATATCGTACGACAACACATACGGGCTTTTCTTCCAGAGATCATCGAAGTCGTTCGTGATTTCTGGGATGCGTCTTATCAAGTTCAAGCTACAATATTGTCCTTGGTTGAGGCTATCGCCAAATCCCTAGAAGGAGAGTTCAAGAAGTATCTTGCAGGGCTCATTCCGCCTATGCTTGACACGTTTGAGAAAGATAATACTCCGCGCCGGCAACCTTCTGAGAAGATCCTACACACCTTCCTGGTTTTTGGCCCAAGCGGCGAGGAGTACATGCACTTGATTGTGCCTTCTATCGTGCGCTTGTTCGACCGAACACAGAATCCGACAAGTATACGGAAGTCCGCGATCGAGACCCTCACTAAACTATCACGTCAAGTCAATGTTTCGGACTTCGCATCTCTAATGGTTCACTCTTTATCACGGGTGGTTGCTGGTAATGACCGCACCTTACGGCAGGCTGCCATGGATTGTATCTGTGCACTTATCCTCCAGCTCGGTCAAGACTTCAACCATTACATACACCTGGTAAACAAAGTGTTGAGGGTAGTCCAATTCAGTCATCACAACTTTAATACCTTGGTGACCAAGTTGCAAAAAGGAGACCCTCTTCCACAGGATTTAAACAACCCTGATGAGAATTATGCTGCACTTGCAGATGATGCCAACTATGCAGAGATTGGACAAAAGAAAATGCTCGTCAATCAGCAACATCTTAAGAGTGCATGGGACGCTTCTCAGAAATCCACCCGAGAGGATTGGCAGGAATGGATCAGGCGTTTCAGCGTGGAGCTTCTGAAAGAATCGCCCTCTCCGGCTCTACGCGCATGCGCAAGCTTGGCAGGCATCTATCAGCCTTTAGCACGGGACTTGTTCAACGCTGCCTTCGTTTCATGCTGGACCGAGCTCTATGATCAGTATCAAGAGGAGTTGGTTCGCTCAATCGAAAAAGCTTTGACTTCGCCAAATATTCCACCCGAAATTCTTCAGGTTCTGCTTAACTTGGCGGAGTTTATGGAGCACGATGACAAAGCTCTCCCTATTGATATCCGCACTCTGGGTAAGTACGCCGCCAAGTGCCACGCCTTCGCCAAAGCTCTTCACTACAAGGAGCTCGAATTTGAACAAGATCAGAACTCCGGGGCAGTTGAGGCATTGATTACTATCAACAACCAACTTCAACAGTCTGATGCCGCTATCGGAATTCTCCGCAAGGCGCAGGCATATCGAGACGTTGAACTGAAAGAAACATGGTTTGAGAAGCTTCAGCGCTGGGAGGAAGCTCTCGCTGCCTACAAGCGGCGTGAGAGGATTGACCCCGACTCCTTCGGAGTTACCATGGGTAAAATGCGCTGTCTTCACGCTCTTGGAGAGTGGAAAGTCCTCTCAGACCTTGCTCAGGAGAAGTGGAACCAAGCGTCACTCGAGCACCGACGAGCAATAGCACCCCTGGCCGCTGCCGCTGCCTGGGGCCGTGGACAGTGGGAACTCATGGACTCATATTTGGGTGTGATGAAAGAACAATCCCCGGATCGCTCTTTCTTCGGCGCAATCCTGGCTATTCATCGAAATCAGTTTGATGAAGCTACGATGTACATTGAGAAGGCGCGCAATGGCCTCGACACCGAACTTTCGGCCTTGTTGGGCGAGTCGTACAACCGTGCTTATAATGTTGTTGTGCGCGTCCAGATGCTTGCTGAGCTTGAGGAAATCATCATCTACAAACAGAACATTGGCGATCCTGAAAAGCAGGAATCCATGCGACAGACCTGGAACAAACGGCTTCTTGGATGCCAGCAGAATGTGGAGGTATGGCAACGCATGCTCAAGGTTCGCGCACTTGTTACATCGCCTCGCGAAAATCTTGAAATGTGGATCAAGTTCGCCAATCTATGCCGAAAATCCAATCGGATGGGTCTCGCGGAGCGATCTCTCGCATCACTGGAAACTACTGTATCTGACAGCAATGGCACACGGGTCATCGCTCCCCCAGAAGTTACTTATGCCCGTTTGAAGTTCAACTGGGCTACTGGCCGTCAGCGTGAAGCGTTACAAATGCTCAAAGAGTTCACCTCGAGCCTCACAGAAGACTTCACCCGATACAACACCCTTATGATGTCACAGTCTGATCACGGCGGAGTTAATGGGGTCAATGGGGTGAACGGGGTGAACGGAGTGAACGGTGTTGCTGATGCGAATCATCCTGATGTACAAGGGCTAAGAGAACGTATCGGTGATGTGGCCAAGTTCAGGAAGCTACTGGCTAAGAGTTACTTACGGCAAGGAGAATGGCAGACTGCCATGCAACGAGGGGATTGGCGACCTGAGCATGTTCGTGAAGTGCTCAACGCTTATGCCGCTGCCACAAACTACAATCGCGATTCGTACAAAGCATGGCATTCATGGGCCTTGGCAAACTTTGAAGTCGTAACAACCATTGCTAGCCAGGCCAGCAGGGATGGCACGACAATGGCGATGGTTCCAGGTCACATAGTGACGGAACATGTTATCCCTGCAATTCGAGGCTTCCTCCGGTCCATCGCGTTATCATCAACGTCTTCCCTTCAGGACACTTTGCGTCTCTTGACTCTCTGGTTCACTCATGGTGGTGATTCAGAAGTGAACAACGTCGTCGTCGAGGGCTTCACCGCAGTCAATATCGACACCTGGCTCGCAGTTACCCCCCAGCTTATAGCGCGGATTAATCAGCCCAACATCAGGGTTCGAGGGGCTGTTCACCGACTCCTTTCTGAAGTGGGCAAAACACATCCTCAAGCATTAGTCTATCCATTGACAGTCGCGATGAAATCGAATGTCACTAAGCGTTCGCAATCTGCCAGCAGCATCATGGACAACATGCGACAGCACAGCGCAAAGTTAGTGGAACAAGCCGATCTCGTTAGTCATGAACTCATTCGAGTCGCGGTCCTGTGGCATGAATTGTGGCATGAAGGTCTGGAGGAGGCCTCTCGACTCTACTTCGGTGATCACAATGTCGAAGGGATGTTCGCAACGCTCGCACCTCTGCATGACATGCTTGATAAAGGGGCAGAAACATTGCGTGAGGTATCTTTTGCCCAGGCTTTCGGTCGTGACCTGGCTGAGGCGAAGCATTATTGTATGCTTTTCCGTGAGACCGAGGAAATCGGAGATCTGAACCAGGCATGGGACCTCTACTATACCGTGTTCCGCAAGATTAGTCGGCAGCTTCCTCAATTGTCGATCCTTGATCTCAAATATGTCTCTCCGAAACTCAAGGACTGCGTGGACCTTGATCTTGCCGTTCCTGGAACCTACCAGAGCGGTAGACCTATCATTCGAATTGTCAGCTTTGATCCTATTCTGCATGTTCTGCAAACCAAGAAGAGACCGCGTAGAATGACGCTGAAGGGCAGCGACGGAAATTCATACATGTACGCGCTCAAAGGACATGAAGATATCCGGCAAGACGAGAGAGTCATGCAGCTATTCGGCCTTGTCAATACCCTTCTGGATAGCGATGGCGAGAGTTTCAAACGCCATTTGTCCGTGCAGCGGTTCCCTGCCATTCCTCTATCTCAAAGCTCCGGTCTTTTGGGCTGGGTTTCCAACAGCGACACGTTGCACGCATTGATTAAAGAATATCGTGAGAGCCGACGGATATTGCTGAATATTGAGCATCGTATCATGCTTCAGATGGCACCGGACTACGATAATCTCACCCTCATGCAGAAAGTGGAAGTCTTTGGGTACGCCATGGACAACACCACCGGAAAAGACCTTTATCGTGTCCTTTGGCTCAAAAGCAAGAGCTCTGAGGCATGGCTTGAGCGGCGGACGAACTACACTCGATCTCTCGGGGTTATGTCTATGGTCGGTTATATCCTTGGTTTGGGCGATCGCCATCCGTCTAACCTGCTTCTCGACCGAGTCACTGGCCGAGTGGTTCACATCGACTTTGGTGATTGCTTTGAGGTGGCCATGCACCGAGAGAAGTATCCAGAACGGGTGCCTTTCCGGCTTACTCGGATGTTAACATTCGCCATGGAAGTCAGCAACATCGAGGGCAGTTACCGGATCACATGTGAGGCGGTTATGCGTGTGCTAAGAGAAAACAAAGACTCGCTTATGGCTGTGCTCGAAGCGGTAAGTTATCTTCCTCATTTCCTCGAAATCCCTAGCGAAACAATTAATCTAACTGTCCGACTGTCCGATAAATAGTTCATCCATGATCCTCTAATCAACTGGCGCCTGGGGGTTCGCGAGTCACCAGATCGTATGCCATTCTCCGCGGAGCGTCGGCAGTCTGTTGTTTCCAATATCAACCTTGAACATGGCGTCCAGCCAAGCAACTTTTCACGCCACCGCCGCCCTTCAATTCTCGAAGGCGGTATTCTGGATGCGCAGGAAGGAATCCCCAATGAAGCACGGGAGGCACAGAATGCACGAGCACTTCAAGTCCTCGCGCGAGTCAAGGAGAAGTTGACCGGCAGAGACTTTAGGCCCAACGAGGAGCTTAATGTCAGCGATCAAGTTGACAAGCTTCTTGCTCAAGCCACCAGCGTGGAGAATATTTGCCAACATTGGATTGGTTGGTGCAGTTTCTGGTGAATATCTTCTTTTGCTGAACATGAATTTCTGGTTTTCGCAAAGGCGCAAATTGTGATGACGGACTTTTTTGCATGGCATGGCTACCATTTCGCTTCTTCCGTATTGACCCCCTTGCACCTACATGACTATCTTGTGTGTCTTCTCTTTCTCCTTCTGCTTCTTCTTCTTCTTTCAGTGTGTAGTACTATTATTTGTATCTGCGTCCTTCGGGGTTTCCCTTCCTACTCCCTCCGAGGAAGTACAAACTTTCGGGAGCTACCGTTCACGTTAATACCATCATGATCTCCTCAGATGAAGGCGACATAGTGCTCGAGCCCGGAAGACTTATGGGATAGACGGTTAATTGGTGAATTGAAACTTGTTTTCGTGCCAGCTTTGCAGAAAAATCAAGCATATACACCCTTGTATGGTTGTTGCATGGTTGCGTAGAGCGGGAGCAGCACGTGTCCGATGACTAGCCGAGGTCACGAGTCACTCGTGACGGCAAACACAGGATGAAGGAATCCCTTCGACTTTCCTTCCATCTTATTTACCTTTCCCTGCGACCCATTCGTGCTCTCTTCTATATGTCATCTTCCATGATGTAAAAGGAATCACTCCGGCTACCATCAGCTTGAGAATGGCGTCAGATATCTCCCCGGACCCCAGATCTCATCCTGTGGTTCGCTCCCTTCTCCGCATTTCCCTCAGCGCCAAGGAGTACAAACGTCTCCACGATTATGCCATCCAACGCGCTCCTTCATCCTTTCAGGGCAGGCTTCCTTCGCCGTCCAAGTACGAAGCCATCATTCGCTCGAAAAACAAGCACAACGCCGCTGCTGTGCGGGCTTCGTTGCGAGTATTCCTACTCTCGTTGTCCCTCACGAAGCTGGCTGAGGGTGTGATGAGCCGGATACGCGGTGATATACCGAGGTACAGATGCCTCTTCATTTGCATTGTGGACCGGCGATCATTAACATGAATTCTATCTCTTTGAGTAGTAGCAAGTCGAGCATCTCTTCCACCCGCTCCTCTAAGCTTCGTGTTTCCGCCTCCTTCGCGCTTATCCTTCTCTTCCATCGGTTCCTTTATCGCTTCTTCGTTAAGCTGCGCGCCAACCTTCGCACAGACGACGCGCGGCCATTCCGGGATCGCAATCCGCGAATCTCCCAGGTGCTGACTTCACGCTTTGCTCCTGCCATTGGGGGTAGTCTCGCAGGATTTGCGCTTGGGATTTGCCCACGGAGCCAGTTTCGCATAATAGCAGCAATCTACTCGGCCACTCGTGGCTTGGAATTCTTGTTCAATGTACTGGATGAGAAGGGGTGGTTTGAGAATCGGCCTTCATGGTTTGGTAGTTGGTTGTTGATGCCCGTGGCTTGCGCGCAGCTTTTCCATTCTTTTATCTTCGATCGAGAAGCTGTACCTACCGTAAGTGAAAGGAACTAGTTATTCTCCCCCTTGAATATTGAAGGCTGACCGCAACACGCAGTGGCTTACAAAAGTGATCCTCGGACTCTCTCCGAGTTACATCGGTGGTCGTCCTGATAGTCTGCCTATGGATGTCGCATGGCCTGGAAAGGAGGATGTTGTCGATTCGCTCGCACATATATCCGCTCTGAAGTGGCCGTGAGTGATGCCAGCCATCTATCACAGCCCAACTCCTCTGATGCTGACCCATCGCCAGATCATTTGTCTCACCAATCCTACATCCCGGCAGTTCAAAGGTACTGCCTTCGTCACTGACGTCAATCTCACCTGTTACTGGTTCTGCCCACCCGGCCATCTCCAGTTTGTCATGCGCTTTGCTTCATCCTAGTAGCCCCAGCTGCAGTACCGCCTTCCTGCATCATATCCTTCTCTCCGTGCCGCCCCTGACCCGCTTCTTGACCGCTATCAGCCTGGCGCTCTCGTTGCGTAAAATCAAAAACCTGGCGTTGCATCCCATCTCATCTCTCAACGACCTTTCGCAGAAGATCATGAAACTCACCGCCGTTCTCTCGGCATCTGCGGGCACCGCTTGGGCCAGCATTTGCCTCTGGAACTCAGTCCTCCCCCGGTCGACCCTGCCCACCAAGCGCTTCTATCTGAGCGGCGCCCTGGCAGGAGTCCCATTCGCGGTCCTCGGGTCAAAACGCGGTCTCTTTCTATACTTCTTCCGCACCGCTCTAGCCACAGCCTGGAAGACAGCGGCCAAGCGGGGATCGTGGACCGGGTGGAACAACGGAGAGCTGGGCATCATTGTGGCCAGCTGGGCGCTGGTGGGGTGCATTCTCGAGTCCCGCCCCGCAGCGGTGCAAGGGAAGGGCGTGAGGAAGGCTCTGTCGTGGATGAGAGGGGACGGGTTTGCCGATCCATTGAAAGTCGCGGAGAAACGGAAGGCAAAGAAGGCAGCAGCCGCGCAGAAGAAGACGGAGGATGATGCTTCGACGTGATATGGCAATGCAACTCTGGGCCCTCCCGCCTCGCGGTCTTTTGTATCGACTTAGTTTGTTCATTCACGGAGCTGGCTTCGGTCGTTATTATCTTGCATATAGCTTAGCTAGCTGTAGTGTATTTTGTGCTGTTTGATCTTGGGGATCGAATTACGACACGCACACTTGACCATTTTTCTGTGGCATGTGGCGGTACCTAGCGAAACTCGGAAACTTACACCAAACATGTGTCTTTTGTATGATGGTATTCATATTTGCGCAAAACTCTCATCATAGCGACAAATCTTTACATTTCTTCAGACGCAAGTAAATGCTAGAAATTCAATAATATCCGATGTGGTGTAACGGCTAACATCGCCGTCTTTCACACGGCAGCTCGGGGTTCGATTCCCCGCATCGGAGAATCTCTTTTGCTTTTTGTTGGTTGTTGTTTTTTTTCTTTTTTTTTTTTTTTTTTTTTTTTTTTTTTTCCCCGGGAATCGAACCCCCGAGTTGCCTTGGGAAAGATAGCGCCTTATTGGTGTGGACCTTTTTGCATCTCTGTGTCGAACCCTAACGTGGTAGAGGGAATTACCAAGAAGAGTGGTTTGTTGTACTCATGTCAATCTTTTGTCATTGTTGTCAATTAGGCTAAAATATCTGAATCCTCGAACCAAACACCACAAAAAAAGCCAATGGATCTAATTTGTCTATCATGATCCCCCTCTTCTACAGTCTCGCCATAGGGATACGGTTTCCCTGCTGATCAAAGTTGATCTTCTCGCCTGTGATAAGACTCTCCTGCAAGGCAGCCCCGATACGCACCGCCTGGACGGCCCCTTCCAGCTTCACAGGCACGGGTGTGTCCTCGATGCAGCAGGCGGTGAACTCGTTGGCCTCGGTGACGAAGGCGTATTCGAAGCGGTCGTAATAGTGCTGGGGCAGCTCGCGGCGGAGGCCGGACTCGTCGAAGATGTTGACCAGGTTGATGGCGGGCTGAGTGTTGACGGCCAGCTTGCCCTTGGTGCCGATGATCTCGGTGGAGTCCTCCTGGCCGGCGGCCATCATGCGCGAGGCATAGAAGTAGGCGATGCGGCCGTCGTAGAACTCGACCAGGCCGACGGCGTTGTCGCGGTCGTTGTGCTTGCGGAGGTCGGGCTCCACGGCGGTGATGCCCACGGCTGAGACGGACTTGACCTTGCTGTCCTGGCCGAAGAACCACAGCGCCAGGTCGATGTCGTGGATCGAGCAGTCCACGAAGATCCCGCCGGAGAACTCCGCGTAGGCAACGAAGAATCCCGTCGGGTCCAGCTTGTCGCACGTCTGGCTGCGTATCACCGAGGCGGTGCCGATCGCCCCGGCCGACATCTTGCTGTGGGCGTCCCGGTAGGAGGCGTCGAAGCGGCGCGAGAATCCGCACATGACTTTGAGGTGAGGCTTCTTGGCTGCGGCGTCGAGGACTGATTGGGACTGTATTCAATTTAATTTGCAGACGTTAGTTCAGAAGAAGGCCAAGTAAGTTTGTTCATGGTTAGGTTGGGGGAGGGGGGGAGGGGAGGGCGCATGCAACAATGGTAGCTATATAGATTCCCCACATACAATTTCAACACTTGTGGACAAAGGCTTCTCGCACAAAACGTTCTTGTCGGCCTCAATGGCCTTGATGGCTTGCTCTGCATGCACGGCGGTAGCGGAGGCAACGACCACCGCCTCCAGACCCTCATGCTTCAGCATGTCATCGTAGTTCTTGTATAGCTTCACACCGTATGGGGCCAGGTGGACCTTGCCCCATTCCAATTCACTGTCGTCCGGCGTGCTGACGGCGACGAGCTCGGCACGAGGTGTACGCTGTAGGAAGTTGAGAGCATGGCGCTTGCCCATGCGACCGAGACCGGCACAGCCCACCTTCAATCTTCTGGCAGACATTGTGAATGTGATTGTGGGGAAGGGTGAGGGATTGGTGAAGGGGAGGGGGAGGAATGGCGAATTGCGTAGGAGAGTTGGAATAAATGAGGAGAATAGAGCAGTGAATGAGACGATGAACAGCGAGGTAGGCGGATTTTAACCGCGACGCGCAGCCGCACCAAGAGTCGGTCTGGGTTTCCTCTTCTTTTTTTCTAAAAAAACCTTGAGGGGAAGATGCGGAGAAAGCTGGGTGACTGCTGGAGCTGCCGACCAGCCAAGGAGACTAGTCTGTCAATATCTCTTTGTCAATTGGTAAGTCACACCGTAGCTTAACTACAGATTACCATCAGTTTACGAGGTATGCCATTCCATCGGCATATCGAACAGCCACCGTTCCGGGGGGGAGTGGAAATCGCGGGGGTGAGACAGTGGCGTAAGTGGAGATTCATCCAGACCGACTGCCAGCTTTTGCCGACCCTTTCGGAAACGAGATTCCTATGCATTCTGGTCGGTACATCAAGAGGACAATCAGAAAGCAGATCTAACATCTTCTGTTTGCTGGACAACATAGAGAGTGAGAGTAGAAATTGAAGAGGTTCTAATATTACTCAAAACAATTTTTACAACCACAGACGCGGGCGGGGAAAACTCCCCTTTCCGGGGCCGGACCCCAGAGCACCGCGGGGAATATCCCCTTGGGCGAATGCTTCATCCAGCTGCTTTGTGACAGAAATCCCTTCTGACATGAAGATGTATAAAAAGTTAATGCTTCATGATTCTGCGGAGTAAACATTGAACAGCAATAGGTGTCAGAAGATGGCAATCTAGTGGTAGTAAAAGAGAATAACAATGTGCACTCGTCACCATAGGCAAACCAACACGGGATAAACTCCACTCTTACTGGGCTCAAGGACTCAATTATCCTCAAGAGGGGGGGTCCCTTCCCTGTATCAATCTGGATATACTTCCACTGCAAGTTACACTGTCTGTCCTGTATGTTGAGAGATGGTTAAGTTCAAATTGAGTAATTATGTCACCCCCAGCAGTAACTTAACGAAGTAACTTAACGTAACCAACTCATATTAAGTTACTACAAACCCGGATCATGTGTAAGATTTACCAATAACTACGCTTTTGATCCAACTAACCAAGAATAAACGCTAAGATCAAAACACAAGAACACTCACCAGTCTAATGCAGCTTACGTGCATCGTGAGAGAGCTTCCTCACAACTCGGCCACGACTCGGTAATGACTTGACTGAGAAAAGAATCCCCGCACCCCCACGCCCCCCGTTCCCGACTACCCCCGACTCGGGAAATCGTTCCCGAAACCGCTCCATGTCTTGGCGCGGAGATAACTCTTAACGTGGAATTAATTTTGAAGACTGCGCTCGAGCTTTTCGCGCACCGAGAAGAATGCTTGGCCTGGTCAAGCTTGGTCGCGATCTGAGATTAACTTCGTTCGCGGTCGATCAGGATGAGAGCCTCCAATACTACAATATGTGTTGAAGGTGGCTTTGTATACAAGCTGGTATAGAGGGTGGAGGGGGGGGGAGGGTGCCGGGTGCCACGGCATACCGTATCGTCTACACGTCTTGGTATGATCGCCGACAGGGATGGTGACCTGGTAATGCTTTACTCAGAAGCTCTCGGCTTCAGCTTAAAAAGTCTTACAGTATGCATACCGCGAAGGCAATAGATACTACAAAGTAGTCAGAAGTGACTTCTTGACCATTCGTTCATTCGAGGATAACATTGTAAATTTATTCGTGAACCATCGCTTGCATGAATATAAGACATAAAACCAGACACAACAACTAAGTGGCAAACTGGATAAGCATATATTTGTCTGCCTATCCAGGGTATCGTCTACCACTTGATGACCCTGTTGGGGAAGTACTCGTCGATCAATTCGAGGTAGTAAGGCTTCGGTGTATTGGTCAGCTTTGTCTTCGGGGTCATACTGAAGAAGTGAAAACCGTACCTTGAGCTCCTCAGCGCTGGGAATGTCATCACTCTTGCTGTACAGGTCGTAAGGGTTGAAGGCCTTGACAGCCTTGAACATCTCTTTGTCCTTCTCGTTCATCAGCTCCTGGTATGCGCCAGCGTTGTGCCAGGGGTAGAAAGAGTGGTAGCGAATCATGGCCAGGGCCTCAGGGGGCAGAGTCGACTGCTCCTTAACAACGTGGTAGAGATATTCATCGTGACCCCAGGAGATCATCACATTGTCGAGTCCGCAGCCGGGGCTGTAGATGCCGTACTGGGTGTCATAGATCTCGTGGCCGAAGTCTGGGTTCTCCTTGAACGATTCGCGCCCGTAGATAATGCGATCGTCAAAAGCGCAGCCAACGGGGAATGTGTCGCCGACAACATCCCACTGGCCTTGGGCGTCAAAGAAGTACAGCAGCTTGCCCAAATCGTGAATCAGACCAGTTAGCTGCATCCAGCGGGGCTTGCCGTCCCGACGGATGGCCTCAGCAGATTGCAGGAGATGCTCAATCTGAGAAAGGCTGGTGTCCGGGTCGGACTCATCAATCAGAGTATTCAACCTCTCTATCGCCTCCCACACGCTCATTTCAGCACGAGTCTTTGAGTGGAATGCATTGCGCGCCTTGAGGTTGTAGGCCACCGTCTGCTTGGTGTGCTGCTCTTTGTAGAAGTTCTTGACCCGGTCACAGGCATCCTCGTATTGACGGAACTGGGTCTTGTCCTTCTCCTTGTCGAATTCGGACTCCTCGTACAGACCCTTTTCCTTTTCCTCTTTCAAGTTGGTCTTGAGGACATTGACTGTGTCAATGGCATCTGATAGGTCCTCGAGGGCCTGGCCATCGCGTTTAGTGTTGAACACGGGAGTCTCTGGAGTGACTGCGACTGGTGCCATAGTGTTGGTATGTATGGTGTGGATATGAAAACGTTTTTTTTTTTGAAAAGACCTGAAGATCTCCTTTTGGGGTTCTTCGAAGTTGCCCTGGGTATCACAAAAGAGTTGTTGGATAGAGAATGAAGCAACGCGAGGCGACACGGACATAAATATGATTATTCTATTCTCTCGGCGACATGAGCTAGGATACCCCAGAAACAGAAAACATTATTGAGATTGCCAAACGCCGAGTATCGCGCATTGGCTGATCTACTGCAAGGCATGACGTTGCGTGATTCCAGAAGACCCGAGCCAGATGCTCCCACCAGCGTGACACCCCGCCTCCCCCACGCCAGGAGGTCGGATTCTGGGTTCCGAACACAGGACACTGGGAGGATTCGCCCTGGGGGTAACTTTCTCCGCCATTGTGGGACAGAGAGGCTCGCAAATAGAGCTGGTGAGCCAACCAGAAGAGCAGTAGTGGCTGCGGAGGAGGGCCATCGATCATGACCTCCACAGTGAGGTGGAGGCTTCCTGGGCCTCTGGGGGTGGAAACACAGGTCCTGGATTCTGGTTTCCGATGGCGGGTTCGCATGCCGCCTGTTATTCAACCAAACAGAATTCCTTCATTTGTCAGGGGGGCCTGGCCTCGATTAGGTTGGCCTTCCTGCAAAATATGATCATCGCGATGGATGCTCATGTAACTTTTGCATCATCTGACCTGCCGTTTGACGATTATCTGATGATCATTGGCAACAAGATTAATCGTACTGTATTATCCCCGCGTGTGGCTTGGATGTTGATTGATGGGTGCCCAGGGATTGCAGCTGTCCAGCCAAACTGTATCCATGGTTGAAAAACAGGAGTAGTAAACTCTGCTCAGAAGCCATCGTAAGCCATAATACCTCTTTCTTTTTGAGTCGATCTTGAGGCAGTCGGTGCAAAGTCCCTCCGAGGGAATGTTGCTGGGTGTAAATTCCGGGGTAAAAAGGTTGACGAGCAGGAGAGGAGTTGCTCCGGGAATTGCTCCGATGCTAGTGCGGGGTAGTTTACGCCCCTCCTTCTCCTCTTCTCTTTTCCTCTCTTCCTGCTATCTGTTCTCTTCTGTCCTTCTTGTTTCTTCTCCTGTTTCAATTTCCTCTCTAAGGGTATCCCATCGTAAACGTGTGCTCAAGCCTCAATTCCACCCCTATTCTTCAAAGAAACCGTCGCCATTCATCATGGGTCTCGCCGACACGCGCTTCAAGCTCAACACCGGAGCTGAGATCCCAGCGCTGGGTCTCGGTACGTGCTATGCCATCACCAATCGTGTATGACCAGGTTTACTGATCGTACCGCACAGGAACCTGGCAGTCCGCCCCTGGAGAGGTCGAGAAGGCCGTGCGCCATGCCATTCAGGTCGGATACCGTCACATCGACACGGCATTCGCCTACCAGAACGAGAACGAAGTGGGCAAGGCGATTAACGAAGCCATCGCTGCCGGTGAAGTCAAGCGTGAGGAGCTATTCGTCACCACCAAGCTCTGGTGTACAGGGCACGCCCGGGTGGCGGAGGCTTTGGACCAAAGCTTGAAGACGCTGGGACTCGACTACCTTGATCTGTACCTCGTTCACTGGCCTGTGGCCATGAACCCGAATGGTTAGTAGTTATACTCAACCACAAACAACCCCCCCCCCATCTTCTCCATCTGCTACAAACACTACTTTGGGAGACTCCGACTGACTCCGTAAACAGGCAATCACCCAGTTGTTCCCAAGCTGCCCGACGGCTCGCGCGATATGCACCGCGACCACTCGCACGTCGAGACATGGAAGAGCATGGAAAAGCTGGTTGGCACCGGCAAGACAAAGGCCATTGGCGTCTGCAACTACAGCCGGCCCTACCTGGAGGAGCTCCTCGCTCAAGCCACCATCGTCCCCGCCGTCAACCAGATCGAGAACCACCCCGCCCTGCCCCAGCAGGAGGCCGTGGACTTCTGCAAGGAGAAGGGCATTCACATCACCGCGTACAGCCCTCTCGGCAGCACGGGTAGTCCGTTATTCTCCGCGGAGCCTATTGTCGAGGTGGCAAAGAAGAAGGACGTCTCCCCCGCTGCGGTCCTTCTGAGCTGGCACAGTATGTTTCACTCCCGCTTTTCAGAATTTTTGATGACTAACTGTTGATATCTCTTCCAGTTGCACGGGGCTCCTCCGTTCTCGCCAAGTCGGTGACTCCTTCTCGGATCGAGGCTAACCGCCAGCTGGTGGAGCTCGACGAGTCGGATCTGGCTACTATCGCCAAGTACACGGACGAGTTGGCTCGGACGAAGAGCTTCAAGCGTTACGTTTTCCCCCCATTTGGCGTTGACTTCGGTTTCCCCGACAAGATTGGCAGTGTATAAACCCCGAACGACATATCAGGACATACTTTATCTAGTACATACTTTATTGATGGCAGAAGGCTTATAGACAGATAGGGGCCATCAGATGGATGGCCCAATGGCGAGGACAAAGAGTACATACATGTATAAGACCTTATTGTAGAACTCTGCATGACTGAAATGACATTGGAGCGACGCTATATGGTACATGTACAACCGCTGGATTTGACAAAAGCATAAGGGAATGTTCCTAGTAACAGACTCATCACATGTTCATTGACCCCGAGTGAAGGTAGGCGATATAGACGAAGGCTTGCACGCGATTGGTTGATGTGAGAACAGCACGGGTCCAATTGTGCCCAACACAATGCATCGATGGTAAAATCAACTCAGCTCTCATTGCCCCCTCAAAGTGCTCACTCCGTCATGATCCAATGATCATAGCGTCCGCTATTCTAACTCGCCGATCCAAATGAAACTCCGGAGTAGTTCTAAGACAATTTTTGACTCGGCTCCCCCGAGATAGATTTCAGCCAAGGGCGAACCAGGCGGATAGCTTCAAGGCGGCTTTCGGAGAGTGAACTGGACGTTGGCAATGGGGTCACATCGAAACCAACCCACTTCCTTTCCAATTGGATCTCTTTCGGTCTGGATTCCTGAGAACCCGGAACCAGGTAGATTCTCTCTTGCCAACCCAGAAAATTGATCTCTTTAATCGTCTCCGGATCTGATGTCGAATTTCCCTCCTGCATCCAAACCAAGAGCCCCTGCAGACGGTTAATCTCGCGCTCAATCATGAGAGTATGCACCAGACTCGGTGACAGCAAGCCACGATTATTAAGAAGTTCCAGAGCTTCCAGAAGGTAGCCGTACGGTAAGCTCGAAAGAACCCATGAAGCCGTATAGACCTCATAACTGGGCCATAATTTGTCCTCGGCATCTGCTGAAGTAGTCTTCTTCTGGCCTTTGCTTTCGGTCTGTGGCCCGCCTGAGTTTTGGCGGTACCCGTAGCACAGTTCAAAGTCAGGTTTCAACCCGTCCACAATGAAACGAAGGCAGGCAGTGACTATCTCAGGAGCCCAGCGATTCTTGAAGTCCTGTGCCCCTGGCGTGCTGGACATTGACTTTCCGAGCGTAGGAGGGTTAGGGTCGAAGATTGTAGCAGCTTTCAAAGTGATGAAGTAGTCTTGAGGTCGGACCCCATACTGCAGAATCTCATCTATTGTCTCCCAGCTAATCAAGGCGATGGTCAGATCGATTCCGGCTTGAATGACATCAGTCAATTGCAAGCATGCTCCGGCTAGCGCATAGGAGTATGCCACCTCGGCCTTGGCCGTGCCGACTGGAAATGGAAGCTCGGTACAGTTTGTCTCAGTGTATCCCAGCAACTTGAGTGTCAATCCATGCAGGCGGCGACTATTCAAGAGTGACCCACCATACATATATTCCAGAGCATACTCAAAGCCATGTATCATGCATGATTTTGCGCTAAAGATTGCTGTGACCTGGTTATACCCTTGCACGTAGGCGGGGAACTTCAGTATGACCGCAATTGATGGGCTTCGTGCAATTATGATCTTATGTGTCTGTATAATTGCATGAGGTGTAGGGTCATGTTCGGTCATCAGCTCAAAGCCGAAGTCACACATTGCATGTGAGTGATATGATTCTAGAAGATAGGCCGACAGGCTAGACTTCGTCCTCAATTCCTGGTGCAAATCTGCGACTCGGTTAGCACCTGGTCACTAATTGACCCGCCTATTCGACATACCGGTATCTTTGTTCATGTCACTAGACTTCTGCTCCTCAACTGCAGGTGCTTTGCTTTGAACATTCTCCCCAATGTTTATTGGGAATGCACAGCCTGTTTCGTTTACCTCAGGTGCGACATCTGATGGATCGTATTGGCAATGCGCTTTGAAGTGTGTGCAGCAGCATGACTTTCTAGGAGGACAAACGCATTTAGTCAATTTTGGCAGATGTACACAGCAGTTGGGATCGAAGTTGCAAAGCTCCTGCGAGCGCGGCTCATAGCTCAGGATTTTTGCTTGCTCTTCACGAATTCTGCGAGCAAAGGTGGAGTCCTCCTCCTCCTCCTCCTCCTCCTCCT